GGGCCATGACCACTTGCTCATAGCTCTGTTTATTAGCCAAGACTTGCTGAAAGAACAGAGGAGCAAGCCATCTGCCCTTTGCTCTGTATGCATTCAGCCCGCAGTAAGCGTCGGGTGGTCGATGGGAAAATGGCTGGTGGTCCAGTGGTTGACCATGGACCACTCTTGTCTACCCACTTTGGTTCATGGTAGAGGTGGGCATTGCCTTACCAAGTACATAGCCATAACGGTGCTCTGTCCCCAGGCGGATGGATGCCCTGGGAATAAAGGGTGCATCCAAAGCACAGACACTCACATACTAAACAAACTTTTTTAAGGGCCTCTTAATTGGATGAAATGACAGGAGTGTTTCACCAGACCAAGCTTTTCATTCACAGAAAATATAGGCCGAAGTCTCTTCTTTATCTGGTTATCACTTTGCTTTCCTACACAGGATTCACCATGTGGGAACCAGAGAGTAAGAGAAATCAGGATGGAATTCTTCCGGGACAACAAAGAACCTGTAAGTGCTCAGTGTGATATCATATACTAGGCAAATATATGCAGGACATGCATTCTATTAATGAAATTGTTTAAATTGTTTGGTTTTTTTTCCATGAAAATACTGGCCCCTTGTAGAAAAGCTCTCCTGACTGGGATCATTGCAATTATTAGAAAATGGAATAGCCAGGATCTTATCAGAATGCAAAGAAGGAAATGTCTAGACCTTTCATAATTAAGGGAAGAAGAAGAAAAAGTAATGTCTTGGTCCATGGTTGTCATCTTTCCAAAACTGATATTATAAGCATTTTAAGGTTAATCTAAGGTTAGTCTTCTAAAATTGATCTCTGGAAAGAATCACCTTTCCCAAATAATCTGGAGTATTCATGACAGAATAGTAAGACTTTTTCAGTATCACTATTCCTTTATATGTGTGTGAAGACTTCGAATGGCATCCTCTGTAGTTGTCATTTCATGTAATCACATGCAACACATAAACATCTGCTTATTACAAAGTGTTAGCATGTAATATTGTCTTGAAACTCATTCAGTCAAAAAGTTCATTTATTTGGCCTCAGCCAAAAACTCTACAGTACCTTTCTTATAAAACAAATGAAAAAGAAAACAGATTGTTATAGAATGAGTAATAGGATTCCTTTATTCAGGACAATGTACTTTTCCTGGAGTTGGTCTGACACAAAAAGCTTCTGCTAAAATGAGGAAGCTGCATGAATCCTGAGTTCAACATATGTTGAATTATCACATTGTACTTATTTTCCACTTTTTACAGTGTATTACCTACCGGAAAACATTCTGTGAAATCAACAAGGCTCTGAGGGAATTAACCCATACCTGCAAAAATATTACCTCACCAGTTATCGAGGAAATGTCAGACTTTCTGAAAAGACCTGTAAGTATTTGAACTAAAAACACCAATTTCCTGTTGTCATTGGAGAAGAAAATCACGCTATGCTAAGGCAGAGGGAGAAGCAGCAGCCCATATCTGAGATGGCTGAATCCCATAAAGGAAGCCACAGCCTTGAGTTTGCAAGAGCTGAGCACATCTGTCAAGGGGAGGGCATTTTGGTGGAGAGAGGCGGCTTTCATTCATTGGGTCGCTATTAGTCAGAGATGACTTGATGGCACTAAACGAGCGGCAACATTTCTCACTGAAGAAAAATAAGAAAGCTGACACACACACATTAGGTGATTTTAAGAAATATTTGAACTCTGGGGACAGGAATATTTACATGCTATCCATAGCTTTTTTGATCGCGTACTTGTCATATGCAGCACAAACGATGCATGTTTATGCAGATGGCAGTCCCATGAGTTCATTGAACTCCATGGAAGCTTACTTCCATTTAGAATTGCAGCCTAACACTGCAATGAAAACTAGGCTTATGATTGTTCTCCCTCACTGTAACTTGCAATATTATTGTTCATTGTAGGTATTTCAAGCATTACAGTTCTACAATATCAGGTTTTAGAGGAAATTGTCCTTTTCTTAAGAACATAGAAACAATTGATAGCTATCTTATTACCAACTTGCATATTTTTTACATTGGAGGATACTGCCAATAATTCATTTCAATGGTGGTGAGAATTCTAAATTTAAGATCTGAGTTCTCATCACCTATCAGTACAAAATAGCAATACTGGCTGGGGCTGATAGAAATGGAAGTCTAAAACACCTGGCGGGTACCAGTTTGGGAAAGGCTGGTTTGCAACATACATCTTATTTTTGAGGGCTGAAAATGCAGGGACTTGGGGTAGAATGGTTCAGTTTCAACTGGAAATCATGTAATTCATAGTCTCCATGCTTTTGGAGATTTTAAAAAATCTGTAATTTGAATAATGAATTTGAATGCAGCCAGGTTTGGATTTCCAGCTGGGCTCCAGCTGCAAGGAAAGTTCATCTGAAATCTGAATTACAGTTAGCTGCCCCCATCCAGAAAATTGTGTTAGCCAAGATGGGGTGTGTATTATGATTCAACTGCATTTATATCCCACCCCTTTTCTTGTAAGGAACCCAGATTGACTTGCATGGTTCCATTTTCCCTCACAACAACCCTGTAGGTTAGTCTGAGACTGAGTGACTATCCCAGAGTCACCCAGTGGGGTTCATGGCTGAGTGGGAACTGGAACCCAGATCTCCCAAGTCCCCAGTCAAGACTCTTTCCCCCACATTGCACTGGGTCTCCAGTCCAACATATTTTTATTACATTGCATATATAGTCCACCTTTTTCCTCCTGTGATGAACCCAAGGCAACTTACATAGTTGCATTTTATCCTTGTAACAACAACCCTGTGAGGTAGGTTAGGTTGATAGCAAGTGACTGGGAGACAGCACCTTCCTCCTTAGCTTTCTGAGCAGGGATCTACATGAAATTCTCACCCTGTAATGGGATGTGGGATCAAGTCCCTCCCACCTGAGCTGCTCGCAAAAACCTATTTCCGCATGTGAATTAATTTTCTCTGGACCAGAATGAAGTAGTTAGGGTTGCATCATTTCTGTGAAATAAACCTGATCTTGTATGAATGCTCTCTATAAGAAGGCGGGGCTTCTCAAAGCACAGAAACTCTCTTAAAATGAGAAACATTGGATATTGTCATTTCAACCTACTTGTATTTCAATAACAGGGTACTGTAGGAGTTGTATATCAAACTGAGATCTATTTCTTCTTCTTTTCAAAGGTCAGCTGCACTTTGTCAACTGTTCGCACTACTATGAAGGAGTTCTGCCCAAAACTAAGAGATTATTTCCAAAGACTATATAACATATGTACAGTATAAGGAAAACTCATTTTTTTCAGAGAAAACTTGGGACTGGACATCTTCCTAAAAACCAAGACCTCATTCATGTTTGTAATTACTAAGTTATGCAGTCATGATTGACAATGTTCTATTTAACTTGAAATTAAATATATCTTTAACTTAACTAGATCTACTATAAGCAGAACTAATATGGGATGCAACCCATAGAGAGTCGATACTAATCAACTAATGTCTGTCTTCACATTCCAAGTCACACATATGTCTCGTTCAGCCCTCTTTTGTGGCAGAGGAATCATGAGTTCAGAGCATGAGTGATCACATAGCGTATTTTTCATCTCCCCTGGATAATAATCCATCCAGCAGATAATTTTTCTTTAAATACTTTCATCACAGGCAATGGGTAGAAATGTATCTGGTCTTGGAAAAGGGATGTGCATTTCCCAACAAACATGAGTTTGCCCCCTCCTAAATCCATTCTAACTTGTTCCCAGACCCAATCACCTGCTTCTTTAACAGTCTAGAGATGTTTGAACATGCAGTCATGCATTGGCAGATTGCTGCTCCATGAAACATTTGTGATCTGAGGCCCTAATGCAACCACAGAAATAGAGAAAAGGGATAACTAACTCGAACAAGACATAATGATTCTTCCTAAAGCCACATGAGAGAAACCGTTGTTAAAGCATTTATTCTTCCCAAGTAAGGTTGGTGAAGCAAAAGAGTGTAACTGTAAGAATTACAGGGCCAGTATTTAATATTTAAGTTAATATTATTTAAAGTTCTTGGTTATATTATAGCATTTTTCCTACTTGTTATTTCATCCTCAAGATCATCTATCAGCTGATTTAGAATGAATAACTGAATAATATATTTAAGTGATGTGAATGTGTTTTGAAATAAAACTAATGGAAATGTAAATCATGTTTCAAATGCCCAACATGCAATAAAATCTTTAGCCACACTCTCTTGAAGAAGTTTTTTTCCCTGTATTTGACTCAATCTCAAAAAACTTATTTGTAAATCAGTTCCAAAATACCAGTTTCCCAAGAAAGTCAAAAAGGCCCCAGGCTATTGCTCTTACTCATATAGAAAGTCTAGCTGAAGTCAAAGTGGTATTCAGAAGCTGCAACAAAATGTTGCAGAAGAGTCTATTCAGCAGATATTATGTTCTGCACATTCAATCGCATCCACTCGGCCAGACAGTACGGAAGACTTCACTTACTACCACCATTCTTTAACCCACTGCAAGCCAGGGCCGTCTTAACAGCATTATGGGCCCCGGGCAAAGCAGTGTACTGGGGCCCCTACGACAACTACAACTACTGTTAATTTTGGAAGTTTTCCAATTTTCCAAGGGTTAACATACACAGATTAGTATGGGCCCACGGGCAAGTGCCCATCAGGCCCATGTGTCAAGGCGGCCCTGCTGCAAGCTAGATATGTCACACCATTTAGCATTAAGATCTAGCCAGAGATTTTTTGCTATGCTCTCCTAAACAAATCACCGCAGTATTTTCTGAAGAGAGATTCCAGGAGTCAATGCAAAGAGATTGCAACCAATGTTGTCCTTCCATCAGTGGAATGGGAAACATCAGCAAAGCCTATTCTCTGATTCCTACAACCTCACCTGCATCCAGCAAGTCTGGTCTAGAGGGCTGGGAAGCAGATACGGAGAGTACATGTGAACGCTGGGCTCATGGGATGTTGGAAAGAGCCTAGGGAAAGAAAGTAAGGGAGAAAATACAGTGGGAATCCAAGACATTTATTTCTTGGTTTCAACATGCTCAGTGTTGAGGCATAGTACCACTATATACAACATAAACACTTTGTACATGACAAAACCACAAACCAGAAGTGTTAACTAAAAACTTAGAAAAACAATAAATAGGGATACATCCTTTCTTGCCTCATCCTTATATACAGAATTGATAATGTGGATCAATACTCAACTACTATAATTTAAGATGTAAGCAATGCAAGGTAATTAACTACAAAGGCACAGAGAGAGGCGTTTTTTCTTCTCTTGCAATCCAGGAAGTAGGCAAGCTGTTTTAAAAACAAAATGTTACACACAAATAATTTAAGATGCTGCAACAGAAACAAAGAAAAAACTGAGCCCTCAGGTCAATTTTCCTGAAAACACAGGAGTCTGCTGGGCTATGGCAGAATGGACAAGGAGACACATCACCTACATTAGAGCCTCTTCCTTTGGTGTTCGCATATCAATAGGCAGAACAAGGCCAGGCTGCTCTTCCTAGCAGCAAGTGTTAGCGCCATGAAAGACCTCAGGGACCACATGGGTTGCAGGCAGGATAGGAATTGAGTCAAAGGGGAAGATGTCGTTAAAGCAAGTAATGGAAACACAGGTTGAACATTGCAGTAAGCTGTGACCAGTTAGCACAATACTCAAGGAAACCACTCCTGTCTGACGCTCATTCAGTTTCACCTGCCATGGTTTGTACAGAAGTGGGGATGAGACTGCTGAAATTGTACTGCACCACTGCTGCTTCTCTCCCTGAAAAAGCCTTTGATATTCCCAAGGCTGTGTCTAAACCAGAATGGCCTTTTGCCTTTTCTTTAAACCAGCATGCTATTGTAGATTGCTTGGGCTATAAGGCTAAAAATCAAACCTGGATAAAGACATCCACAATAAATAATATGATGCACCAGCTGTAACTATGACAGATACTCTGCCTTTTAAAAAGTAAGCAGTTATACTTGTTAGGGCTCTCCTTGGAAGTACTTTAGGAAGAGAAAACTTTCAAGTTTGCCACCTCTGTACAAGCAAGTATTGTAAACCTCCCAAAGTAAAGCTATCAGGAAATAGGATCAACTTGTACCATCAAAGGAAAATTGGATGCACTGGCATTCCCTTTGGTTAATTGTCAGGTATGGCTTTGTGGACAAACTGCCACAGAATTATAACATCAAGAGAGACTGTAGCCCAAGCAGCATGTCCACTGCCTTTCAAGTGGTACAAATCTGCATGTAGCCAGGCAGGTGAGCACTTGAGTTGAAACATTTACAATGCTGCACCCATCAGAAAAGAAGCCCCGATCTAGTGCTGGCACCCCTTCTTCCTGATGCCTGGCTCCTTGTAAATGTCACTCCACCTTCCACTATGAAGCATATCACAGCAGTGAAAATGTCTTTCTAATCCTGAAAACAGAATATCGAGATCAGTGTCAGCGTAGGATCAGCTTTATCTCCCTCAAGTGTATTAATGTTTGCCAGCTAATTATAAAGAATTTCTGAATGCTTGAGAAAAAAGCCCACACCATATTCAAATACTTTATTTGACCAACAGTTTCCTGTGTAACCACCGCAACAGTAGCTAACAGTTGCACATCTTCGGTGCATAGGACAGCTCGAGTGTTTTGTTTGAATCCAGCTATGAACATAAAGCTATTCTTCCTCCAGCTTCATCCTGCTTGCTCTACCCAAGCATCTCTTCCATATTCATCATCAATTTCTCTTCAGCTGACCGTTAGCTGAAATCATTAAAGAAGTTCTAAAAATAAAACTACAGAGGCCTCTGGGCAACATGGCTTACAGCAATTTGGTGCCATTCATAACACTAAACAACAGGCGATTGCAGTCCTGTTACCAAAATATAATCAAAATTCTCTTTTTGTTAGGAGCATTTCACAGCTGCCAGCACAGCTTTTTAAAATACACATTGCACAGGAATGGTTAAAATTACTTTTAAAATACATACAATAAGAGATATGTCTAGCAGTCATCACCATCCTAAATATGTAACAAAAGTTCATGTGTGGTAGCTGTATAACTTCATAAATAAGAGATTGGATTTGGAAGATAAGCGGGTGCCAATTCAGTATGTAGACAGAACAAGCAAGTATCTGTATTTCCTTTGACTGGAAACAGAATGACTAAAGAACGCATAACACTGTACCAATCCGCTCCTTCTAAGGTAATGCTACTGTCTCAATGCTCTATAAATCAAACTATGGTTCAGTAGTGATAGAATTGTTCTTGACATTTTGGGGAAATTTCTACTTTTCCTCCACTAAAATACTATGAGGAAACAAGCCAAGGTCATTTCTAACACACGTCCAAGCTCACTTATTCTATCCAAAAACTTAATTGGCCTAGAATCAAACAGTTAAGAAAAGGAGGCAACTTTAAAAACTATGTACATAAGCTTCTTCCTGAATAACATTGTAGCATCTCAGTTTCCAAGCATCAAATGCAATACAATCTTTGACTGTAACTGACAAGGGTTCTGACGGTGGCTGATCTTGTTGAGAGTCATGAAAACCGATAGATTAACAGGCAAAGACAGAGATTTCACTTTTCATGTCCTGCCAAACTAGAGCTGGAATATGGTGGCAGAAGGAAGTGGTGCGAGTTATTGCTGAAAGTACAGCAATAAGAGCCAGAAGATGTAGCAGTTATTAAAGAGGCCTGATCTTCAAGCAAACTCCTCCAGTCTCACACAAGTCAGCTCCTCCTGCTGCTTTTAGATGAACTAGGCTTCAAAGGCAACCCCAAAATAACTCCTTGCCAGCTTTCTTGAAAATACAGTTTACAGACTGAATTTTTCCCTTGTCCCTCCTCAAAGCTACCTGGCATCCAGTTCTGGAGTTTTGTCCACACAAATATGCTTTTTTCCAGATTGATTAGTCAAGCAGCAGAGGCTGCCTGGCAATTCTCTGTAACTTCAGCATGAACTTCGTAAACCCCAGTGAAGATGAATGGAAGCTGCAGAGCAGTAGTTATTGGATTGTTCCCATAATCAGGCATGGCCCATTCGAAATCAAATGCTAGATAGGTTTTAATCTTAAGGATACCTTATCCTTGCCCTCCAGACAAGTGCAAGCCTACCACTACATAGGTTTGCAACCTTCCATCTTTGCGTAACAACACTGAGTTAAGTCTATGTATATTGTATGTATACTACAGGAATGGTAAATTATTTAGACAGAGTGCTTCAGACAGAAGGGGTTTCCACTTATTTCAGACTCTGCAGCTACCACTTCTTAAAAGAAGAAGAGGACATTTTACAACAGTGCAAACACAGAACAATGGGAAGGACTAACAGCAAAGTACAAAGCAAAACCAGTATATCAGGTTATGGAATTCTGGTTGTCTACTCACAATCTGTTTAACTTTAGACACACACACAGAAAATCTCGTCCATTCTGTACATGTCATTTTAAAACACAGGATATCCCAAACAGTTTCCCCCTGCATAATGTCCAAAGTGGCATTAATAACAATGACAATTTACAATGACCACATAGCTTAGACTGAAAAAATTACATTAGTATAACAGATGACCTAATGGCAAATCAAGGGAAACCCATGTATTTTCTTGCAGTCGCAACAGCATGGGCCTTTACAGCTACTTCTGGATCAGCAATACATCAAACTCTCCTGTGACCTCCAGAAAGAAGAATCTGCATCTTTTGGCCAAGCACACGCCTACTGCAAGCTCACTCCCTGTTTTAGTCTACTGCAGCAATGAGTCAATCACAGCCCCTGATTTCGCAGAACGTTTTCTGTATGGAAAGAAGAAATTTTACATTAGTTATTATTTGCAAGAGAGGCAAGAATACTTTTGAGATCAAAACATTTATTCCAGGAGGAAACCACCTTTTCAGGTTGTGCACACAATCTCAGGGAAGCATGGAAATGTGATTCACACCTGCAGAACAGCTTAAGTTGCTATTTTTTAATGGGTACAGTGTGTAAGGCCATGATCAATGGTACAAGTGGACAGGGTGGGGTGGGGTGAGTGAAGTCACCACAGTCAAAGACAATCAGCTGTACCATGGAGACGGCTCAAGTGATGAGAAGGGAGTGCTTGGCTTATTGATTTGATTTCCAAGTCTCTCAACTGACACTTGGTGGGATCAGCAGAAGCTTTACTTGCCCCAAAAGTCAAACAGCTATTTCCTGAAGTCCTCTTTCTACCAGATACTACTCAGGGCAATATTTATTTATTTATTTATTTATTTATTTATTTATTTATTTATTTTTACGCACCCTGATAGTCAAGGCTCTCTGGGCATTTAATGAAAGTTAAGAAAAACACACACAAACAAAAATAACTTAAAATGACAAAAACAATCGCAACTGAATCAGCATAGAAACACAGCAGTGATACTGAATAAAATGCAACTGAAAATAAAGGTGAACTGCTGGGAGAAAAAAAAGGCATTCACTTGGAACCAAAAAGAATGCAAAGTCAGCACCAGGAACACCTCTTTGGGGAGCTCATTCCACAGTCAGGTGCCACAATCAAATGGGTCCTTCTCTTGGTAGCCTCCTCCCTCGCTTCCTTTGGAAGGGACTCCCAGCGAAGGACCGCTCATAGTCCAGGCAGCTACACATGGGAAGAGACAATCCTTCAGAAAACCTTGCCCTGAATGGGCTTTGAATCCAGCCCAGACTGCAACTGGCAGCTAGCTCAGAGGGAAGAGGACTGGTGCAATGTGTTCTTCCGAGTCAGTCCCCATGCACAGTCTTGCTGTCCTGGTTTGGATCAGTTGAACTTTCCAGAACTTTCAAAGGCAGCCCCACATGCAGTGCATTGAGGCAATCCAAACAAGAGGTTGCCAGAGCACGGATTCAGTAGCTAGGTTCTCTTTGTCCAGGCAGGGTTAATGTTGGTATATCACCTTAAGTTGGTAAAATGTGCTCTGTGCCACCAAGTCTATCTGTGCCTCAAGTGACAACTCTGGATGAAGGAGCACCCCCAGAGCACAAACCTGGCCCTTTAGGGGGAGTGCAACCCCTTCCAGAGCCGGCTGACTATCACCCAACTCGACCAATGAACCACCTACTAACAGCACCTCCGTTTTCCCTGGATTGAGTCTCGGTTTGTTGGCCCTCGTTGACCTCATCACCTTGCTCAAACACTGATTCAGAGTGGTCACTGCCAGACCTCAGTCTCATGAAAAGGAGTGGCAGGGCTGAGTGTCATCTGCATACAGGTGGGACATCCACCCAAACCTCTGGACAACCTTCCCCAGCAGTTTCATGTAAATATTGGGGATAAAAACAGTATCCTGAAGTACCCCATGGCACACAGCAATAAGCCCCCCGCACCACCTTCTGGAATTGGCCAGTCAAGGAGGAGCAGGGCCACTGCAATGCAGTGCCTCCTACTCCCAGCCCAGCCAGCCTATCCAGAAGGATAGCATGGTTGATGGTATCGAAACCCGCCGAGAGGTCCCAGAGAATCAACTCCTCTTGTTTTTCTCCTGGCAAAAATCATCCCATAGGATGATCAAGACAGTTTCCATTCTAAAACCAGGTTAGACTTTTTCAGGAGAGGCTTAATTACAGCCTCTTTTAGAGAGGCTGGCACCTCTCCCTCTCTCAAGCAGATGCTTATAGGCTCCTGGACCCAAGTTGAAATCCCTTCCTTAGTTGCTTAAAGGGTCACACCCATAAGTGGTGGACTAATCTTGACCAAGCACCTTCTCCATATTCTCAGGCCTCAATAACTGAAGCTCATCCAATAAAACTGGACCAGATGGTGCTCTGGATGTGGAACTGCATTAAATGTGGTGTCCAATATATCAATAAGTACACAATAATCCATGAAACATGTGGTTGGCCCCAACACTGCTGAGGTTTAGACAACTAAAAACATATTTGTCCACTTGTGGTTTTGAATACAACTTGGCCCTTTACTGCTTGAAGGTTGTGTACATGTTTCATGTTTTTAGTTTAATTTTAGGTTTGCTGTTGTAAATGCTATGTAACTGAGGAACACTATGGTGCTTTCACTTATGTATAATGGATGCATTTTGATTGTGTTGTATATCACACTGGACTCCCTTGGAAGAAAGGTAAAGGTAAAGGTTCCCCTTGACGTTACGTCCAGTCATGCCTGACTCTAGGGGGTGGTGCTCATCTCCGTTTCCTAGCCGAGGGAGCCAGCGTTTGTCCGCAGTCAGTCTCCATGGTCATGTGGCCGGCATGACTAAACACCAAAGTGCACGGAACGCTGTTACCTGCCCACCGAAGTGGTACCTTTTTATCTACTTGCATTCGCATGCTTTCAAACTGCAAGGTTGGCAGGAGCTGGGACGGAGCAACGGGAACTCACTCTGTTGTGCAGATTTGAACCGGTGACCTTTCGATCAACCAGCCCAGCAGCACAGCGGTTTAAACCACTGCGCCACCAAGGCACAGGACGAATAAAAGCACCTGCATCATCTGCCATGGTACAGTCCAATATATTTTTACACCAGCCATGTTCCAGGCAGGATTGCTTCATCTGCAGAGAACAGCTCCAGTACAAAACCAACAGATCTCAGGTATTCTTTTCCAACCTGTAAGGTTAGACTGTGCACAGTCAATGGACTGAGTTTCCTCTTGTGACCACACCCCACCTGAAATCTGATTTGATCTACTCCACTTCTGCACATCTCCTTGCTTCTAAAGAGTAAAAACTGAAAACAAAACAGGCTCCTCATGCACACCTGGCTCCTTTGGCTCTGGTATACACACAAAACAGGGACCTCTCCTTCTCTTCAGTGTTAGTACCATATACGCAACAGGGCTATTCATGCAACTCTGAATGACACTCAGTAGAAAGAAGATAATCCTGTTTTCTTTGAACTCTGGGGCACCATGTAAACATCCCTTTTGAACTTTCGAGTTGGTACAAAACAAAATTTAAAGCAGCTCTACCTTCTGCCTGTTTTGGGCCTTGATCTTCCTTTTGAAGTTCTCGGTCTCTCAAGTTTCATCAAAGACTGTCTCAAGCTCTCTTCAGTGTATGCTAGATATACATGTGAAAGGTCCACCTCAAAGGGCTGAGTGGGGAAGAAAGAGGGCATTGTGAGTTGACATCCATAGGTCACAGGAGAGTGCACCATCAAAACTGAAAAGAAATGTCACACTGGCAGGCAACCAGACAAAGGTAGAGGGCAGCAGCCTACATTTGCCGTCACTTACATCTTTTTCTTTTTTGTCCGGTACCGGAGTCTGTTTTCTCATGTTATTTCCAGTATAGGCTACACATTTCTTAAAGAAAAAAAAATAAGGGTAATTATACACTGTATCATTAATCCTACCTGTGTGTGGTGGGGGAGGGATCTCCTTTATTTATATGGTCACAATGAGGGGATATCTCATCAAATCATGCAGAGGCAGCTTTCTTTATAATTAGCCCAACAGAGACTAGCAAATGCTCAGGACTGGTTAAAATACAATCCTGTGCACGCATACATGGGAATAAGTTCTGCTGAAATCAGTGGGATACTTCCAAGGAAGCCTGACAAGACCTGTGTAAGAAGCAGTCATTCTTTCTAATGGAATGCCACACACTTTAAACTGGCTAAACTGAGAGCCAGTGTGGCACAGCAATTAGAGTGAAGGACTGGGGACTCGGGAGACCCAGCTTCTAATCCCCATGTGGCCATGAAGCTCACTGGGTGACTTTGGGCCAGTCTCTCACTCTCAGATGAACCTACCACACAGGGTTGCTGTTGTGAGGATAAAATAGCGGAGGATTATGTAAGCTGCCATGGATTTCTTGCAAGAGGAAAAAAGGCTGGTATAAATAATAATAATTTTCAAAACTGGAAGTCACTGCTTTCATTTCTAGTTTTAGTAAATGAAGATGAGGACTAAACATGACCATGAGGTCCTTCAAAACACATTTAGACTTTTACATCACTGTTCCCATTTATCACATTGTGCTTACATACCAGCTGCCATTCTCCAATATCTTCATTCCAGTGAACATAGTTTTCAATCATTTCCTTGAAAGAAACCAGCAAAAAAACCCAGCTTAAGCTCATGGCCTCTGCTCTCATCAGTCAGCAAGGCAAATTCAGAAGCACATCAATTGCATCCCAGTCCATCACCTCCCAAAAGTGCTTGCGGGGGGGGGGGGGGGGGGAAGTTGCAGAGCCATTCCCCACTTTCTCTGCATCCCACTGCAGAAGAGTTCAAAACAGGTGATAAGAACCTAAGAGCAGCACTCAAACATTGGACCAAAGCCCTAACTAGTCTGTACATCCTACATGTATCTGGGATGAACACAAGCATTTTGGCAACGGATCTCTGCCAACTGTTGATTGTCAGTAGCCAACTGCCTTTGGAACAGAAGTCATTATGGCTAGGAGACTATCTGCAGGCCTGTCGCTCCCTCAGGCTCCTTTCCATGCCACCTAAGGGTGGCTGCAGTCTGGGCAGAGCATGTGGGAAGGAACCACATGTTGGTCCCTCCCATATAATCTCTGAGCTCCCAGTCAGGGCTGTCTTTTTCACTGGGCAGCAGTGAAATTTTCCCGCAGAATTCTGTGCCTCACACCGTCCGCCCTGCATCCCTGAGCTAGCCTGCAGTACTCAGATGCAGCGAATTCTATCCGAGGGCCAGTATCCAGGTAAGAACCATCTGCCAGTCCAGCTGAAGGGGAAGGCGCCATCTTGCCCTTTACCTCAAGCAGCGAAATGTCTTGGCCTGGCCCTGCTCCAAGGCAGCACAGGGAACTGCTACACAGAAGCTGGCAGTTGACAGCTTCATGAATATAACAACTGGCCATTAAGAGTGAAAATGTGACAATGAAAGGAGGCTCTCCTAGAGGTCTTACTGCAAATTTAGTGTTCACCTGATAGTCCTGAGGTATAAAGTTATCAATGATGAGCATCTGAAGACGAAGCTCCCTGCTGAGCTGGCGAATGTTCTCCAGTAAGCCTTCAATTTCTCTCTGATGTTCCTGCTGCAGATCCGCCATCTACAAATTGAACCAAACCATCAAAAAGGGTCTTTCATAAGGAATTGGAATATTTAGATCCTTCCACGGGTTATAACTTGTGGCAAAGGTAATCACAAGTATGTGTATTATTTTCTAGAGAGTATTTTCACACTGGGCTTGTAAGTAGGCCATTTTTAAAGCAAACAGACCTATTTTGCTTTCTCCTTCCTCATCTTCCTTCCTTCCCTTTGTGTCATATTAGACTTTGGGCTAGTCTGGCAAGGACTGGTATATTCTGTTCTTTGTGCTAAGTTTAATGCCACTTGAAATGCCAGATGATGCCGGATAAATAAAAAAATATAAATAATGCTATCCATTTAGAGGAAAGTAATTTTAAGTTACTGAAAATAAGCTGCAAAGTGGAGACATCAAATAGTCTTGCAGGTATTGTAAAGATCCACAAAATTATGATGGCATAAGCTTCCACGGACACTGCAAACTTAAGTAGGGTGAAGGAAAACCAAAATGTATTTAAAAGATTTGTTAGCCATTTTCTGTTAAACAGTATCTGCATATACAACTCTCTCGCTCTCTCGCACGCACACAAAATGAGCAGGCCAACAGACTATAAGCAAAGATTATTAAAAAATTTAACCAGAAGTACTCAAAATGAACATGAAATAAATGTATGGAAAATATACCACCAACAGAAAATTCAGTAAGCCAACTCTCAGAGCTAATAAAAACCATGAAAATTCATTTAAACATCAAGAAAAGCATGTAACGACAACAAACGATCAGAATACACTAGTTTTAAAGAAGAGATGCACTGGCATCTCTTATACCTCTCACAGAATGGCATTCCACAATGGGGCATTACAACCAAGACCACCTCTCTGCAGTTGCCTCCCCCTAACTTTGTCTATCAGAGAAACCCAGAGCTGGCCCTCTGAAGCAGACCATACATTCCAGGCAGGTTTGTGTGAGAGAAGATGGACATTTAGATAACCTGGTTTCAATCTATTTTAATCTATTTAAGGCTTTAGAAGGTGAAGAATAACACCTTAGATAGAGCTGGAAATGCACCAGATCATCCTAGTAGTCAAGTGTGTGACCACTGTGTCCTGAATCAGTTGAGGTCTCTGAACTCCTTCAAAAGTAGCCTCACACAGAAAGCATGGCGGTAATCTAGCTTTGTCTAGGTGAGTCTGTAGCTGGTATATACCAGCATGTGCTGGTAAAAAGTTGATTCATGCCACAGAGGCCACCTGATCTTCCAAAGTAAGAGAGATCTAACAGCAGCCCCACCCCATGGACCTTTTTCTTAAGGTAAACAACCCCCCCTCCCAAATCCATCAGACTGCCATCTTACAGCATCTCTGTCTTGTCAGAATGGAGCATCTGTCTCTTACTCCATTACAGATTGCAGGCTATAGTCCAGCACTTCTAATGCCTCAACCAATTCTCATGGAAAGGAGGCGTGCACAGCTGGTTGACTGGGTCCAGAGCTGGCCTCTTGAGGAATGGCCATACAATGGCCTCCTTCACGGTGCCTGGAAAGGTCTTTATTGAATGAAGTACCAAGCAGGGCATGAATCAAGGACCGATGTGGCACATGACCTCACCATTAATCTTTAGACTGCAAAAACTGAGACCTATCTAAGCAAACATAACCCAGTGGGACATCTGTAGCTGGGTTTTGTAGCATCCTAAAAGCAGAGCTCATGATGGGCCAACCACAAGGGATTTTAAGAGCAGATTTTTAAGCAGACATGTCGCAATGGCTTTTCAAGGTATTCTCTGATCTCCTTCACAGTGCATACCAAGCTGGACTCACACTAGCACTAAAACAGTACTACTAGAACATATTGCAGTAGTGCAATGGTGCCAGAGAACTGTTGCCTTCACAAAGCTGTTAATGCCACAGAGCTCCAAAGTGAACTCCGAACCTACTTTTCAAGCACAGCAGGACAGGAAGATCATCTTTTTTCTCTTTATGCTATTGCGTAAAGGACTTTGGATACTGATAATCCTGTAAATAATTCAAGTGCAATGTTTCTATGCTTCAATAGCTTTGGCATACATGTTGCCAACTGCACGTTTGTTCTACACAGATCCTGAACATCCACATGGAAAGCACACCTACACCCCTGTAGCCTTTCCTCCTCTGGTTTCTATTTACTCTTGCATGTGAATTATGTCCCTTTGATGGTCATTTGGAAACACAGATCTGCCTGCAACAGTGCTTGGAAACAGGGCTGTTTAGGAGACTGACCTCTGACTTTGCTGCCATTAGCATTGTCCAGACTTTTTTCAGTTTCTTGGTCTTCCCTTGAGCTTCCTCTTGAAGGCTGGTATACTTTTCCTCAATGTCCAAACGCTCTTGCTATTAACAAATAATTAAAAATGCCAAAGGTTAACAAGAACTACCCAACTGATGGCTGTTTAAAAGATACTATTCAGCAAAGGATTGTGGGGGGTGTTTTTCGGCCCAAGTGTATGGTGGGGATGCCATGTTAATTGTTGCCAGGTGCCAGCATTTTGCTTCCACATTGTCTACCACCTTGGTTCAAAAGTTGCCAACCTCAGTCTGGCTGACTATGGCAGAACAGAACCAAGGTTGAAAAGAGGAGCAGCTTTGCACTTAATTCTACTCCCCAAATTCATGAGCTGAAGACTTCTTCTCCAGGTAAACTTCAGCCCTGTCTGGAAACCAAGCAGAAGCGGCAGAATACTCCGGTGAAATGTTTCCAATCCTTTAAGCAGTGCCATGCAGATACCACCCCTCATTTCAGAGATGCATGAGCCGTGCCTGCACACATGACTCCAACACACAGGTAAATAAGATGAAGGGTACCTGTGATGCTGTTTAGTAAGAACACAACAGTATAGCAAAGAGATGAACTGAACCTCTTTCTCTTCGAGTTCTCTGCGGAGCTGCTCTGCTCTTTTCCTTCGCTCCTCAAGTTCCATGTTAGATTCCTCCAGAAGCTTCTCCTGCTCCTCCGCTTTAGCCAGCAAGTCCACTCCTCCCACAATCACCTTCTTTTCCAAGGCTAGCAACTTCTCCAACAGTGACTGATGTTCTTGCCTGGGTGAATGGACAGGACAAAACTTTCCTCATTGGAAGCCAGGAGTCTAACACTACAGATCCCAAATTCAATTTTGAGAGGCCCATATGATGCACAACTGAAGTCCTGGGTAGCTTCTCACATTTGTTTATCAGCTTATGAGGCAGGGGCTGCATGCACGTGTGTGGGAAGCTACCACAGCAATATTTAAGCTGAAAGCTCTGTCAACTTTAGCCAGGCTGAAGACGGCCTACTTTTCAGCTGCTCATCCTTTCCACTAGGGGTGGCTGGTTTACAAACAAGGAAACCCTTTCAGCCTTTCCTCTCAAGTTTCCCCCCACCCGCTGCCCTGCTGTTGCAAGGGACTGTGCTATGGAGACTGTCCCAATGGGAGCAAGATGGAAGGTTCTAGGTATTGCTCCTTTATTTCTGAAGTGTTTCCTGTAAAGGTGGGGAGCCTGGAAAAAAAAAACCTCCCAATAACAGAGGCATTATTGATCCCCTACTGCTCCCCCTGCACCAGAGTAACTTTTGAACAATTCCAGTGCCCACTTGTGGTGTGGGGATCACTGTACACATCTGAGAAGTGTACTCGGGCAAGGAGTGAATGTTTGGAACGTGTGGCGACAGAAGGAGAAAAAGCCTTTCAAGGGCAGTGAACATGTGTAAGAGAGCAGCTGCCTATGGGGATGTGTGCAGGTATCCTTTTAAGCACATTTGGGCTTTTTGGAGCGTGAACGATCCCCAAAGGAGGGAGTTTTAGAATGCACATGCGCACATGAAAACGTAATACTAACCACCTGACAAAGTATGGTATTTATTGAGAAGGCATTTTGCCCACAACTGCTGTCAGAGATACTCATGGGAACATCACGAACTGTCAGCAATGCCATGTCAGTCTAGTTATGGAAGTTTCAGCATGTGTGCCTGTGCACGCGCGTGTGCATACCGTACATCAAGGGAATGGGGTGGCAACCTATAGCCCTTCAGATACAACTCCAGACGGCCCAGGCCAACACAGTCAATGGTGAGGGATGATGCCATCCAACAGCATCTACAGGTTGCCCACCCCCTCTTCTTGATGCTCCCCCATGTGGAACACTTGCATATGCCAAAGGCCAGAAACCCCACATGTACCCTGGGCACTAGTGAGCCTTGCCAGCATGGTGGCTAAGAGACTGAGCTACAACTAGGAAGTCTCTGCTTCAAGTCTTGCCTCTGCCAGGACATCCCTCACAGGCCTTAGGGCAAGCCATCTTCTGTCAGCCTCAGTCCTGCCATCTGCAATATGGGGTTGCTGGACAGATGAGAATGCTGGCTTTTCCTTACAGCACCCTTCTCCAAGCAGATATCCTCCAGATGTGTTGAACTGCCATCCCTCCCAGCCAAGGACCATGCTGGTGGAACTGATGAGAGCTGCACTCCAATGCAACCAGACTGAGAAAGGCTGCCTTGCAGGGTGGATGTAAGGGCTGCAACTAGAGGAGGCAAGCTAAGTGCCTGGAGCATGTGAAAGCACTTTACAGGAGTCATGAATTTCAAGGCTTGTATTCCAAGTTCAGAAATACTCACTGCGCTTTAAGCAGATCTTTCTCCCTCTTTTCAAGCTCTGCCCGGGCTTTGTTTCTCTCTTCCTCTTCCATATCAAGCTTTGTTTCAAGGGCTTTCCTTTCTTCATCTATCTTGGCTTGCATTTCCATCATCTTGTCAGGAGAAACTTTCTTCTTTCCTTTGAGCAGAATCAAGGGCAAGTTTAAAGAATGTCATCATGCTAAAAACATACATGTATGCAATTTTCCCATCATATGAATGATATGCCATCATATTAGATGAGTTCTCAGAACAAAAATTAAAAAGCCCATGGTTACTACTGTAGCTTAGAAGCTCCTAAGATGTACATCAAAGCAGAAGCAGTTTAACAATTTCTCTTAAACCTTGGCACCAAATGGATTTTGATGGGTCACCAGCAGCTGCAAACCTTATCAAAATTCTTAGTAATACAGACATGCCAAGAGTTTTTGCTTGCCAAGGTATGTTGCCATGTGGCTGATTTTGTGACAAAAACACTTTTAGAAATAAATACGCAAAATAGTAACAGAGGCCCTGAACTGATTTCTAAAGGTCATTTGTGGGGAAAATGTGACTCTTAATTACAGGGAAAAAGTCACTGATCCAATTCACTGATCCAATTTAAAGCCATCTGGATTTTTTTAAAAAAATATACCCACACATAACCCTCAGAAGTCAGCATTTCAAAACTAAAAATTAGATGCATAGTGTCAGAACAATAAAATTATACACACACAAGTATGTATGTATGCATGTGAACAAATAACATGCTGGAAAAAGAAAAATAGCAAAACAATGGAGCTAAATCAGGCTTGGAAAAATCAAAATAAATCTCTTTGTACTAAGGTAAGAAGGCAGAAAATGGTGTGGGGCAAAGAATCACACCTTTGTTGGTCCCATTTTGCTCTTTCCCCTACCACCTTGCTGTACAATCTAGGCTATCGAGATTCAGCCAAGGACCCTGGAGATAAAAACAATGGTCTTGTTGCTACTGTACAGGGAAACTCCCTCACAATGGCCTCACTGACTCCCACAGCTGCATTTGCCATAACTGTGCATCCCATTTGACTTCAGAGTGCGTCCCATTACGATTCAGTTTGCGACTGCATCAAATCCACCAGCTTAACACTGTTAAGAAAGCTTTGTGCACCTTGAGTCCACTGCGGTTGAGAGAGAGAACAACTAGGAAGTTTGAACACGACCTTAAAACAAGTCCTTTAAATGGTATTAGATGGAATGCCAATCAAACACACCAACCTGCTTGATCTTGCATTTTAAGAGGAAGAGGCAAACAAATCGCAGAGAGGCAGCACACGCACAAAGAGGAAGGGTGTGGGAGGGAAAAAGAAACAGATTATTGCTTGATTTGTTTTACAAAACAAACAAGGTTACAAATAAAAGCATTCATCAAGATTTGCATCTACAGACAACAAAAGAACAGAAAAATCAGCAAATTAAAATACTAAAATGCAAGATTAAATGTCAGCACTGCAGTCCCATTTCTGTATTGAAACAGGGTAAGCATCCCAAACTGAAGAATACATTTATCTTCAGCTCATCACATGATGACATTATTTTTTCTGAACGATATTAGGTCTGTTCTGCTGTCCAGACTATAAACTCTCACAAGGACCATGCCCTCCTGAGAAATATGCCAGAGAATTATTTCCCATCCTAGAGGAAAACCTGGGTATCTGAAGAAGCCAATTGTCACAGAAATCCAATTACGTCTGGAGTATGATTACATTTTCCAGTACTGCCTGCATTTCATATGACCGATCACACATGCAGGAGTATAAATTATATAATGCCAATATTAATTTGAACAGGGTGTTAAAACAAATTTGTTTCTAGAAATGCAAATGCTTCCATAGTGGTAAAGCAGCACATTTTAGCTGGTGCTATCAAAGAGGAAGGGAAGAAGGGTAAGAAAAGAGGAGGCAATGCAGTGAAAACATGCAACATGCAAAAACCAAAGCAACAGTTACCACAAGGGAAGCATATTTTTTGTGGAAATGTGGAGGCCCGATCTGTGTCACACTCTTGTCAAGCTGGAATTTGTTCCACAGACAACAAAGAGCTCCTCAAATTAGAGCATTCCATTGTGATTTAAAGCACTGGGGTGTGTGAGAGAGAAATCCAAAAACAGAGAAAAGCCCATTTGTTTCAAACTATTAATGAAAGTGCCTAATAAGGGCTCTTTGAACTTGATCCATCTTGTCAGCTTCCAGGAACAATGCAGATTGTTGACACAGAGATGTACGGAATGAATGAATGCTGTAACCTAGCAGGTCCGACCCACACAACCAGGCCTACAAATGCAGGGGCTCCCCATTCCCTTCTGTGGCCTGGTTCACACATAGTGCTAATGGGTGCTGAATTCTTGGTAACCAGCTTTTCTTATAAAGTTTGAACTCTGGGTTGTTCAAACCATGGGTTGCTGTTCTGTGTGATCCTAGAACTGAGGGTTGTTCGTGGCAAGTTTCATTAGACTACAGAAATGGCAGACAGGAGCAGTAACTCCCCACCCCCACCCCACAACTATTCTGTCTGCCAGAACTGTGGCATAGCAAAGGCATTTCGGACACAGAAAGGGAATGGAGACAGGAGGAAGGAAACCCAGAGACTAAGAATTGACCAGTTTTGCTGAATTGTTTGGCAGATAACCCTGGTTAGGGAAACAAACCATGCATTAAATAATGAGTTGTTAGATGTGAATCAGGTCTGTGAGAATGGAGAATGCCTGACATGCAGAATGAAAAACACTGCCACATATGTGCTCTGTCTTGTATAAGCTAATGAGAAACCCCTGCAGGAGCCAGGTTTGGAGTTCAGCAAAGGAGTTTAAAGCCATGAATGGTTTAGGCACAAATGCTACAACCAGTCACCCCAAAGTTTACCAAATTATGCACTCTGTGAAGCTTCATTTCTAGAATATCTTTCCCTTGACTATGAACACCCTACTGAAATAGTATTTGCATGTAATAGAATATTAATATATCAGAGAACACAAACTAGATCCACTCTATTTCCTATCAATACAATATTTTCTTGAACAATACTAAATAAATTTGCTTTCCTGAACCATTTAACCAAAAGTGAGTCTCGGATTTGTTTTTGCTCCACGTTTGAAACAGCAAAGGAAAAAAGCATGCTTTGCTTAATGGGGTGGGGGGAGAGATCCACGTTTCACTCTGAACAAAACCAATGTCAGGGATAGGGAGCAAAATGCAGCATCAGAACAATGAGTGCACAGGCTATGGGCAGGCTGGAGTTTCACTGGATGATTTAAGAGCTCCCACTCACTAGTGAAGGATTTGTCCAGAGGTTTTTCTATGACAGAGCATGTAGAGTCTGAACTACTGCCGCTGCTACTGCCTGGAAAACAGAGAAGGGGGCCCCATGGAAAAACCAGAAAGGAAGAAGAAACAAGAAACACATGCAAGGCATTAGCTCTAAAGGACAATCAACTCAGAGAGGCTGGTTTAATGATACATAATCATATTTTCATATCTTTCTTTGAGCACCTTACTACACAGCTGCATTAAGTATAGCTTAGAATGAAACACATCCCGAGTGTTGGCCAAGGATCCCAAATCAGTGTAGCAGCTTCAGTGAGAAAAAACAACAAAAGTCACCTGCACGACTGACAATTGTCTTGGTCCCAGTGAAAAGGTGGCATGGCCACTTCTTCTGGCAGCCAAAACTGGGCTTTTAATAATATTGTTTCTGGTGTTTGATCATTTATTAACCTTGAAGGACAAATGACTTGCTAAAAACTCAGCAGTTGAAAGGAAAGCATGGTATTGTGAAAATACTGGCATGCAGAAGCCAGCTCAAGTCACATGACTGACAGCGTGAAGGCCAGAATCCACCAGAATGGCTTTTACTGGTTTTTAGTTTACACTCCAGCCTCTGCCACATCAGACGTGGTCACAAACCCATGAAATTGCTCTTCTGTCTCACAATTAATTGGATTAATCTCTCAGTCCTGGAGATCTGCTATGCTGTTAACAGAGTTCAAATACCAATTTCCTGAAAAGAGCCCCAGCATTTGACTAATAGGAGCACATAAAAAGTACACATCCAAAATTTTAGTTGAGGGTTGACTCCAAATGGCTGTGGCAGAAATAAATGGTAGGGGTCTCTTTCTCAGAAAAAGGTCTCTTCCTTGGGTGACTATGTCAGTGGCTGTCATCTGAGCAGATTTCTCAGACAATGAAATGGGTAGTTATCATCTACTACAAAAGGAGCCCAGGGGAGGGAGTTGGGGGAGGAAGCTATTTAATAAGAGCCACTGTTCCCCTCTGTTATTGCACAGGCTCTTCTAGCAAACTTGCCATGCTGCTTCAAAACAGAAATGACACCAAAGAGTGAGACGCTGCTCCTTTTAACAGCGGCCAAGGCAACTGTCAGGTTCCTTGCAATTTGCCCACTTGTCCCAGCAGAAGGGCACAGACAATCTACCCGAAAAAGCCAAGGCCCGACCTAAAGACCAAGAACAGTTACACACCAATCTAAACAGAGCCCACTAAAAGCATCTTAACAGGGCAGACACCTGCCAATTCCTCATAAAGGGTGGAGGCCCACAGCACTAGCAGGAGTGGCAAAAGGCCCGTTTGGGCATTCCCAGTGCTGCCACTCGCAATGCATGGCGCCACCAGGGGTCTGCAGGCTCACGTCATGCATGCAAATGACAACCTCCCACCAGGAGACCCTGAATTCCATGAACCACCAGATCCTCCATACTCAGAACAGGGCAATTGTGTTCTCTGTAACTAGCTGGGCCCACACAGAAATAAGTGCCAAGCTCTCCATCTCTGAATCTTCTACACACAGTGAAGGACATCATCAGACAACGGTGAGGAGGTGCATGAGGCTGAGAGCCTGCTCCGTCCTGATTGCACCACCCACAAAAGCCAATACACACAATCCACAATGGGGGTGGGGGGTGGGGAATCACATAAACCTAAGAGGGTTCATTTATTCAAACCACATACAAGGTCTTTATTTTTACAGTGAAATAGAAAAAGGAACTGTTCTCCCAAGAACCTCTTTGAAAATAAATATGGAAATTGCACGCCAAGTTATTGCCATGACTTGATGCATCGTGTGGCCTAATTTAAGGCTGACATGCCACTGAATGGGAGTACACCAACTGCGCCCGGCAGCCTACGCCGGAGGAGGGCCGCCTCCTCGCTGTGTAAGACCGCGCCGCGCCGGAGGGGAGCCGCTGCCTGGCCGCGTAAGACCGCGCCGCCATCCACCGCCCACTTGGCTGCTCCGCCACGCCCCAGCACGTGTGGCAGGCGTGCTTCGGACGAGGCGGGGGACGCAGGGCCGGCGGCTACAAAGGGCGTCGGCCAAAGGACGGTCGCCACCGTTCGGGTGGCCGAGCAGGGGGCGGGGCTGGCCAGGGGCTTGCGCTTGGCGATGGTAGGCCCTCCTGCTGGGCTGTGAGTGAGGGGTGAGTGTGTGTGTGTGTGTGTGTGTGTGTGTGTGTGTGTGTTTTTAGTAGTATTTTAAATCTTTTTATGGAGTCGTCCCTGGCCATGCTGCCGCTTATGTTTCCTGGGGAGCGCACGGGTGCCGCCATTGAGGTGGTTATGGGCAGGGGACGTAACAGCGTTGGGAGCTTAACGTGTCCGCATAGAAGAAGGAGGGACAGATGGCTGACACCTGTCCCTACTTCTGGTTTTGCTCCCAGCCAGAGGGTGCCAGGGAGTCTCGTCAGTCGCCCCTCCGGCCTGACGGTGCTGTTGCTTAATGCCAGGTCGGTCAATAACAAATCTGCCCTCATCCAGGACCTGATTGTGGATGAGGGGGCCGACCTGGTCTGCATAACGGAGACCTGGGCGGGAGAGGGGGGGGATGTTGCCCTCTCCCAAGTGTGCCCGCCCGGGTATCTGGTCCAGCACTGCTCACGGCCGGAGGGGAGGGGAGGGGGGGTCGCTTTGGTTTACCGAGCCTCCATCTCCCTCAAGGGACTTCCGGTCCCTTCGAGACCAGGGCTGGAGTGTCTCTATTTGGTGTTGGGCGACCGAGACAGACTGGGGATTCTGTTGGTGTACCGCGCACCCTTCTGCCCAACAGTCTCCCTGCCTGAGCTGACGGAGACTGTCTCGGACCTGGTGTTGAGGACCCCCAGGATGTTGGTCCTGGGGGACTTCAATCTCCATGCCGAGGCTAGTCTGACCGGGGCGGCTCAGGACTTCATGGCCTCCATGACGGCCATGGGGCTGTCTCAACAAGTCACCGGCCCCATTCATGAACGGGGACACACTCTGGACCTGGTTTTCTCGACGGGGCAGGAAGAGGGTGGTCTGAGGGTGAGTAATTTATGCTTGACTCCCCTGTCATGGTCAGATCACTTCCTGGTGAGGTTTATGCTCGAGAGCGACTTCTCCCTCTGTAAGGGTGCGGACCCGATTATGTGGGTCCGCCCCTGGAGCCGGATGGATCCAGAAGGATTCCTGAAGGCCCTGGGGGAGTTTCCGGCTGACAAGACGGGTGCTCCTGTCGAGGCTCTGGTCGAACTGTGGAATGGGGAGATGACCAGGGCTGTAGACACGATCGCTCCTAAGCGTCCTCTCCCACCGGGCAGAGCCCGCTCTTCCCCTTGGTATACTCCTGAATTGAGGGCGATGAAGCAGGTTGGGAGACGACTAGAGCATAGGTGGAGGAAATCACGAGATGAATCTGACCGAACACACTTACGAGCCCACTATCGGGCCTATGCTGTGGCGGTGAGGGCGGCAAAAAAGAGATTCTTTTCCGCTTCCATTGCCTCCTCACAATGCCGTCCGGCGGAGCTCTTTCGAGTGGTGCAAGGCCTGGTCCGTCCAGGTCCAAAGGAAGACCTGATTCCACCCTCAAAGGCCCGCTGTGACGACTTTGCCAGGCATTTCAGGGAGAAAATCGCTCAGATTCGTCACGAGCTGGACACCACTATTGATTCAGAGGTTTCAAAGGAGACACCAACGCTGCCGTCTGGTCCAGATTTATTGGATGAATTTCAGTTATTGCGGCCCGATGATGTGGACAAGGTGCTTGGGCGAGTACGTCCAACCACTTGCTTTTTGGACCCTTGCCCGTCTTGGTTAATAAATGATTCCAAGCGCGGGATTGGAACCTGGATCTTGGAAGTGGTTAACGCTTCTCTGAGGGAGGGTCGGGTGCCTGCCCCTTTGAAGGAGGCGGTAGTCCGACCGGTCCTGAAGAAGGCGTCACTGGATCCAGAGATGGCCACTAATTATAGACCAGTGGCCAACATCCCGTTTCTGGGCAAGGTGTTAGAACGAGTGGTGGCGGGACAACTCCAAGCACTCTTGGATGAAACTGATTATCTGGACCCATTGCAGTCCGGCTTCAGACCCGGGTACGGTACTGAATCTGCCTTGGTCGCCCTGTATGATGACCTGTGCAGGGAGAAGGACAGGGGGAGTGCGTCCCTGTTGGTTCTGCTGGACCTCTCAGCGGCTTTCGATACCATCGACCATGGTATCCTTCTGGATAGGCTTGCGGGATTGGGGGTCGGAGGCACTGCTTTGCAGTGGTTCCGCTCCTATCTCAATGGCCGGTTCCAGAAGGTGGTGCTGGGGGACTATGGCTCTGCGCCATGGCAGCTATGCCATGGAGTACCGCAGGGGTCCATTTTGTCCCCTTTGCTGTTCAACATATACATGAAACCGCTGGGAGAGGTCATCAGGAGGTGTGGGCTGCGGAACCATCAGTACGCTGATGATACCCAGCTCTACCTCTCGTTTTCCACCAATCCAGGTGAGGCAGTGGCTGTGCTGAACCGGTGCCTGGCCGAGGTAATGGGCTGGATGAGGGCCAATAAACTGAAGCTCAATCCAGACAAGACGGAGGTCCTGTTGGTTGGCAGATCGGGCTTCGGAGAGGGTGAATTGAACCTTGTCCTGAATGGGGTTGCACTCCCTCTTAGGGACAAGGTCCGCAGCTTGGGAGTGCTCCTCGACCCAGAGCTTTCACTGGAAGCTCAGGTAACAGCAGTGGCGAGGAGCGCTTTCCTCCAGCTTCGGCTAATTCATCAGCTGCGCCCCTATCTGGAGAATGACTGCCTTGCGACAGTGACACATGCGTTGGTGACTTCCCGTTTGGACTTCTGTAACGCGCTCTACGTGGGGCTACCCTTGAAGACGGTCCGGATACTTCAATTGGTCCAAAATAGAGCTGCCAGGCTGCTGACGGGGACTGGACGTTATGTTCACATGACTCCAGTTCTCCGTCAGCTTCACTGGCTTCCCATTGAAGTCCGGGCCCAATTCAAGGTGTTGGTTATGACCTATAAAGCCCTAAACGGCTTGGGTCCTGGTTACCTGAAGGAGCGCTTACATCCTTATATGCCCAGCCGCCCCCTGAGATCGGCGGGAGAGGCCCTTCTCCGGGAGCCCTCCATGGAAGAAGTTAGGAGGGTGGTTACTCGGAGGAGGGCTTTCTCTGCGGTGGCGCCTAAGTTATGGAATGCGCTCCCCAGAGAGGTCCGCCTGGCGCCGTCGTTATTTGTTTTTCGGCGCCAGGCGAAGACCTTTTTATTTAAGCAGTATTTTAAATGTTAATATTATTGAATTTTATTTGGCCAGGGCGGCTTGTTTTATAGTGTATGTTTTATATTATATATTTGTATTTTATTGTATGTATTTTAAAATGTTATTTTATTTTTTTGTTGTAAGCCGCCCCGAGGCTTCGGCGAATGGGGCGGCATAAAAATGTTTAAATAAATAAATAAATAAATAAATAAATAAATAAATAAATAAATAAAGTGATATTCCCATCTGTACTTTTTACCTCTGACCAAGTAAGTGAGTACAAAGAATGAAAGTACATGAAACAAACTTTGATGGATATCTTGAGGTCTTACAGATTTTTCCTTCATAGAAACCTCTTGTAGCACAACGAGCCCATTTAGAAGACCTACCACCCTCGGTAACAATATTGGAGAACACTACAATGCTTGATTGGAATCAGTTTATGGCAGGGTGGAGAGCCTGTGGTTCTTAGGATTGGGGTGGGGAGACCTCAGGCTTTTGGGATCTGTTTGGATTGTTAGTAGAAGTGCAAGCTCCGGGAGCCAGGTACAAAATAGTGCTCAGGGCAATCATACACAGAGTGGAATGAAGGAAAAGGGTACCTCTGAGCACCTGGCTTGGACCAAAAACTTGCTTTCAGAATCAAACCTGGACCTACAGTCCTTTCACACACATAAGCGACCTTTGGTTTCCAGCATCTCCTCAAGCTTTTCTCATTCAGCTGGCTCATGAAGAAGGGGTGGGAGCATTTTTGTTGTTGTTAGTTAAACAGTTGGGAATCAGAAACATTTGGAGAGCTGTTTCAAATCAACAAGAGATCTATTAATAGATTCCAATCTAGCCCTGTTCTAGGTGCTGTTGGACTACAGCTCTCATCAGCTCCAACCAGTATGTCATCTCGGACAGGGATAACCACGGCAGCACAGCAGCTTCTGAAAGGCCACAGGTTCCGCACCCTTGCGTTGCATTCAACCCAATCTGTAGAGCTCCTTAACAGGGAAGAGGTGGGACTAGTCCAGCACTGCCTCTTAACATTTCTTTCCGGCTGCCTGCATATGCCCATGTGGGCACACATGCAGAGCAACATTTGTACAGTCATGAACTATGAACGCTGCCCTGCCGTCACTTGAGAGTCTCTACTCAAATCTACCACCTCAGTTAAAAAAAAAAATAATAATCCCCCCAATGCACATTTTAAGTAAGGCAGGTCAGCTTAAACCAAGACCCTGCAAGAGGGTCTGTTTCTAAAGGGGACAGGATAGACACAAGGCAATAACATTGAGAGGAAAAGGTGACTACTTCCTCGGCTCCTTACCCCTTCGCTTCTTTCGCTTTTCTCCATCTTCGCCAATCTCCTCGTCCTCATCCTCATCCTCCTCATCAGAGCCACTGCTTTCAGAGCCGGAAATTTCTTCACCTAGGGAATTAGTGCACTGACTTACAGATGGGTCCAAGAAACAGACACTTTCCAGTGAAAGCTCATCTGCAGAACTATACTTTGCTACTAAGGGGTTTGGAGACAATCCTTTCCTGCTTTCCTGGGATTAAGGCCCACTGTATTTAGTGGATTTTAATTCTGAGTAGACATGCATAGGGTTGTGCTAACTAAAGACTTTAAACTTGAGCCCTGTTTCTTAACTTCTTCCATCCCTGATAGAAAAAGGAACAGAAAGGCAATGCAACTAACTTTGCCAAGTGGATTTCCAGAAAAGTCTTAGCTGCTGGATGCAGCCCCATAGACTGATGTACATCAAATTCTTTTGAACCCTTTGCTGTGCATGAATTGCAAACAAGCTTAAACTAAGTGAAGAAGAGGTGACATTCACAACCCAGCATTGGCTCCAAGTACCATCTAGTGGGCAGTCAGAATATTTTATTGAAAGAAGCAAGCATTAATTTGAAGCTGAGAACAATGGCCACAGTACTGGTTTTGGAATGACCAGATCCATTAGTCCACTCTGTCAGAAGGTGGGATAGGCTACCTTGGGCAAATCAGTTACTGGGTTCAGACAACACAGTAATCCACACTCAAAGGTTGAGGGTGGGCTGTCCTTGAACTGTGGTTTCATGACCCAACAACAAATCAAAGATTTTCTTCATGGGTTGCTTGTGGTTAAGAAGTCATGGTTTGTTAGTGAGGCTGGGATCAGACAATTCATGATTCCATAACAACCCACACTCAATCTATACTCAACCCCTGACCATAGGCTATTGTGTTGTCTGAACCTAATCACTCTCAGTCTAAACTACCTTGCGAGACTCCTGTGAAGATAAAGGAGGGACATCAGTTAGGACAACAAATATCTTGAACTTCATTCTCTATAGGGAACTCTGAAGGTACTTTAGGTATGAAAAACTGTTTCCAATACTTATTTATAATTACTATAGAGGAAAAAAATCAGTGGGTTACCTTCCTCCAACTTTTTCTTAAGTTCTTCTATTTCCTTTTGAAACTGGCGAAGCAAGGCATCCTTTGGATCTTCATTAATTCTAGCCTTATTCTTGATGTTCTTGGCACGATTGGCATATCGCAGAGTGCTGATAGTCTCATCATAATTGTAGTCGGCCGGGCCAATATTTGCACACTAATGCAGAAGATTCATATACAAGAGAAAAGTGTATAGGAATAAGAACTACAGAAAATTGCAATTCAATACAAAGCAACGTTTCCAGGCAACCCCACGCTCAGTTCCCACAGATAACAAAACTCAGTCCGAAATGTAACCACAATGGTGTGTAGTCTACAGAAGTGAAAACAGGGATGTCCAATAGGCCTACAAATGGTCATGGCTTGGTTTGTACTTTATAGGGATACTCAAGTTTGGAAGTATAAATATATAAATGAAGTTCCATGTGAAGTTATTGATTTGATTTGATTTGATTAGAGTCATATTTCACTACTTCGCTACTCTGGGCAGAGCCTAGCAACAGTAACCCACACTCTGGTAACCTCCTGACTAGACTATTGTAACGTGTTCTACATGGGACTACCCTTGAAGATGGTCTGGATACTTCAGTTGGTACAGAATAGAGCTACAAGACTGTTCACTTGGACTGGCAGATATGACCAGTTATGTTTCATCTTCATTGGCTACCAATTGAAGTCTGGGCCCAATTTAAGGTGTTAACTTTGACATACAAAGCCCTTAATAGCTTGGGGCCTGGGTATATGCAGGAACATCTCCTTCCATATACACTTGTTCGAACTCTGAGATCACCTACTGAGGTCCTTCTTCAGGAGCCCTCTCTGAAGGAGGGTAGAAGAGTGACTACTCAGGGAAGGGACTTTTCTGTGGTAGCCCCCCAGCTTTGGAACTCCCTTCCCACAGAGGTGTGCCTGGCACTGACACTATTTGTTTGGCGCCAGGCCAAAGCCTTTTTTATTCACCCCGTCTTTTCATCGTTGATCTTTTTAAACCATACAATGGAATTATTTTATTACATATTCTTATATATTGGATTTCTATTTTTAATGTGCTGTTACATTTCTGGTTTTGTAAGCCATCTTGAAATATGTTTCGATAAGGGTGAGATAAAAATGCTTTGAATAAATAAATATTCATTTATAAAGAGAACTTTGGTATTATATATTTGTATTTTAATGTATATATTTTAAAATGGTATTTTAATTTATTGTTGTAAGCCGCCCCGAGGCTTCGGCGAATGGGGCGGCATAAAAATGTTTTAATAAATAAATAAAAATAAATAAATAATGTAATTCACATGGTTCTTTTATTGTGGAGACCTGCCGCCTAAGTAATTGCTTTAAGTAATTGTGATCCCCCCATAAAGAGATGGAAAACTAAAAATGGGCATATTTGCCCACCACACACCAAAACTAAAGCATTAAAAATGTTTATTGAGGGCCAATATGATGCAGATAAAGTGTTTACCTCCAATTCCTGTTCGCCTACAAAGTTTCAATGGGTGACCATGGATTAGCTATTTTCAGTCAGCCTATCATACCTTACGAGGATTACTCTGAAGATAGAATGCTACTGTTAATATTGTGCATGCAGTTCATGAGAAGGCAAAATCCCCTGGGGAAGACAATCCTGCTAGGGAAAGCTGAGGGCAGAAGAAGAAAAGGAAGTCCAAATATGAGATGGATTGATTCTGTTAAAGAAGCTACTGCTTTGAATTTACAAGACCTGAACAAGGCTGTCATGGTAGGGCATTTTGGAGAGCTTTCATGAATAGGTTTGCCATAAGCTGGAAGTGACTTAATGGCATGTACGAGTAACAACAATAAATGCAAGTGATAAAGGTATCTCCATCACACCGCAGCCATTACAACAAATAGGCCCAAGTCACTACCATGCAAACTCCTGTTATTACCATCATAGTCTTGGAGTTGCCCCCAAGAGAATCCTGCAGGAGTCGAGTCAGCTTGGAGTTACGATACGGCACATGAGTGCTCTTTCCATCCACCAGTGCAGAAATGACATTCCCAAGGGTAGAGAGAGAGAGATTAATTTTTGTAGCTTCCTTGAGTCGTTGCCCAGTAGCGCCAGTTTTTGCTTGCCTTTCTGATCCCTTGAATAGCGGGGAGAGATAGGGAGAAAATTAGATTTCGATGCAGGCAATTTCTGCAAAGAGGAGCACAATGCAAGGTAAACCCACAAGGTAAATGGAAAAGGAAGTAGGACAATTTTTAATTTAATTGGACAAAAGTAAGAGGGGAAAATGGTTACGCAAAATATACATATGGCCAGTGTGACCTGCATTCTTAGGACTCTCATGAAACCTTATATGCTTCTTCAATGGCATCCCCAAAAACCAACGGTTGATCTGCTGGCATGTGATTGGACCAGTCCAGGTGACTCTAGATAGGTTTAGGGAACTGCTCTGCAGAACCATATTCCAGTTCAGGCCTCACAACTATGAGGATCTTGGAGTAAGGGGCTACATTGGATCCTCATTTTGTCTGTTTTACACAGGTGCCAAGTCCTTATTCCTTGTTGTTCTTATGGCATGTGTGGGTGAACACATGAACACTCTGAATACTCAGTTGGCTTGAGTGAACCTGCCTAGATTGTGTCCATCTCTGTGCTCAGAGACCGCACACCCAGGAGTAAGTTCCGCTGAACAGAGCAGCACCCCTGCTTGAGGAAGCACATACAGGCTTGCTCTTCGTGACGTGGCCCCTGCAGTGCTTGTGATGGTGGTCTCGGCTGTGGAGCAAAGCCTGCCCAAGGTGGCTCCCAAGGGATGCATGCAACAACCTACCGCAAGATCTACGAGGTGCAGCTTGCCCATGCGCACGTGCATGTTCCCATCGACACCCTTCTCGCTGCATTCAATGGTGATGGTGAAGATCGCATGGGAACGGGAACTGTGCTCATTCATATTAGTGGCACCCACAGAACCTATGGACCCGGAGAAATCCAAGGAAAAGCTCAAATTAACAGGGTGGGCACTAGTTCCATTTAATAACCAGAAGTACCACTGCACTTTGCACTGGTTATGCTTTCACTTCTTGCAAAACCCAATACACACATTGCTTTTGGACCTTATTTATCAAAGTCACACATTATCATTACCATGCTTTTCAGTACTAAAATGAATGGTTATTTTTAAAATTAAACTATAGTATTAGTCAGTTTCAGCAGCTTCAACTCATATTCATGCAAGAGGCCAGAAACCCATTTAGAATTATGTCTTACGGTACTGAGCTCTTTTTTTTAAGTGTCAAGAATGCAAATTGCACAAGGCTGTAAGCTTTGTTTACATAGGAAATGAATACAAGAATAAGTAAGATGGAATTTCCTGAATGGGCATTACATTGAATTGATATCTGCATCCCAAGATACTATCCTTTGATTCACAACCTGCCAAATGCAGGAAACTGACACTAGCTGAATGGATGAGTGAAACCTATAAAAATAATGACTTCTTATGTCAGAGTGGTATTCAATTAACTCCTCCCTGCTGAAGGAATAGCTTCTGACAGTAGACGAGGGAGAAGGATCTTTCCTCACCCGCCTATAGCCCCCTCATGTACCCAGAGCTGGTTCGAGAGGACGAGGAGACCTCCTAGAGCAGATCTGGAAGGGCATGAGGCAAGTGGCAATGTGCAAGCAGGTGAGCTTTTTCTTTTCTCTGCATCAAGAACACAGGAGGATCGATCCAGTGTGGTGCAGCAACAGGTGCACGGTAAAGCTTTCCTCAGCCCATCACTGTATGGAGGTGGGAACGGGCCATTAACAGTGCCAGAAGGGGCTATGCAACTTACGGTTTTTGTGTCCCAGTGTCATAATTCGGTCCATGTCATCTGCATTATTTACAACATATGCTGAAAGATCTTTAATGTAGACTCCCACGTCAGGTCGTTCTTTAACCTACAAGACAAATCAGACAGTTGTTTCCAGGACGCATCACTAAACAGGGTGTGCCTATGTGACACAGAGAAATGCAATTCTTTATAACCCTTGAGCACAATATCACGAATGGAGCATAAATGCATTTCTATTCTGGCAATCCTAAAAGGATTCTGGAAACCACAAACAACAAAGGATTCCTTTTCAGGGCTACTTTATAGTACAATGTTTTATGTAAGTCTGTCAAGGAAGCCTGATAACACAATACTATGCATATTTACATAGAAGCCTGCTCCACTGATTTCAATTAGATTCACTACCAGGTAAGTGTGCATACAACTGCAGCCTAACAGAAAAATTTTATGTAAGAGGGAAAGGACTTCTCTCTCTAAATTAGGATTGCGCCCTTATAAAGGTAAATAGCCACATTAACTTTGCCACAGAACACCCCTTCACACTCTTTGGCTAGAAGATGGAGTAGCACCTGAATGGATCTTTTCTTGCCATTTCCTGTTTTCAAAAGTTATGGGTACCTGCTTCAAGGTGAGCAGTTATGTCAATGATAAAGGCCTTTTTCATACTTTGCGTTTGTTCGTAGTAGTTCAGAAAAACTCAGTTCTTACTTCTAGCCTCTGTGTCTGGTCCTTGCCCAGTAGATCACGTACTTCCTCATTATAGATTTCCAAATACGAGACTCGAACCAAAAATCTGAAGTTAAATGATATAAAATAATGATAAAAATGCAAAAATATTGAAAAAATTAAGTTGCTCATACAAGTAAATACATTTACAAAACATTCCAACACAAAAGAAGCGGATAAGAATAATAATTAAGGAATCAATGTTCAAAAAGAGGGCTGGAACAGCTTTCACATAAGGGAGTTAGAAAGTAATTTAGTAAAGACAACAACTGAGGTTTATGAACTGCCACATAATGGAAATTCATAAACACAATGTTATGAAGTAATTTTTTTTAACCACCACAATACTAACAAGAAATCATGCAGTAAACTGTGGGTAGTAGAGTCAATGTACATTAAGAATGTACCTCTTCATGTAACACATACTTGCACATGATGTGCTGATTGTTATCAGCTTTAGCAGGGTGTTGTCACAGAGAACAACCTTTGAGAGTAAAGTAGAACTCCATGTTTAGGGACAGGATACCTCTGAATACCAGTTGTTGGGCTGCCCAAATCCCAAGGGAGGGCTGCCTGCCTTCATGACCTGCTTGTCTATTTCCCAGAAGCATCTAGCTTGAAAGAGGGTACCTTGTATTTACCTTGTATCACCTTCTGCCTTTGCAATGTGCCCAAATATGTGAGCAAAAGAATTCGGAATGATCCCCCTGAGTTCTGGGACAGCTCGGACCCCTTCCATTGTAAACGTCTTTCCTGTTCCAGTCTGCCCATAAGCAAAAATGGTGCCTGCAAATACAAGACAGCACTAGCAATGCCTCATAACGATATAGACAGAAGAAATTATTAATCACATCTAAACTCATCTTTGTACCAGCAGCACTAGTAAGGCAGAATAGTGCAAACGGCAGCCTTCCCAACATGAGTGTATGCCAAGAAGTGGGAGAGAACGAAGCTTATGCAGTGTTCAGGTAAGGATGTACAAAAGTATTTTTTCTGTCCCCTCTCAGGTTCACACAGAAGCATCTGTTAATTCCATTCTGTCCCACTCTTGCATCAACCAAATGTGAACCAAGCTCATTCATTTTAAAGTGTGGATTGAACAAAACATACTTCTAGTCTTCCAGCATCCCTACTACAGACTAATCCAAACTGTAAGGTTGGGAAAAGCTAAGAAGAATCAGCACATGTGTCTCACCACAAAAAAACTATCACTATGATGCAATCCAAGGTCTTTGTCCATATGAAGTTTATGTTATAAACCCCATGTGTCCATCAGCTGCTTTGAAGGTTCTCCAATAAGTTGATGGACGCACCTTTAAAACTTTTCCTGCAAAAGCAGTTGCTGGTGTGAGCAGAAAAAAAATCTTTAAGACTGTTTGGGGTTTCTTGCGTAAAGATTAGGAGCAGGATATGGCAGAGTACTCGGCCTCTCTCCTGTCAGTTGATTTCCTGTTGAAATGCCCATCTCCCAGCTGCTTTAACCTTTGTGGTGCTTGTTTCCTGATTTACCTCACGAATGTAAGGTAAACTATGAGTATGGAACACTGGTTGAGAAAATGGCTGTTGGGAGAAGAGCCAAGCTTTCCTTTCCCCCACAAGAGCACTTTGCAACAGAGAAAGAACCATTAAGCTAACATTACACAGAGATGCACCGTAGTGTGTGGTCAGATCCCTGGTTATCTGAGACAGAAGCACAGATATGCTAAGTTAGCCTTAGAGGGAGAGTGCTGACTCAGTCAAGAAAATATGTTTTACTCTAACATAGGGCAATGTTCTTATTGAGTGGCAAGTCTGGAAGCTGCAATTAACCATAGTTTCCTGTTACAGTCCAACTGGGAACTTTTGGTTAATGATTTCTAAACAAGCCAGCATTTAAAAGCCATGTTAAAGGCCAAACATATCATGAACTTATGTGGATCAGGATGAAACTGGACCATTGTTAAGCTGTGCTTTAGGGTCACATGGATAAGACTGTTCAAGCTTTGTATGTGTCTGGCCCTTACTCTCTTTTCTTCTTGTGTAGCTACAGAATGGAGAGTGAAAGCCTCTGATTCTTGTTTATAACTAAGCCTGGCTTACTGTTAATCTGAAAAAGACAAGCATTGGTCAACTATGGCTAACTGAAACAGACTAAAATCTGGGTTTTATGGTTCTAGCTTGTAACGACTGTCTGTCTTTTTGGATGCAAGGATAAGTCCTGAATAAAGAGGAAACAGATGCAAGTATTTTCCCTGGAGCTATATTGAAGGAGGAAAGAACATAGGAAAAAAGGGGCGCAAGGGATGAGTAGGCTCATTCATTAAGCTATGATTCAGTTCAGACAATCAGTCAGCTTCGATGGCATATTTAAATCATGGTCAGATAAAAGGCACATCAACTCATGGAGGCAGCCATTCAAGCCATGGCTACAATTTGTCGTGTCATCTCTAGGTCTGCTCGAGGATTATGCAAAGATTGTTCAACCCTTGCGCAACTCTTGCTGCCCTGATTCAATGGCATGATGAACTGCAGGTATGGCTTGACTGTTCAAACAACACTCAGCATAAGCTGAAGCTCACCGGGGCTAAAAAAAGCCATGGTGGACCAATGCGACTGTGTAAACTGGATCTCTGTTTGCACTAGGCCACTGTCTGTTGACTTGGGGTAGGGAGGAAAGCCATTTCCCAGAACAGAATTTTCATCTGCAGCAAAGTGCAGCCCTTCATGCTGCCCTTTGGAGAACAGATACTGTTCTACAAGGAACTGTGAAAGAATCACAGAGAAGAAAAGTGCAGAGCAGATCTATTTTTCAGAAACATGCGAATACTTTTAAACAGAATACTAGAATCTTAATCGTAATACCATGGTGATTTCATTGTTGTTAACGACCAAGCAGAGCCATTAGAAAAAAGCAAATAATTTTATAAATAGCTCGTATTCCATACTGATACTTGCATTACTGAAGGTTTAGCTGCAGAAGAATACTTACTTCAAATTATGCTCCCCACCCCCCAGTCACTTTTATACAACAAAGAAGCACTCACCATTATATCCTTCTAGAACAGAGTCAATAATTGGCCTTGCTGTTAAATTGTAAACATCGAGCTGTTTGCTCTCTGGCCCAAAAACAGTATCAAATGTAAATGTTTTGGGAGGTTCATTGGAAGAATCTGTTTTATGGACAGTGATTGTGCCCCGCATTTCATCAACGTTAACTGCCATCTTGTAACACATTGTTTTTTCTCGTTCATTGAAAGGCCGACAACGGACAACGACCTTGACATTATCAGAATTTTCAGGCTTGTCTGGTTTCTCAGATTTGTTGATCTGAAGAAAGAAAGAAATGGTCAGTTCTAAATTCATGAAAGAGCAAGAAACAAAACTTCGTAAGAGTGATTGACAATTGCTGCCATCAACTATAGGGAACTTCTTTCTGAAGCTATAGAAGATCATCACTCAGTTTCACAAATTTTGAGACATGCAATCAGTTCTGGACCAAAGGAGTAACTGACCACCTGCTACTGACTTCTATTAAACACTGGTATCTATTCAGCAGATATCTATTGCCCTAACCCTTCCCTCAGCTGGCGAGGGAAAGTCACATCATACCTCTAAATGTCAGAAACCATATATCAAGACAATCAACACCAGCCTTCCACAACCTGACAGCCTTCAGTGTGCCAGACTAACACTTCCATCTTCTGTACCCATCATAGCTTGTGTTCTTGCTGGCTGGGGATGATGAGGGTTGTAGTCCAACAGCCTAATGGAAGGACACTAGGCTGGTCTAAACCACTTCTGAAAGAATGTGTTGCTGAAATGTCAAAATCTTTCCAGAGTGAGGACACGCTACCGACTGAGGCTGGGGAAAAGAATAATGGCTGGGGACAACTTGGGGGAAGAAGCTTCACAGAATGGGCCAGAAATAGATGGATATGGGGAAGATTCTTGGGAGCATGGACTGGAAGCATGAGCAAGTGGATGGTACTATAAATAATTTGGAAGCATAACATTCCTGGCATTAATGTTAAGTTAAATTATATTTCATAAGGAGCCTTGGAAGTGCTTTGCCCTGAAAGACTACATATAGGTACATTTTGAATAAATAAAGAGCTTGGGAGAATTGCGGGGGTAAATACATGAATATACAAGAACTATGAATCAGCACTGCTCTATTCTGCAACCTATACACCAAAAAAACTTACACAGCCATGGAGATTTTCAGGTAAAACTCTCCCACTTGAAATGGCCTCTCCATTTAAATATACCAAACCTAAATCTGTTGTATGTCTTGAGTAAAAGATTTACTGGATATATTCAGTTCTAGTTGCATTATATAAGAAGTGCCATGTGCTAGAAGAACATCACCATTTTCAACATTATTTAATATCCATGTTTTTAACAAAATAGGTTTAAAAACAAAACTAACAAAAGGAAAAACAAGTCCAAGAGGGACTTTAATGGTAGAAAAAAACCAAACCTGGGTCCAGGGATAGTCACCAACTGCTAACCGGTAGTGAACCTCCTGTTTTTGGGCAAGGTGTTGGAGAAAGTTGGCTGGGAAGTTCCAAGAACTCTTGGATTTTCTGGATCCATTTCAATTGGGTTTTAGGCTAGGATTCGGGATGGAGACTGCCTTGGCTGCTATGGTGACCTTTGCTGGGAGAGAGACAGGGGGAGTGTCTCTCTGTTGATTCTTCTCAATCTCTCAGTGGCTTTTAACACCACAAACCATGGTGTCCTTCTGGATAGGTTTGCCGGGATGGGAGTTGGGGGCACTGTTTTGCAGCGGGTCTACTCCTTCCTGGCCAACTGTGTCCTGAAGGTGGTGCGGGGGAATAGTTGCTCTACCCTGTGCCATGGGATTCCACAGGACTCTATACTATCCCCAGTGCTGTTCAACATCTACATGAAACCGCTGGAAATGGTCATCAGGATGTTTGGGCTGAGATGTCAGCAGTATGCTCAGCTCTATCTCTTATTCACATCTAAGCCAAGAGAGGTGGTCCCTGTGCTGAACCTGAGCTCAAGAATGGACTGAAGAAGGGAAAATAAATTGAAACTCAATTCAGACAAGGTAGAAGTGCTGTTGGATCTTCATCCTGTCAGACAAGTCACCTTTTATGATCATGTCCTGGATGGAGCAAATTCAATTGGCTCAAAATTGGGCCACGTATTTAGTAACAGGTGCCCGCCTGTGGGTCCACATAACTCCAATTCTATATAAACTGCATTGCTTATCACTTGAAACACAGGCCCAATTTAAAGTGCTTGTTTTAACATATACAGTAGTACATCAGTTCACGACCAACTCAGTTCATGAACAAAAGTTTCAGAAAAATTTTGCCTCCGTTCATGAACTCCACATCGGGTGACAACCGATGGAACATTGCAGCCATGTTCCTGCATGAACACGATCATGGCCATCTTCCCCACACAAGCACAATCGCAATCACACTCATTTTCCTTGCTCACGGTCGCAGACAGACCTGTGGTCACTTGCTGTGAAGCTTTTTTGTGTGCTTTTTAGCACATACAGTACTGTAAAGTATTATTCAACAATAATATTGAGTAAGGGCTCCAAAGAAAGTGCAGAGCAAGCATGGTGGTAAAAAGAATGTGCAGAGCGGTAATGAAGGTGACCAGAACTTGCAGCTAAGAGACAAAGAAGAGAGGACACCCCTGAAGGAGATCTCCCTGATGTCCTTATGGAGGGGGACTCTCCCTCAAAACAATAACCTCCCCCTCACCTAGGTCAGTGTTCTCTACTGTATTTTGTTACTTCGTTGTTCTTTGTTACTTTGTTTCAATTTTTTGTGATTAAAAAAATATTTACAGAATGGATTAACCTTATTTACATTGAACCTTATGGGGGAATTTGACTTGGCTTGTGACCAATTCTGGTAGTGACCAGAGTTGTTGAACAAATTAAGTTTGTGAGCTGAGGTACCACTGTAATTATTTTTATTGTTTTAGTGTTTTAGAATTTATAATATCAATTGTTTGCTGTAAGCCATCTAGAGATTCATGTTAGCCTAGTGGGCAGCATATAAATTTAAAAATAAATAAATATGTTAAATTCATTGTACTGTATAAGGGCAGAAAAATAAACTTAATTTCTATGTAATTAGAAACACAATGCTATGCAAAAAGTACTATAGTCCCCATTATCTACCAGCAGGACCAGGGTTTATCTGAAACTCAATGGATTGCCCTGGATTGATCCTGAATTCTTTCTGTCTTCTGACAAGATTCTCATGCAGTTCAAAACTGCTAAGTCATAGACTGAATAAACCAATTAGCAAGCTAGATCTAAGATACAAAACAGAACAAGTCTGAGTACAAAATAGGTGGCTTTATTGTGATAGACTGATTTCTTCAGAATGAACAGACAAATCATGCTGAGTGGTTGAAAAGGTGATGAATTCTGCTCTTTTAAAAATCAGTAACTGACACTACTGAACTTCCATACATGCCTGGACAACATGTGTGTGATTTGTAATCAATGATCCACCTCCAGACAAGCAGTGTATACAGCTTGTAATCGATCTGACCACCTCTGTCTTGTGTATTTCACACTTATTTGTTGAGGTAGTGAGAGTGAATGGGGCACACCCACAATTTCCAGATGAGTAGCTCTTTCCAAAATAGAGTCCTACCAACAACTCTAGCTTACCAAGCTTTCTGGAAGCCTGCCCTCTGCACCTAGATATACAACAGATTACTGTGGGTTATTCAGTAGCATAAGAGAGGAAGGCCTTCACATTTCCTAGGAAACATCGGTTCCACAGTCATCAGCAATGTGCAAAACTGAACCAGAATTTAATTAATCCCAGAATCACAAGCCAGGCAGACACTAATATGCAATAGATGCAGTTGTTGTAATAACAAACTTGCTCTATGAAGAGATCTAAATAGCCAAAAGCTGCGATTGCCATACGGCATCACGTGGTTTTATTATGGATGCATAATTAGTGCAACGAATTGAATTTTATTTTGAAAGAAGCCTCCAGGACCCTGCTCATCCAGACATATATTATTAATAACAACAACAACAATACCGACACTACCGGCAGACAGCTGGGGTGTTAGCCCAGCCCAGCCCAGCCCAGCCCAGGGACTCATCCATATCCCCTCCCCAGCCCCGCTGCACAAGCTCAGGATGCAGTCGGGGAAACCGGCCCGACCCCTCCCCGCGCCATCCTCCATTGCCCTTCCATCACCGACGCCAAGCCTCGCTTCCCAGCCAGCACCGCCCCTAGCAACCGGCCCGCCGCAGCAGCGGAGGACCCGCTGGAAGGCACGGCCGGCTCTGGCTGCTCACCGGCATCCTTCCTGCGCGGGGGTCCGCGGGGCTAGAAGGCTCCGCTCCGGCCCAAGTGGGGGGCAGAGGGCAGAAGGGGCCGCTCGCAGATACAAGGTACCCGTCCTCGGCTTTGATACAATTGTAACAATAACCAGGGCCAGTGCGCCTGCGCCGCCTGAATGACAGCACGAGCAGCCCGCCCGCCCCCCGCCTGCGTCATGCAGAGGCTTCTCGGCCAATAGGAAAAGGCTCACGCCGGATCTCCTCAGCTATTGGTCCCGCTTTGTAGCCAATGAGAGAAAGAGAAAGGCCGCACGGGTTTCGATAGCAGCCGTAAGAGGGAAGGCTTTAGCCTGGCGAATAGTCGCGGTGAAGCTTTAAAGTGAAAGGGGGATCAGCTGTTCTATTATTACTGTTATTTTTCAGGCTATTTGCCAATGAATGTATTTAAGTAAGTTTGGCTAACACAGAAAGTGTTTCTAGAGGACAGAGCATCTTCTTTCCGGCATATGTGGGGAGCAATCCCTCGCTGCGTACGCTGTGTCCTCATCCTCACCGAGCATCGGTCAGCCCGGCATGGCTTTATCGCATCAGCAGGGGAAGATTCTTGTTCTGCCGCGTGAAAAACAACAGCTTATGGTCCCTTCAACCAAAACGTATTGTCCAGTCGTGGTAATGGTGGTTGTTTTAAATTCTGCAGTGTCAACTACGCTATATATATCTAAAGATATGTGTCCTTAAAAGTCAAGAGATACTCCCACTGGTTTCTGTATCCTCCTGTTTTGGCAGTCTCTGGTTTTAAGACTGTGCCCAAAAGTCCTTTTTGTCCCGTTGACCATCTGGCACAAGAGCCAATGGATACATGTCGAAAACTTTCATACCAACGAAGTAAGTAGTTCCTGGGCATGCAGTAAAGATCAAGGATTCCCCTTTCCTGAACAGCTTTCAAAAGAGGGTTTTGCTTTTGTGTCCGCGGTTAGTTTGGCCACAGGTTATCGCGGCGGTAGGCAGGCTTTGCCCCTACTTAACCATGGTGCCCGATCAAGTGTGCGTGACTGGTAGCCCATGCACCTGCGCAAGCAAGAAGGCAGCATCCAGGGATATCACGTGGTGGGGGTGGAACTTCTGCCCCAGCGCTGTGACCGCTGCTGAAGACTTGTATTCATACAGCCACTCTAACGGACAGGGGGAATTATTAGTAGGAAAATAGCATCGGAGTAAAGGGTTAATCTTTTCCCCATCCTCTATCTGCATCTGGGGGTGGAGATGAGGGGGCGATTAAATTTAGTACAACTGCTGTGTGTGTAAGTTACTTGCTGCAGGGGCAATTGCCGCCACAACTCACCTTGAATCTGGGCCTGGATGGTTGTCATAGGAAAAAAGTTCCATCTAGTTTGTTCCTAAACTGTGGGAAAATGTTGGGAAAGAATGTGGAGAATTGAGTGTGGTAGATCTTAACTTGAAGTTATGGAAGAAAACCATAACTTCTGTATAATTAAGAACAGTGCAGGGTTTTAGTCTGGATTTTTTTTTAAAAAAAACCCTTTCTATTACATAGATTATTAATACTGGCTTGGCTGCTACTTATGTATTGAATTTTAGTATTTTTAATAGGATGCATTAATATTAAAGTTGGCTTTTATTAATTTCTTTGTGTATTATGGTATTTCATTTTTGCTTGGATGCCAGTTCAAGAGGGTCTTTATCCTTGCTGCCTAAACAAATTTTAAATGAGGAAATAAAATCACCCTCGTTGACAAATAGAAAGCAATTCTATTATGTTAATAGTGATACTTGTAATATCTCTCAGTTCTTATACATAAATTCAAGCAAATCCTCTTAATCTAAGGAAAACTAACTTTTGAGTCCCAATATTTTTTATGTAAATGCAAAGCCCTATAAAATTAAAGCAGGAGCTTTTTAGGTTTATGCTTTGGCCAACCCCTTCCTAAAGGTATGTGGTCTCAATGTGTAAAGAAACTATGACATTTGCAATATGTAAAGCCATTCACAAGAGTGCTTCCAGATGGAGGGCTTCTGTTCTGTAGGTATTCCACCTTTTCTTACTAAACAGTTTTTACATTTTTTTATGGTAAGAACAAGAATGGACACAGCAGGGGGAAAATATGAGAGGGTTCAAATTGAACACAGTGTGGTCTGAGGATCTCTGAACATTTTGTACGTGAGGAAGGGCAGTGCAACTGCTTCATCTGGAAGTACCACAAGTTTACATGTCCAAATACAATTTTGCTGATTCACTGGTGAGTCTCTGAAGATATTACAGCAGAGATTCAGAATGACAACAGGATAGCAATCAAGAAAATGAATATAAACTCTAGCTACAGGGTTTTACATAATGTTGTAACCACTCAAGAAAGGAGGAGAAAACAGACACTACTGATAGGTTTGAACATTAGATGGAAAGCATACAAACTCAAAATTAGTCATTCTTTAGCATTCAGGGAAACCTTTGAAGTGACCAGTCAGGAGATTGAAATCAGACAAGTTGGTTTCAGCCAGGCAGGTGGTGGCTTGCATCATTTCCGCTTATTCATAGGGAGTTCCAAAAGTAGGCCATAACAAGCTAAAGCAAGGCATAGAATACAGCAAGTGTCCATTCCTATTAATTGCTGTGGTCACAAAAACATGCTTGTTAGCTGTTTACTGAATGCCTATGAGATTACATCAAGTTTATATTGGGGATATTGGTTTCGAATTTTGCTTGCAATTTTTGTTTCAGGTGTAAGAATTGTTGCACAGCAGTTTTCAAAAAATGTCAGGCATAAACAAAAATACCTAAAATGTAGCAACAGATTGGGATGTTCAGTTGTTTTTAGGGAGGACAAGTTAGTGATACATGGCCAATGATGTACTAGAGGGATAGTAACACTTTGGCAGTGTTCAAATCGATTCAATGTTAACCACTTTTATGTCCCAGAGTAAGCAAAGAATTTTGTAAGCAATTTTTGTCAGGAACAGATCAGAACTTGTTGACATACTTTGGTCCAGTTTTAGTCACACTATTTAATCTTGCAGCACAAGTGCTTCATGACACAATCAGGAAATCTGATATGGATCCACCCCAGCAACTTGCCTCCAGTTATAACATAATTGTTGATACCTAGGGTGGTTGGATGGAGATTTCCCCAGCCTTAATGGTTCAGCACAGTACCATTTTGATTAGATTTCAACCTTCTTAAACTAGCCCTTTTGAGACCCCTCATACCTTTAGCAGCAAGTCCTCTTGTTCCCGGCAATCCAAGACTTATATTGACTCTGCCCATGTCTTCTCCTCTCTTTGGTTTATTGGCCTCATTGGACTCAAACCCCTTTATAGCACTTGTTTAACCTTTACAAAACCCGGGCCCCAAGCTCTCAGGGTGCTGGCAACCACATGGTCCCACACTGCTGAAATCACTGGTTGGGTTCCTAGTCACCTGTAGTCAAGGTATCCTTTTGCTGCAATCACTTCTGCTTGTGGTAGAAGCCTAGTTTGTTCTGGTTGGATCTGCTGATTCTCTCTCCACCATTGCAATCTAAATCAAGGAATCTTGGGTTCTGTCCAGGCCTCATCAGACTCCTTTTGCCAGAATATCCACTCTGGCCACATAAGCCCAAGCAAGAGGAAATTTTCCTGAAACCTCAGGCATTTCCCTATATCCCAGGGCCTTCAGGATCACAGGAAAGGTATCTTCCAATTCCATTCTATCTTCTGGAGGTTCTTTATCTGCAAATGGAACTCTGCAGCCCTATACCCACCTTCCTGTTGCATGCCTGTGTGAGCAGCAGGCTTAGCAATTCAGTCTGTTTTAGGGACCAGTTTTGGGGTCAGAAACCCAGACATCTCGATGCAGTCTTGTGGTGGTCATCAAGTGGGAATGAATGTGGCTGAAACCTGGATCTCCTTTGTTTCCCTTTCCCAATGAGCCGTTTCTATTTTGTCATCAGTCCCTGTGGCAGTTTGATACAATAGATATAGGCCTCAAGGAAGATTATTGCAGGGTACAAGAAAAAAAGGAAATAGAGGAGAAGGCACTGAACAATCACAGCTGGAATGCGGTAACTTGAGTCCTGTCTCCCACTTCGTCACAGTGACTTGATGCAAGGACTGGCTTTGGCTTATCATCTGCTGCTAAAGGCAAGCTTCTGTGAACTCCACCTCCCCCGCTTGCAGTTGCATCTCTCTGAATCTTCTCTATCTTTCTGTTCCAGCTACTTTGGGGTCCCAGTTTGCTTTGCCATAAGCTTCCCAGCTCCCTCAGAACCACAGACCAAGCAAGTTCAGCCCAAACTCTTCACAAATGACTGCAGCCCTTGGTTTGGCCGCTGAACAGGTCTTTAAGGTCTCCACCACTTGAATCTAGTGCATGGTCATCTATTTTGCCTTTTATCCATTCGTTTCCTATGCAAAGGTTTTCTTTGTCACGCTAAAGTTCATATAGTGCCTGTTCACAATCAGCAAAGAGCAATCTTTGTGTGAATTCTATTCTTGTGTGTCCAGTAAAATTCCTGTTTTTGAAGATATCTCTGACTGTGTATTGCTCAGTCACCTCTGCCAAGATAAGAGCAAACTTCAGAGGTCCCTTAAACAGGTATATCTCTCAACACGCATACACTTACACACATCTCAGGAACATTCAGTAACAGTTGTGTGTCACCACTTTCAATGGAATTCATTTCAAAATGCATATACCTACTTAGGGTTGTGAAACTTTGCTTTGTGTAGATTCCATGTAAATCTTGTAATGCATTTTTACTACCCATTTCAGTAGCAGATTATTTCTATAGAAACTTCAGCAGAGAACTATTTCACTTTTGTAATGTGCATACTGCCACTTTAGGAGCTGTAGACTGCTACTGTTCCTCTTTGCTTTGTCTCCCTGTTGAGAAGAGTAGCTCTGATCTCAAATCCCTCTGATCTCATAGCATAATTCAAAATAGAGGAGGCCCACAGTGCAGATTCAGCAAAGCCTCCCCAAAGGATCGGAGACACTAACATTAAAGAAGTCAATAGTTAAAGAAGTCAGTATTTGAAATATATTCAACACCCAATTCCATAAAACACCCTAAATACATTCTTAGTAGCTGTAAGAAGTTTGCATGACTTCCAGAAGCCATTCCAAGATTGGGCTCAGACCTAGATATGGAATTTCAAATATACTGGAGCCAACAACTTAAAAGATCCTTCACTGAGGGAACAATCCCACTCAAGTCTGAGGCCTATAGCTTAGAGACCAATGTTCCCCAGCCAGCATAGCTGGGAGCTGCTTTCCCTGACTCAGCTCCACCTTATTACCTGAATGAAAGAGTGGGATGGCCTTGGCTACAGTCCTAAATGATTCCCCTAGCTCCCCTGCAACTCTGTTCCACTTGCCTTAACTGGCACCATTCACTTATGTTAGGTTACAACCTCGGCAGTGCAGGACGATGGGAACTGTAGTCCAATACAACCTTAGAACACAACGTTGGTACATAGGCATGCCACCTCTGCTCCTGAAGGTCGCAGGGATGCAGTGCCCTCTGTGGCAGGAAACTTTAAGGGGGCCTTTTTCTTCCGCTAGAACATGCGAAGACTAATGTAAAAGAAGTTTACATTACATTACATTCCCCGGCTCCATCTTATTACCCGAAGGGGCTCCGGAAGTTCCACTAGCGGTTCCAAACCCCCCGCAATGCTGGCGGCACCCCGTGTGAAAGATTCCGGGCGGTTCTAAGCCGCGGGCGCCCGACTTCTCCTCTCCAGCCCCGCCCCGCAAGCCGTGCCGGTCCGCACACACCTCGGCGGGCTCATGCCGCGCAGCACGTAGCTGGCCGGCCCTCTGCCCCGCCGAGCATCCCCCGGACTCGAGAGCGGGAAGCCGAGCCCGAGCAGAAAGAGCCAGCGCCGAGCAGAGAGGCGGAGCCGGGCGGCTTGAACCCGCCCCCGAAGGGCGCTCCCGGCCGAACGCACTCGGGCGGGCTGCCAGTCAGCGGCGGAGCGGCTCCGGAGGCAGGCCGAGCGGCCCCTGTTGCTTGCGCGGGCCACGCAGGGCTCGCAGCCGGAGAGAGACGCGGCCGCCGGGCTCGCCCGCCACGATGCCGAGTGCCGCCGCCTCTTGGCCGATCGCGCCCCTGCCGGGGAAGCGCAGCGAAGCCGCCTGAGGGGGCAACAGAGGAGCCACGGGCAGAGCGCCCGCGAAGCCGCCGGCGCTGCCATGTCCCGCCGGCCCGGCCCGGGGAGGTAAGAGCCCGCCCGAAACGGGGGGATTGTGCGGGGAAGGCAGCCGCCCTCGGGCGGTCGCCAGGCGTGCCCGCGCGCTCCGCTCCGGGGCGACACTTGGAGACGCGCTTCCCGGGCGGTTTGTTGTCGCGCGGCGACTCCCCCTTCGCGGGCGCCCCGGCCCGGAGGCGGCTTCCCAAAACGAAGCGCTGCGGCTCTTCCCTTTCTCCATTTTCTCTCTCTCTCGCTCGCTCTCTTTTTTCTATTTTTGAACTGCAAGGCATTCATATGATCTGTGTCACGTGTGTTGTTTCCTGTTGTTAGCTTTTCTGAAAACGGAAAGAGACAGTGGTTTGGCTGCGTCCGTTTGGGCGACTTGCACTTTCCTGTCTTCCTTCTGCTGTCTGCAAGGCAGATTGAGGCAGGATACGCTTAGCAACTGTCCCCCTGAAAGGCACTTCGTACCAGACTTAAACAAACAAACTAACAAACAAGCATACCCGTAATCTCATTTTACTATGTGTCGCCCCCACCACAAGTTCTGAAGGCCGTCAAATGCATGAAATGCAGGTTTCTTGTTTTGTTGCTGTAGTCCTCAGCTTTGTCGGGATTTAGACCCGACCTTTCAACAGAGTTCTTAATGCAGCTTAGTAAAACAAAACAAAAGAAAAGAAATCAAATCAAAACAACAAACCAAACCTTGAAATTAAAGCAAGTAAAACAAAAAACAAAAAAACATTACAACATCACCCTTTTAAAAAGCAGCCTAAAAGTCACTTGGCAGAACAACAGAGCAACTTGGCTATATGTTATTTATTGTTTAGATTGCTTTTAATGTACCTGATTTTACTGATTGTGAGCCATCCTAAGAGGCCTTGCATAGGAGACGGCATATAAAAATTTTAGATAAATAAATGGCAAGAGTTCAGTTGAGAGTCCATTTGCAGAGTATTCAAAAACCTTGGAACGTGTAAAAGTCTGCACCTGGTGCTGAAACATCAAGATATTGCCAGTGCACCTCTCGGGATTGGGAAAGAGGGTTCTTTCTATGGTCACCTTTAGCAGTCAGTAGCCTCCCACTGCTATCCAGGATCAGTAGCAAGCCTTCCACAGCCTGGGTGGCACAGAGCATTATTCCAGGGGTTAACCAATGATCAGTTGTGGTGAAGAAGTTCTTTCTTTAGTTTTGTTCTAACTTGATGTTATAGTCTCAGCTATGAGGAAGTTCAGTCTGGTATGGATAGGGATCTTGAATGTTTCTGCTTATGTTGCTCAGCTTCAGGTTCCGGGGTAGTTATGGTGAGCCCTAAGTGCCTGGGGAAATGCTTACCGCAATTTATCTGCCGTGCCACATGCAGTGTGAATATTGGTCACTGCATCTTGGTGGGGTGGGCCTAGGACTGGCAGAGCTGCAGAGTTATCAGTGGACTACTTTGAAAGAACAGGCTGATAAAGCCTCGCAAAGGATCGGCCAACCTGTTCTGTCTATAAACGTGAGTGATGTTTGGGTTGAAATGTAGGCATAGTGACTTCAGGCTTCTGGCTAAGGAAAGCAAGCAAGAAAAAATGAGTAGTTCTGTGTGCATGAGCACATTGAGAGAAATGTATCAGGGATGTGTATTTATCTCCTGTATCTCAATGCACAAAAGATTTGTGCTCAGAGATCGGCTGTAGAGTAGAAGATGTGAGGCAGTGCAGAACCTGGTAATATGTAGCCCCCGGGCATCCAGTTGCTGTGCTTGCTGCTTCGTATATTGGGATTTCAGGCTGTTTTTAACTTCGTAGACCATCTTTGTGAGCCCTTTTTCTGAGATGCCCTTTCCAATTCCCTTCTCTCTCTCAGAATAAGTGGATACTCACCTTGTCCCGGAAGTTTCCTGATCCAAAACATGCCTTCTGAGTCAGGCTATCATGGACATGATGACACATGACCCTGGCATGACCTCCTCACCTCCACCTGTCTAGCCTGTTGTTCTGAGGGGAATCCTGGCTTGTGTGTCACAATCTGGTCTCTCAATGCCATGCAGTGTGAAGGCTCTTAGACCAGAAGGCTTGTTGGTGCAGATTGGGGGGCTGGGGGGGAATGACCAATGACCCTGACCATCAGCGATGCAGACTGGGCATGATGGGAACTGGAGTCCAAAAGCAACATCTGGTTGATCCTCCAGGTGGTGCGAACTTCAGAAAGCTGTTTGGCAAATGTGTGTGCATCTGTGTGTGTAAATGTACTTTTGGAATGTACTTAAATGAAAGTCCCCCTGCCCAAAGTCCACAAATTCATGTGCATGTTATCTTTTTCCACATGTTAGCTCACTATCTTAGATGCCGCCTTCTGTACATCATTGTAAAACCATTCTTGGTGATGGCATACCCTTAGTTGTTTAGATGTGTATCCTTTACAAAAAGTGCTGAGAAATAGAGTCTAAGTTTTAGTTTTTGGTGTGTTTTTAATCAGTATTGTACAGTGTTTTTTTGAAATTCAGTATTAAGAAAACTAAGATCATGGCATCCGGTCCTCTCACTTTATGGCAAATAGATGGGGAAGAAATGGAGATAGTGACAGATTTTATTTTCCTGGACTCCAAGATCACCACAGACGGTGACTGTAGCCAAGAAATTAAAAGATGCTTGCTCCTTGGGAGGAAAGCTATGGCAAATCTAGACAGCATACTAAAAAGCAGAGGCATCATCCTGCCAACAAAAGTGCGTATAGTCAAGGCTATGGTTTTCCCAGTTGCAAAGTACTGTATGGCTGTGAAAGCTGGACCATAAGGAAGGCTGAGCGCCAAAGGATTGAGGCCTTTGAATTGTGGTGCTGAAGGAGACTCCTGCGAGTCCCTTGGACTGCAAGGCGATCAAACCAGTCAGCCCTAGAGGAGATCAACCCCAACTTCTCTTTGGAAGGCCAGATACTGAAGATGAAACTCAAATACTTTGGCCACCTAATGAGAAGGAAGGACTCCCTGGAGAAGAACCTGATGCTGGGAACAATTGACGGGAAAAGAAGAAGGGGACGGCAGAGGATGAGGTGGCTAGATGGAGTCACAGAAGCAGTCGGTGTGAGTTTAGGTGGACTCCGGGACAGGAAGGCCTGGAGGAATGTTGTCCATGGGGTTGCAATGGGTTAGATGTTACTTTGCAACTAACAACAACAACAATAGTGCTTTTATTACATTTCTGTTAGCTGCCCTGGAAAAATGGTACAGTTAGCAGAGGCAGTATGTCTCGATGTCTCACCAGCCAAAAGGCCATAACATACAAGCTGAGTGTTCCTTTTACATTTTATTGTCTCATTAATTTAAATTGCTTAATTGTGACACTTTGCATTTGGGGTTAGAACTAGTGAGCGTTCTATTAGTCACCTCAGCCCATGGCTATACTGACTTTTCTAGAAAAGATTTGCTCCTGCAGTAGTCTAGTAGTGATCGCATTTTGGTAATGCCGAACTGGTAAGGCCCTCCAGATATGCTGGACTACAATTAGCCGTGCTGGCTGGAGATGTTGGTAGCTGCATCCGGAGAGAGGCAGGCTGAGAAGACTTTGGTCTCTTAACTTCTATCTTTAACATGGGTCCCTGTTCTGACATGTGCTGTCACATCATTGAACGCTTACATTTGAGACTGTACTTTGGAAATAAAATACTTCTTGGTGTTGCAGTTGCAGGTAGTGCTGCCTTTCCAGGAAACAGGTCTCTTCAGTAACGGTTATGAAGTGCACGGGGGCTTTGGAGAGCCTGAAGCTTGCCTCGGAACTGAAGCATGCTCTGGCAAGGGAGGCAAAAGTTTGGAAGGTGCCTGTCTTCCACAATTTCACATTGAAGGTATGCTCCTCCACATTTCATATGGAAGGACTCTCTACGACATACGCAGTTAGAGGTCCACACACACGTGGGAATGAGGCCCTGCTAGATTGGTGTTTCCCAGCCTTAGGATTAGGCGATCACAGGTACCCACCCATTCCCCCCACATACACTGCTGCCCATCATCTAGATGGACATTGAGTAACTTGCGTACAGTTAGTAACACTTTGTGTGAGGCAGAAACCTTCCCAGGACTGAGCCTGAGTGAAAATGAAGAATCCCACAGGGTAAGGAGATGAGGCATGGGTTCTGTTTGTCTGAAAAGCCTCTTCCTAGCAAAGAGCATCTTGTCCCTGGTACAATAAGTAAAAATAAGGCAGAGTAAAATCTGAGCTGCTTTTCCATGGCATGTGCCTAAGGAAATGCAGGCAACCCCTATGAATACGAACTCCATTTTCAGCCTTGCTCAGAAACATGATCTTTCAATTCTGGGTTGTCCCAGATGAGCCTCTTGTTAGTTTTAACTCCATTCTTCCATTTTAGGGCACAGACATCTCTCCACTATATTACGAGAAAGCAGTTTTGTGGATTGGAGAATTAAGCTCCCGGTTTCAGTTTTGCTCTGAAACCTTTGCCTTGGCGATCAGCATTCTGAATCGGTTGCTGGCATCAGTAAAAGTAAGGAATGTGGGCCCCTCCCTGTTGTTACCAGTAATGAGAAGTGTGACGAAGGGCTCCCTTGGCTGCATGCAGGTGCTCTCGGGGAAGATCCCAAAGGGGGTTACATCATAATCCTAAGCGTATCTATTCACCGCAAGTCCCACTGAGTTCATTGTGCTGGATCCAAGGCCTGCTTTGCACTGCCCACTTTTGCGGGACTTTCCCTCCACATACAATTTGGTCTATTTAGCAGGGTCTCCTGACTCTTTGTGTGGTCTTCCAGGGGCTGCTGCGGGGAGGAGGGTGTGGGAACACCCACTTCCACCAGCACAATCCACAAGTCCAAACCTGGTCCCTACCCAGAGAAAGGTACTGAGTTAAGTGCATGCAGGGGTGCAGCCCAACAGTACAACCCTACGCAGAAAAAGGATCCAGTTTTTTGGTTTACAGCCTAGTAGTGTGCACAGGGTCACATCCTTTGTTAGCGGAACTTAGGACACCTTGAAATCGGTGTGAAAAGATAAGAGAGCAATTTGTGTGAGCATCTCAGGGGCCATTGGAGTCCTGAGAGCATCCCTCCCCCACCCCCAAGTGGCAGTGCTCCAGCATCAGGTGGGGGATTGGAGGTCTGCTGCCCTGCGGCTGGCTCTGCTTGCCTTTCTGAGGTCAGAAAACTGACCTTGGAGAGGGGGGAAACAGAACTTTCCAGTTGGCAGAGAGGACCTTGGAGAGGCCAGGATGCTGCTTATTCTGTGCGTCCTCCAGCCTCCTTCCCTCCCCACTGAAGTGCAAAGCTAGGTGGACTGAAAAGTCTGTTGCTCAAGGGTCACCTGAACTTCGCCCATCCTGCCAGCTTCAGCCCAGCAGGACATATTGAACACCTGCATGTTTGGGGGTTTCTGAGCAGTGCGGGTGGCGAGCAAAGCACCCTAAAACATGAAAGAAGTCCCACTGAGTGCAATCGACTTAGTCTGGACCCAGCCCGGTGTATCCTGTGTGTTGCAATGATGTGGCTGAGAAGATCTCTAAGGCTTAGAGCTGAGATGTGCTCCACACCTTGCACTCTCAGTCAAAGGCCCTTGAAAGTTCAGTGAAGCAAAACATGCATGTATCCTTCACGTGATGGAGGGCCACTGCTTTGTAACTGGATATGAATCCCCATGTGCAAAGTCAGGGCTTGGGAGAACCTCCAGGGAATCTCTTTGGAAGACGACTGCAATTATATCTGGACCTCTTTCATCACTTTATCAGTTAACTCATATATAAAATATGCACAATGCAAAGGTCTCTGCAGATGGTTCTTTATCACTGCTCTGTTCTTTTGGACCCAATATCCCTGGATTCCTGTATAAAGATCTTCAACGTAATAGTATGCAGCTGATGAGTCGAGTATAACATGCAACTGAATTGATAAAATTTCCATAGACCATAGCTATGTACAGATTTACTCAGCAAGTGCAATTAAAGAACCTAATTAAAAAAAGAAAAGCAGGACAACATGTTGTTGAATCTAGAATTTTTGTTTGTTGGTTGGTTTTACATATTTTATCGTGCAATTCTAAATCAAAATGAAAACCTAAACAAACCAAAAGCTAGAATAAAGCAGAGCTGCATGGCTCTGGAATTGTTCCACTAGCAGAAGGGTACTGCTGTCGAGTCAGGACTTACAGATCCTTCCTTACTGCAGAGGGGTGGGGGTGGGCAGAGTGGAGTGGCGGCCATGGTGCCGTTCTGCCAGTGGTGTCCTCTCTTGCTGTTCTGTGTGCCCTGCCATTAGGGTTCCATAGGGGCATGCTGACCCTGTCCTAATATTAGTTTATATAGTTTTCAGTAGGTCTTTTCCCAATTGGGTCTCATCCTCCATGCCTTCCCCACCCCATTCCCCTCTCTTTCAGGCGCAGTTGAAATACCTACGATGCATCGCGATCACTTGTCTGGTTCTTGCAGCAAAAATCAATGAAGAAGATGAGGTATGCATGGCTTTACACGTGGCAAGTTCAGAGGGGTCCAGCTTATTTTAAGAGTGATGTGCAGCATGTTCACTCCACTGTTATAAAAGGGCTCTATCCTTATGTGGAAGTAGATGGAATCCCAGGGCATCCGTGCAGGACAAGTGGAACCTCGGTCTCCACTAGGCTGCCTGTTGGTTGCAGCCCTATTATAGTCACTTAGATCCAGCTATCCAGTGAGCAGAGCTGCAGTGAGAGCTCTTGGCAGCCTTTTGAGCTCCACAGAACTCTTCATCAGGCTTGATGGTGAACCAAGCTGGAAGAATAGGGGGCAGGGGGAAGGGCGAAAAAAAACTGCCCTATCGTGAAGAGGTGGATTCTATATTTAGTCACAGTGATGGGATTCAAAGACCCAAACATCAGGAGGCCATCAAGATGGAACGTGGAGAGGAGGGGGCAAGGATTCAAACTGGCTCAGTCTCGGCTCTGTGATGGCTTCAAGTTGACCACAGGGAGGTGCCTGATGCCACCTCAGCCCATCTAGTGTGAACATTGCCTGGCAGGGGGCTCCTCAAAGCTTCGGGCTGATTTTATGCCTGACCTTACCAAAAGAGGCCAGGGATTAAACCTGGGGCCTTTTGCATGTGCACTGCCACTAAGCAATGCCCCACCTCAGGCTGCTGGGATGAAGAAAGCCTGCAATAGTTCATCCTTTAGTTTTGAAAAATAACAGTTGGATTTTTTGTTCCATTTTGTTTAGCATTACCCAAAATGCCTGCATAATCTTTTGTGGTGGTTTGGTTGGCCTAATAAAAGTATTGCCTTGATACAGGAGGAGGGATTTTGTATGGCCAGCAAGACTGCCTTCCCCTTTTCTTCCGACACAGCTTAGGAATGGTGCCTAGAACACCCCCCCCCCTTTCCTGCACCTGTCGGGAGATGGTGCTTGCTGATGCAGGAGCCCTGACTTGCTGCAACACCAACAGGATATTATTGGCAACCTTGAAGATAATGCAAGTTGCTTTGTCTATTGGGTGGTAAAGAAATATAATTAATAGTAATAATTGCTACAATTTTCAACAAGTTTATTGTCCAGACTGCAAAATAACAGTTTCTTTTCTTAATGCATTGTTTAAAACTGGGTTTAGTGGCCAGGCCTGATTTTGTGACACACAAATGCAGTCGGTATGGAAGCAAGAGTACAGCTTGGCAACAGGCATGTAAAGATCAGGAGCAGAGAGCATCTGAATTCTCAAGGATCTTAAGCGGGCTTTTATTTGGTGCATATAGATGTATTAAAAACAGTCCAACTATAGCAGCAGAATGCAACATAAAACAGTTGAGGACTATTTTTCACCCTTTTTTTCAGTATGGATTACCTTGGTGGAGAAAGGCTTACCCATCAGGGAATTCAGTACAGAGGCAAATTAGACTTATTCAAACCTGAGGATGTTACCCTCTAGTAAATAGTGGGGGTACCTCTGATTTCTAACTTGAGAGAGAAATTATTTCAAGAACCACTTAGTTACCACTCATGTAGACAATCTAAAAGGCAACTCTTCATTTTTCAGGTATGCATATCATCAACATCACCACCACACAAAATTTCATAGGAATTGGGCTTCATTTATTATTTTTCCTTTTGTTTTAAAACAGATAATACCATCAGTAAAGAAGCTTGCAGTGCAGAGTGGTTGCAAATGTTCTCCAGCTGAAATTTTAAGAATGGAAAGAATTATACTTGATAAACTCCACTGGGATCTTTACACAGCAACATCAATGGATTTTTTAAACATTGTAAGCATTAAACATACTTTGTTGTCATTGCAAAAGTCTGAATTAGTTTTTTGTATTGAATAAAACGAAAAAACCATAATGGTACACATATATTGCCTTCTAGGTCGTCTCACAGACCACACATTCTTAGCTATCTGCAAGTCTTTTGAAGTGTATTTCCATGAAGATACTGGAATTAGATTTGAGCCCACCCACATTCCAAATGCTGCAGTCAGATTTATAAATTATGTAGATTCCCATTTTGAAAGGACAACTAAAACGAACTGTTAGAAAGAGTTACTCTTCCAATTCCACCAGAGATCGTTTTGTTTGTTGGTTTAAATGCACACTGCAAAAATATTTCTAACTATCTGCACTTTTAATACTGTACATAAAAAGCTTTCAGAGTTTTTGCTACATTTCACAAATAGAGCATCTCAGATCAGCTTTTTCTTTTTTTCACCCTGCATAAACACCCTTGACCCTCATTTTAGGCAAAATAGATCACTCTGATCTGGCACTTAAGTCACATCTTAATTGCTAAACATTTATAGAAAGAAATTTCCCCTTTAAGAAGTTACCATGTGCTATAGTAAGGCAATAATCTTGTAATACAACATTGTCGCAAAGCTCATCTCTTTATGGCAAAGAGGGCTGTCCATCCTGGCCTGAGGATTGTTCAGGGAAATGCCCTATATAACCAGGAAGATGAGCTGATGTTAAATTTGCTTCAAGCATTGCTGACAGTTCTGTTTTTCACCCTCTTTTGCTTCTATTTGCTGGCTTGAATATCACTATTTTAAATTATACAAATAAGTTAAACCATCTGAATTTACGATTGCGACAATGCAATGAATTCAGAATTAGTTGCATTCAGGATAAGCTTAAACATTTCAATATTTGGCAAATACGACACAAATGGTAACAGTGGTACACAAAAATAATAAAATTTAGAGGTTTCCTGCCATGAATAAGGATTAGTTTGCACTTCTGGTCAATGACATATGAAAACGTACAAAGTTCACGGTAGACCTCTGTTTTATATATATATATATATATCTTTGTCTCTCCAGATACATATATGTGCGTGTGTTTAAATATGTATTTATAATATAAATGTTTCTCTTCTCTCCAGTTCCATGCCATGGTGATGTCCAAGTGGCCCCATCTACTAAATGGACTGCCTCAGAGGAATCCTTCCCGCCACGTCGCATTCTTGACCAAACAGCTGCAGCACTGGATGGCTTGCCACCAAGTACTGCAGTTTAAAGGCTCCACGTTGGCTTTGGTGATCATCACCTTAGAGCTGGAGAGGCTGACTCCTGACTGGTTTCCTGTGATTACTGATCTGCTAAAAAAAGCACAGGTAGGAGTCAAGATGGCCCCCACGCACACAGCTGAGGCCAGCACAACTTTTTTAAAGAAAAAACCTCACAAATATTTTTAAACTATTGCACGTTTTTTAAAAATGTACTTCTCAGGAGTGCTTGTGTGTCTTTGTTAGGATGCAGTTTCAGCTAGATGGAGAACTCCGTGTTAGTTTGATGAGGGTTAATGTCCTGAGAAAGAGCAGTCATTCAAAGCCCTTTATTAGGTACTGCGATATCATAACACGGTGCTAAATGTAGGCTACATTTTCAAGAGTGCCCACCACGTAGCCAGAAGTTCTTACCTAAGCAAGAGAAGTACAACGGTCCAGAATTTATCAGCCCCCCTCATTCCCCATCGTTACCGTGCCACATGATTTGGCTTTCTACTCTGTTGAACTCTCCAATGACTATCTCCAGCTCACTGAGCCAAGCTCCAGTGGGGATCCAGGGGAAAGAAGAGAGCCGCTACAACCCTTCAGTTACCACGGAGCTGAGCAGGGGCAGGGGCAGGGCTGAGCAGAGTGGAGTGGACCAAGTGTTCTAAATATGGCCACAGTATAGCACAGCACTTTTCATCTTGCCCTACTTCCCCATTCCTGGTACTCCTGTTCCTTTAGGAGACAGATCCAGCGCAATGGAGGCTTTTCTGCCAAGCCCCATTATCCCTGCCCTCTAAGCTCCACCGTATCTTTTGGATTCCCTCTACTGGCTCTTGTAGGCTGCATTATGCATATCCTCTGGGGTAGACTTTGACTCTGCAACTTTAATATTGCAGTGCAGGTGGAGATTTGGAAATAAAACGTTTGATCTTCTCGCACTTTTGATTGCATGTCTAAATGATGAGAACCCCAGTGGCAGCTGAGAATGACAAAAGCAAGAATAAAATGGTGTTGTTACGTATTGCATTACAGATAGACAGCACTCAGTTCATCCACTGTAAAGGACTGGTGGACCAGCAGCTTCTGGGCTTCCAAGCATCCAATGCTGTCTATATTTTCAACCCTGCAAACCAAAACATTCAACCTCATGTGGATGAAAAGCTTCCCTGCTGCTGTTATTCCACAGTGAAGGAAGCAACGGAAAGTAGTGCGCAAGCCAGAGGGAGCTGGCCAGCCTCAGCAGCTTCCAGGGTTCTTAGAGCCAAAACCCATGAAGATGACATGCAGACGGATGAGTTCTATGATGGATTCAGGTACCTGTACAATGAGGATGAGATGCCAGAAGTTGGAGAGACCAGCAGAAGCAGCCCTCCTTACAATCCGAAGCAGGAGGAACGCCATAGTGCCTGTCCATCATTACAGCCTGCCCCTCAGTTTAGCTAGTGAGGCCTACAGAGTGACAAGGGACCAGATGGCTGTAGAGGTCATTTCTGGTATTTCAGAGGTCAGTAAAGCTGGTATTTTTTTTCTTTTGAACGGCACTTCCTATTTTGCAGCACCTAGCTTTTCAGATGCTTCCCACAAAAATCTTTTTGTTTAAGCATGTTCACCATGTAAATCAAAAGGATGAAGAACTGAACTATGAGTGACGGAAAGACAAAAACCTCAGGGACCAACATTCAGCAAACTGAGCTAAGTGCTGTGCTTTGAAATACAGATCAAACTCAATTCCAGGAAGAAGTGAGAACTTGCTGAAGTTCTCCTTAGAATAGTTTTAGAGTTTGTTTTTATTTAGACATTAGCTTTGCCCTCCTGCACATGCTAAACTATGCTGTGTTGTTAGGGAGCTGTGGATGAGTTCTAAGGTTAGTTGTATGGATGAGTTGCACTGATGACATGTTAACAAACCTTCTAGCTGAGCTGCATTCGTTTTGAGACCGCAAGATTGACTTGGTGACTTCAGTAAGATTCTATCCTGAAGTGTGCTGAACAATCCAGTTGTCTTAGACTTCAAAGTCCAGTGAGCAAGCAGAAATGCTAAGTAGTTCACTAAACCTTGATTCTTCTTGTGGTGCAGTTTTACTATCACCAAAGCCCAAATAAGACAGTTTACCTAAATGCAGAACACCACCCTGTAGCTGTCTAAACTAGGGCTTACAATGTCTTCTTCCACGTGGTGCCGTATTCCTCAATATAAGCACAGGCTAAGCCTGGGTTGAGACATGTGAAATATGCTTGCTACCTAGCCAGTCTCCAATATTCCATTTTTGGGCAAGATATTAGAGCAGCTGGCGGCCTCCCAACTTCCAGAAATTTCTGGATGAGATGGAAGATCTAGATCCATTTCAGTCTGGCTTCATACCTGCCTAAGGGGTGGAAATAGCATTGGTCACCTTGGTAGATGATGTAGGCCAGGAACCAGACAAGGGGAGTGTGTCCCTGTTGGTTCTGGTGGACCTCTCAGAGACTTTTAATACCACTGACCATGATACCTCACTGGGATGGGAACCGGAGGTAGTGTCTCACAAGGGCTCCATTCCTTCCTAGACAGGCAGACCCAGAAGCTGGGGCTGAGGACTCCTGTTCAATTCCCTGACTGTTGACCTATAAAGTTTCTCAGGGTCCTGTTTGGTCCCCCATGCTAATACATGAAAAGGTTGGGAGCGGCTGTCCAGCATTTTGGGGTCAAGTGTCACAGTATGCTGATGACATCCAAGTCTGTTTCTGCTTTCCATCTCCTTCCTAGGAAGCCATTTTGGTGCTAAACGGATGTCTTTCAGCAGTAATGGTCAGTCAGAAGAGGGATTTGGCTGCAGTTCCCTGAAGATACAGATCTGCAGTTTGGGGTACTTCTGGACTCAACCCTGAGCCCGGATGCCCAGGTTTTAGCAATGACCAAGAGAGTATTTGCACAGTTGTGCAACTAGTGCACCAGCTGTGCTCATACGTGGAGGCGTCCGATTTGACCACAGGACACATGCCTTGGTTCTATCCCATTTGGATTGCTGCCATGCTCTGCATGGGGCTGGCCCTGAAGACTGCTTGGAAACTCCAGCCGGTTTGAAGAGTTACTGCCAGACTGTTGACTGGGACTGGCTATAGGAAGCAGGGGAATCATTTGCTGAAACAGCTTCACTGGCTCTCAGATTGTTTCCAGGTATAATTCAAAGTCTGGTTAACACCAATAAAGCCCTTTATGGCTCAGGTCCAGGCCCTTGTGAGCCTGCCTGTACCCTTAGATCTTCAGGGAAGACCGTTCTCTTGGTGCCACTTCCTTTACAGGCATGTTTGGCAAGATTGTGGGAGAGCCTTCTTGGTGGCTGCCCCAAGTCTCTGGAACTCTCTTCCCATGGAGGCTAGATTGATGCCTTGGAGGCAAACAAAAACTTTTCTGTTCTATCAGGCCTTTGGGAATAGTCAGGATCTGTGAGATCACGTTGGACTAGTTCCCTTGTCTATATTGTTTTAATATTTTCTAGGTGAATTAATTATATTTTTAACTTTTGTACATTTATATTAATGTTTTAACAGCATAGGATGTAAGCTGCCTTGAGTCCCAGTATTGGGAATGTATAAATAAATATAATCATAATAATTATTATATTAGGAGTATAATAGGAATGATAGCAATTTCACATGTCTGTATCCAGGCCTGCCCGATTAAATGAGGGTCACTAGACAGGAATGACTGTTACACATCAGGGCTTCTGGCAATTTCCTATGTCATCAGTGGGTAAAGATGGGTATTTTCAGTGGGTACGAAAAGGTATTTTCTGCACATGGTCTTTGAAGCCTGTATTTGTGCCACGCCTCTGTGGAATGGTGCAGAAATCACCAACCCTAGAATCTCCATTCCATTTTTGTATTAATTTAAAACTTCCTACTTCCTATGGAGCAACAAAAAAACTGCCTGTTGAAACGGTGACCCATCCAGCTCAAATCTACAAGCCAGGCGCTGTTGTTGTCAGTCCTCTTGTGCCTGCAAAGCAGAAAAGGGCAAACACAAATGGCTCAAGGGACTAGAGCAACTCCCTGTGAGGAAAATCTACAGCAGCTGCAGCTACTGACCTTAGGAAAAAAACAAGTGAGGAGAGAGATGAAAGAAATATATCAAATCATGCATGGTGCAGAGACAAAGCGTAATACCACAATCCTGTGAAGCTGAACCTGGAGGAAGATTTGGGACAGATAAGCCCTTCACCCAGTGCATAGCTGAACTGCAGAACTCACTTCCAGAAGCAGAGATGAATTTAGAAGAGGATCAGACAAATGCAGAGAGGAGGAGGTTGTCAGTGAGCATGGCCGACATCGGGTGAGCAGCACCGCCGGGATCAGACTGCCGGGGAACGTGAGCGGCAGCGTGCCACTGCTTGGGGGCTTCCCGCAGCTGCCTGCCTGGCTATGGTGTGACGAGAGGGTGAGATGAAACGGACCCTCAGCCGGATCCAGCCTGGCTCTGCTGTTAATTCCCAAGAGCCAGAAAAGCTGCCTTAGGCAGATACCTAGCTGGACACCTGGTCTAGTGAGTTGCCTGAGGTAGATAGTGGTTCTACAGATTAGAGTCCTCATTATTTAAACAATTATATCCACTTTCTCATGTTTCCCTGATACAATTAAATGCCCTGCCCTTTCCTCAAAGCAGCATCCGCAGTCCCTTATCCTTTCACCCTCACAGCATTTAAGTAGGTAAAGCAAAAAAATAGTTATTGCCCAAGATCAGTCATGAAAGCTTGTGCAGCCTTTTTGGGATATGAATATAGGCTTCGTTGGCTGCTGCTGCTGTTGTTACTATTACTATTATTATGAATTACATTTCTATACTGCTTGTAGCCAAAAATCTCTGGGCAGTTCACAAAAGCTTATAAAAACAATGAAATGTAATGCATAAAACAGCATTTAAACATTTTAAAATAAAACAAAATACTATTAGAATACATTTGGATACATTTAATAAAATGAAAAAGACAAGGCCAAGAAGAAGGAAACAAAAGGCCCTTGGGTAACCAGGGAGATCTTTAAAGGCCTCCACAAAGAGGGCCATTTTAACATGGTGCTGAGAAGATGGCAAATTGTTTGGCAAAATTTCCGAAGCAAAGAGGAAAAAAGCAGGACTTCCTGAGTACCATGCCGTCCTCTTAATGACCAGCAAAAAGAGAGCAAGTTGTTTAAAATGAAAGAGATGCTTTCTTCCCTGCAAAGAGCACACAATTTTCCTTTGTGTGGCATTTCACTCATTCTATCATTTTTATGTTTGAAAAAGTATACATACACAGCCCAACTATGACAGATCAACTCAATTAAACAGCTCCAAGATTTCATTATAGGTGTTGGAGGTGTTTTGCTCCAAACCTCGAAGACATTTGTTCTGATATAACCCACTTTGGACTTCCTTAAACACTGATAGCATCAGGTTCAAAAGTGGCTCCCAAGGCAGAAAATCCAAGCACACCCACCCTGACAGGGAAATAACAATATGCTCCGTAATTGACAAATTGCTGCCCATTAATGACACCCAGATCTCTGAAGTGACCCTGCCCTGCAGTGCACATGTGCGAGAAACTTGCACAATGGTGCTAGTTTATCAAGATGAAAATACCCAAGTGAAGTTTCACACCAGTAAGGGGGGCCTGCCTGAGATGATTGTGTGACATGGTAGCCCTAGAAGACCGCATGATGCTCCATCTCCATCCTGCCAGCGGGATGCATCCAAATGCTCAGGAGGCAGAAGTTTGCTGTGCGCTTCCAGAATCGCGTTCATTCGTAACCATGTGTTTGCCTGCCAGCAGCATGAGTCACACGCAGCCACACTGGCTGGGCATGGTGGGAGCTGGAGCCCCAGGCAGGGACAGACCCTGAGCTGAGAGGTGCTGTGCACAGCAGCGTTGTCACTGTGGCAGCCAGATGCCTGATGGGTGGGTGAAGAGCCTTACACACACACACACACACACACACACACACACACACAACAGCGCACATTTCAGCACATGCTGGTATACCACAAGGAAGCAGCAGCATCAAGGCTCCCATCACTCCCAATAGCCAAACTGTGAATGTTTTGCTGAGCGCTGAAGAACTCAAAGCGGTACCCTGGTGGCAGGAGTGCTGCTGATACACAGTGAATAAGCTAAGACCATAGGAATTTAAATAATGCAGCGTATCAGGCTACAAAATCTGCTTGAGGCTTTCTATAGGTATGAATGCCGACCTATTGAGGGAAAGCATAGAAGAAGCAGATCTAGACCTTGCTTTTCATTTATGGGACCAAAGCACTCCCCTTTTCTTTGATCACCAACTGTGACTTGACTGTTTGTATTTTTAATGTCAGCTTAGGTTGCCTTTGTTTTCTATTTTAAAAATCGGGTGTTCCTCCACTCTGAATTTCTGTTATAAATAAATACCTAATTGAAACCTTTTGCCCTTTTTTTCCCTTTTAATATACACACCTTTTTGACATTTGCAAACATGAAAATAGCAAGTGTGTCAAAGGCGACAGTCCTACACACACTTCCCTGGGAATAAGTTCCACTGAACTCAGTGGGTCTTACTTCTGAGTAAATGTGCATAAGATGGGATTGGAAATTTTGTCACTAGATTTCTTCAGGTTCTCTAAATCTAATCCTTCCAATGCTTTATCTCTATCATCTATATATTTATGGATAGGGAACATCTCAAGACATATGCAGAAGAAGCCAGAATCAATGGAGGAGACAACAAATCAAAGAGGATAAGACTTTGTGCATTCAGACTTTCAGAAAACAGAAATGTAATAAAACAACCAGGGGCCAAAAAAACGAATGAAGGAGGGGGGGATGCTGCTCTAGAAATAGCTCTGATTCCTAGCTCTGATTCTGGCTGCAAAAACTGAGAAGGGCAAGTTCTGCTGAACTGTGTAACATGTACATGATCGCCTCCAGCACAAGAGCTTGATGGAAATGGCAGTTTGCTAGGCCAGCTGCAAGTCCCATAACTGCTCATGACACATTAAGTAATGTCCTCTCAGGGTTCCAGGCACCGCCTTTCCGGCCCGTGCCCAGCACCGGCAGCTTTCAACTGGCCCCCTGGTGGGAAAGTTTGAGGACCCCTGCTCTAGGGCATAGTCCCATTGCAATGGCTGTAAACCCACCGCATTGAGCAACCAGTTGGACCTGATGCCCTTCTAGGCCCCTTCCAACTGTAGGATTCTGTGATTCCTATGATTCCAACCCCAGATACGGGAATCCAAGCTACCCCATGCCCCCCTTAAACAGTCTAGGGGTCATAAGACTGCTCCCTCAGAAGGAAAGCAAGCCCATTAGGTTCTACAAGCACAGGAGAATAGGCACTTTCAGTATCAAGTACCAACCCCTTGAGATGTTTTGGTGAGTGGGTGCAGGTGCATGTACAGTCTGTTTTGGTGGCTGGGGTTAAGAAAATAGGCAGCTATCCTCTTGATTGCTGCTGAATGCCCTTGTTTCTTCACAACAGGCATTTTTCCATTCACCAAGAGTCAGGAAGGGAGAAAAGGACACTTACATAGCCAGCCTTGGGAGGTGGCTACATTTGCAAAAGCTTGTTGTCTACTACATTTTCAGTACTGTGACTCGGGACTTGTTGCTTTCCTTCCTCTTCCCCAAGGTATTAGTGCTCTTAGGGGAGGCACCCAGCAATGTGTGTATATTATATCACTTACCTCAAGATGTGCATATCAGCGCTGCTACATTTGGGAGCCCTCATTCTGCAGAGTGGGACCCTGAGTTTCTGCCCCACAACTTTACCTCAGCTTTTCCACAGAGCATTTTAGGGCCTAGATCTATATGTCATTATCCTCACTTCTGTCAGTTTTTGCCTATAGGCATTTTGGGAAAGGAAAATCTGACAACTGTACAAAATGCAGGAAAACAGGTAATAATCCCTACCAACACAAAGTGACTGTATTCTCAGTTCATCTTCAAGGATTACAGTGACCATTTTGCCTCTTAGTACCAAGTGAGTTGAAAAATGAGAGCTTTACAAACTGAATACAGAAAGCTATTTTCCTAGCCATGGGTGAGCTTGGCTTTCATGCTCTTGGATCTTACCTTATCCTTGAACAAGGCAGTATCTTTACATCAGTGCCATACAAACCTGTTCACTATTTTGGTAAAGGGAGAGGGCTATTTGTTTCCTTATTTCAGGATGCTAGGATACAGAACGCTCATGTATCCTGCTCCCCTATTTAGTTGTCCTTTAAAATGGTTTCACAGCCAGGTTCAATTTATTGTTTGCAGACAGGAAAGGATTTCCCCCATTCCTGAAAAGAGAAACAGTTGCAAATGCAGAAATAGGGAAAGGAAAGAAAATGGGTTGAGGGAGAAGAATGGGGGAGTCCTTCTATCAAATTCGGCACATTATTATTAGGAAACTATTAGTAAACTGAGCAACTTTCCTTTCCAAAGGTAAGTTCTCATTATAGATTTACATGCAAAATATGTAGTGCTAAGAGATACCAGAATTCCACAGAGAGATTATGTCTTTTTAAATTGTGTTTTACATATTAAAATATCTTAAGGTTAAAATCTTAAGATCTTAAAACGTTCAATCTTAAATACAATTGAGTGGTTATTAGTCCCACAAAACAAAGTTAGAAAAATGTGGGATATTTGTCCATGCAGTGCATTTAAGATGCAGAGTGTTACTAAATTGGTCAAAATCAAAATTTATAGATCTTTATAGATAAATGGCCTCCAATTACTGAGGCAATGGAAAGCGTAAAAATGGAAAAATCTACTTCATGTTGAACACATCCTCAAATGTGTTTAATCTGCCACTGGGAAATTTATTTATGGTGTTCTTTTCCCATCTAGTAAGAAGATTAGTACTTTGGTTTTAGTGCATGCCATGCATTTAGCCTGAATTAACAGTATAGAGTTGGATTATTAGTTTCTACTTAATCGAGGAACCTGGTCAGGCAATGTTGTCCAAATCAGATCTTGCTTAAGAATCTCTTCTGTGCAATACATTGCAAGCATAAAAAGTAGAAGCACCAATTAAACTTCTTCTGCATGAGGTGTTTTGCCCTTAACAAATCTTCTAATTTACATATCTTCCTGACGTTATGGAGCACGAGCTGGGAAGACTAAAGAAGCTACAGAAAGAACAAGAAAGAATCAATATTTAGCGTTCAGGTTTACTTATTTACATCAAGTCTATAGCACAAGAGCACATTCTTAACAAATGGAGGGACCATGATTGCAGCTTGCTCGACTCATGGAAGCATGAAAGCCCAAGGACAAATCAGAACATGGAAGCCTGCAAGTAAGTCTTAGGGGTTTGTGTAGTGATCAACCTTTGATACGAAGACATAAAAAGTATGTGGGCAGGTGCATGCAACAACTAAACCATATTCCCCCACATGCTGGCTTTCTTTCAAATACAGACTCTTTAGATTTCCTGTCTTCACTCACCATGTAAGAAATTATTCCATCCTAACCATGTAGAAATCATACATGAAAAATTACTCACTGGAATAGCCAAGAATGCCTCCATCAAGGCTTGGGAAGATAAACCATGCACATAGATAGCGTAGGTGTACCAACTAGAACAGAAAGTAGATCTCCCGATACTCTGGACTTTAGCTTTCAGCATTTCTGGCCACTGGTCATGCTGGAAGGGACTTCTGGGAACTGAAGTCCAAAACATTTGGAGCTCCATCTTCTGCTCACTCTTTTGCTGGAATAGCCTTCCCTAACCTGGTTTCCTCGAGCCATGTTGGACTACAGCTGGAGTCAGTGGCACTTTCTGTCCAGCACATCTGAAGGACACCAAGCTATTCCAGGTTATTAAACAGTGCAATATTTCACAACTTAGCCTAATTAGGGAAATGGGATATTGTTATATGCTCAGATATCTCTGCTGCTGAAGTTAAGTATCTAGTGCAAGAATATGTTCTGATCCCACAAGTATGAATTCCCATTACTCCTGCTATCATTGTGCAAAGCAATGCATTTCTCAAAACATCCTTATTTGCCTATTCTAGAGATATATTATTGTCCAGATTTGTGCTGAGAAATCTCTTAGGTCTGAGTAAGTGCATGGAACTCTTACTATAACATGAAGCAATAACTAGGACGTTACAACGGCAATCCCTTAAATATGGCTGCCACGCAATATCCACTTATTTCAATAGACATGGAGAACGCAGATGCTTTTAAAGGTGAACAGCAGATACAAAACTATTGGATGGAGATCCCTTACTCTCTAGACTTTTTGCACTGCCTACTTTTAAGGCACTTCTATCCCTTTCTGCTCTGAACAGCTTAGGGCCACTGCCATATATGGGACTCCAGTGGATTCCAGCTGAGTGCTTTCATTAGTACTGGAAACCTGCCATTCACTCCTTTAGTCTATTTTCCTAACATAGGCAAGATGTCCTTAGATTCTACATTCCTCATTGGATTGCGATGGCTTTTGGGAAGCCAAAGAAACTTCAACATTTATCTGACCACATGCTATTCCTCACATACACCGTGCATATCGGGCCCTCTAGCGCACTTTTATGAATGCCACTACAAGTCTGCTTCCATGTGCGAGCCCTGCCACCCTGAAGACCATATCTTTTTGGAGCACATTTGACATAATATGCTACACTAGTCATTGACAATTCCATCAAGTGCAAGTTACCCCTAAGCAAAAATATTGATCTCCACTACCTGTGGAGAAAATGATTTTATGTTTGTCAAACAAGCCATATTTTAAACCCAGAAAAACCTAATGTCAGGCATTTCTGTATGTAAAATGTCTAGGGCCCATTGGCATAAGTGAGATCATTTCAGCTTAGTCGCATTAGCTTAAGTGATGACTGCAGTACATGAAAATCTTGGAACCATCACACCGCTTTTATTTTTCCCACTGGATGCTTACCATGGTTCAAAGAAATTTGTAAAAAGAAAACACAAGAGAACTCAAAGTAAAATGTAACATTTAATAAAAAGAAAGAAGTACAAAGGAAATTGGAAAAAAGTGAAAGCTTTGTTTAAAAAAACTAGTAAAACAAAAATGACAGTGACATGTTAACATTTCTTGAAATTAGTTCTATAGGTTTTCCTGTTGGCATCTTGCAGGTATCATTCAATAGGACCTTCTGAGTAGAAGCTGCCATTTTGCTTTTATCACAATACACAAACTACAAAATGAATATCCAGCTAAAACACTCAAGTTCTGAGAACAGAAAAAGGTAGTTAAGGTTCATGGAAAGATACATCTTTCCATTAGTCAAACTATATTAAACAAGAAAATTTTAACTGACTGATGCTTTCCTGCTTTTCTTACCTCATACATGAGAGGTGAATCTTGGACTTAGTTTTAAGATTTAATTTAAGATTAGTATCACATTAAACCATCTGTAACTTCTTAAATAAGAAATAATGTATAGAAATACAATATGCCATTTGGTCTCATACAAAAATGTCAAATCAAGTAGTACCAAATAGGACCCCAATGAAAAAGAACAGAATGACTTCTTTTGGGGGAAGTCTGTTACAAATAGATGGCCAGAGACTGAGGCAAAGATGAAGCCAGGATTTCACTAAAAATGAAAATCAGCACAACTTGAAGTATATACACACACACAAACACACACACACACACACACACACACACACACACATGCTCACATATATAAAATAATTAATATATTGTTACATACATTCTGAATGTCTTCATCAGAAATATACTGCCATTATGGCCATGTTTTCTACATGTTTTATATTTTAATTATTACCACCACATTTTCATAAACTTTCAAAAATGGGCAGGAAAAAACTGAGCTCCAGAATGTCAGAAAAAAGATATTTGCATAGAAGATCTTGTTGGCATTAGCAACTGCTAGAAAAACTGTCAAGCTGCACTTAGTTTGCATATCGGATAAAACTTTATTCTACTGCTCTGCAGCCTCCTTTGCATTAATTCTTTAGGCTTATACATTATCTTTGTTTCACAAAGGAAAACAAGGTTTGCTTTGCAACTTTTAATCAGTCATGTGGCATCATATACATGACAATACATTGTATTTGATCCTGTACACAGCCATTCCCCATCCCTAATATTTTGAAAGTTACCTTTTAGAAAATATATTTAGCTTAATAGAGGCACAGCCTTTTAAAAAAGGAAAGAAAGAGTATAATAAATTCCTAACAAAGTGTAACTATCTTCTATACCACCATTAGGTGGTTTGCTGTTAAAAAGTACCTGTATATTTTTTCATGAGGTTTTTTTCTCTTAAAAATATCAAGTAATACTGTAACATGACTTTCAATATATTCTAACATTGGCCTTACATGAAAAAGCAATACAAGACAGCATTTCAATATCTGAGAACTTCTAAAGGATGAATAAGACAAAGAACCTCAGGCCTGCGATACAACTAAATGCTACTTTTGGAAAGACAAGTAAAATGCCTTTCATGATTGTTTTTTTTTTTTAAATAGAGGCAGTACATGAGCCCTAAAGGGATTTTAACTGGAAGGCTAAAATGCTTCCAGAGCAAAAAGATCTGTGAAGAGTTGCTAGTATCACCACACACACACACACACACACACACACACACAGAAAGGTTAAAAACACAAACACACACCCAAGCATGACTTCTAGGGGCCATGGCTGCCTTCCTGAAGGTGCGAGCCGATTTCACTTTATGTGCTAAAGGAGGAAAAAAATGGTAGGAAACACTCAAGGATCCCTTCATGTTTCAAACAGCTAGCAGTGCATTTGGTTTTTCCTACCATTACTTGCACAAAGCATGGACTGTGTTCTTCAAAACTTTACTGCAAGCTCATATCAAACCTGTTCAAACTTTGAGCTGCTGTCCTGCATCCTCATAAATATAATTAATTTATTCATGCCAATGATTTCCCCACGGCCAACACAGAACCAAATCCATTGAGTACAATCCTTCCAGATTCCCAGATTATCTGCTTAGTGAACTGGGAAACTACTAAATTATATTTCAGACATTTCACAGGCCCACATTTGAAATGCATCTTTTTCCCAAACAAGTGGCAAAAAATCATGATGTATCCGGGAAAGCAGGTTAAGTCAATTTGCCTTTACCTTTTCATTTAGCCAAGAATCTAGAGAGACTTTTGAATTTGGTCAGGCAATTCACAACCATGTGTGTATCTAGGTGCTCAATGAAGAAGGTAAATCAGTACAAAGGAATGATCGTAAAAAGTATTCATGTCTACGTGCCCTAGGGATTACTTTAGCTAACAGCTCTGCCCAATTTTTAAGTATATGGAATGCTTGCTCTCAATGTCACTGCCATCGAGCCTCTCACCTCTGCTGTCTTTAGCTAGTGAAATACTCAAATCCTATGCACCTTTTCAGCCTTCATAAAATTGTCAAAATCAACAGGTTTAAAAATGGCAATTGTTTAACAGGCAGAAGAGCCATCCTTGAAAGAGTGGAGATGCTATTTTTTTTAACTGCTTTTTCCCTACCTTTTACTAGGAAAGTGTTATTACAAAAATAGATTTGAGGATGCAACACTTACTTGGACAGGAGCATAAACAAGTAAAAGAAAAGAGATTACTTGTCTCTCCCATAGCATACAGTGAACATGAGCTCTCTTTAAATCCCTGTTTAGTAAGGATGCACATAAGCAACAGAAAAGCTAAAGTGTGACATATTACTTTTATATTACTACCATATACTATACACAACATACAAGATGCTTAAGGGTTTTGCTTAAATAACACACTAGTCAGTAAGTGTGCACGTTATGAAGTTAACAATGTTTCCTTCAAATAAGAAATTTAAAGTGTCACTCCAACACATTCAATTTATATGTGTTGACCAAAATGAAAACATTGGTGTTCTTTATATCAAAATAAATGTCAAAAAATAAAACAAACAAAAACTTGATGACAGCAACTTTTAGAATGAACTCATTACTCTAGATTTCATTTTTTAAAAATGTATTAGGTATGCTTAGGGCCAGTTTATAAATAAATGGTGATTTAATGGGATGGAAAAAAATTAAACTCCTGACATTTCAGAACTAAACATGCAAACCATTTCCACAGGGAATCTAGAAGACAAGTATTTCTGTTTTCTAAACCATCCAAGATGGTCCCAATCCATTCACTGAAAAAGGCAGAAGATGATCAATCTGTCTTTCATGAAGTTTCACTTGCATAAATGGTATGACAGAAGGATTCACAAGGTGGAAAAGCAAGCAACTAAAACGTATGAATGTATAGAGTCCATTTCCGGTGTATAAGTCTGTGTGTGAGATTAACTGAAACAAAAACATAAAAGGCATGAATTAAACTATAGAAATCAAACATAATGAAAGCATAAAACATAACAGCAAGTCAAGCTAAAAAGGCAGTATGGTCCTTTAGGATGTAGCATGCAATCAAAACTAAAGGGCACATTTTTTTAATCCCCCTCTAGCGGTTTCCCTAGAGCAGCCTTCCCCAACCTTGCATCTCCAAACATGTTTGGGCTGCAACACTCAGAATTCCCAGTCAATGGCCCTGCTGGGTGGGAGTTCTTTGAGTTGTGATCCAGATGCCTCTGAAGACCACCAAGTTGGGGAAGGTTGCCCTAGAGCTAAATTCTACCAGGGCTCTGGTTCAGTCCCAGGCATGCTGCCATTTTTGTGACTTCTGGTAGCAGGACTGGGTCTGCCAGAGATCTTGAATCAGCTGTAGCTAACAGGATATGGAACTCAATATCTAAAGGAACGCTTGTGTCCATATATGCCCTCCCGCCCCTTGAGATCAGCAACAGATGCCCTTCTCCGGGAACCCTCTGTGAATGATATTAGGAGGGTGAGTACCTGGAGGAGGGCCTTCTCTGTGGTGGCGCCCCACCTATGGAATGTGCTCCCCAGAGAGGTCCGCCTGGCGCCGTCGTTATTTGTTTTTCGGCACCACACTAAGACCTTTTTATTTAAAACTTATTTTAAATGTTAATTTATTATGTAGGATTTTTAAATAAATTTAAGCCGAGATGCACCGGGTTTTAATATTTTTAGTGTATAATTTTTGTATGATTTTGTATGTTTTTGTTTTTGTTGTGAGCCGTACCGAGGCTTTGTTGCAATGGGGGCGGCATAGAAATGTTTTAAATAAATAATAAATAATAAATAAATACACAGCAACTCAGTATAAGTCTGAACTAATGGTAGTCATGACAGTTACACTACCAATGGATGCCATTTGTTGCATTAGCTAGTTTCAGTGAAACTGTGCTTAATTAGCTTGATCTACAAGAATAAAATTGCTACTACCAAATTGGACATAATTAATAACCTTAAGTGGGTATCTCTCAACAGGGAAAGCCCATATGAAGCTTAAATACAAAGCCAGATGATCACAATTCAAAGCTTAAGAAGATAGTAAAGGCCGAAGCTTAGTCTAGCAGTCAAGACCAAAGAAATCACTGGAATGTGTAAAGACAGAAGCCCCTACAGCAATCCTGTGGTCAGATTTGCTAACTTCTCTAGGCTTTGCACTTCATGCATTGGTATGAACTGAATTCATGGTAAGGGATGGACAATTTCTCCAACAGCAGCTGCTACCTACTGGACCTGGTCACTGCTGTCAGATTAAGTATGCATGGAAACAGTGCATTGCCCTACATCTCCCGGGCTTAATATGGCAACTCCTGCATACCATTCAGTGCGGCCAACTTTTCCAGAGAACAGACGTTCATGCAAGGACACAGGAAATCATTCTATTTGACCCAGCTTTGCTTAAGTTAGTATCTGAAGACTTCCCCAGTGAAAAAACATTCCATGACAGTAATCACTAAACCTGATTTCCTAAAGTTAAGCTACTGAATAGTAGTAGATTTTGTTAACAGCTGTCTGGATATCATTTTATGCCAGTTCAGCTGAATTTGGGGGGAAAACCCTCGTTTTATTAAAGAAAGTTTTTTACAGTAGCTGCCTTCCCCCCCCCCCCCCACAGGAACCAATTTCTTTCCATACTTGAATGACATCAGTAAATTACATCTTCAGATGGACTATCACATAATGGAAATACACTAGCCTAATCTATAAATTAAGACAGATAAAGGCAGTTTCTTTTATCATCTGGGTCTACGGAGATGTTAGGTAGTTCAGTCTGCCAAATTCATAACATGTGTACAATTTGCTTGTTATACTACTGAACAGAAAATAAATTTTAGTTATAAAAAGAGAAAAGGACATCAAACACATAAAGACCACTAGACTGCTTGTATTGCAATTAATTCAATATTACTAAGGTATGCTGGAAGAAACACTATTCAGCTTGCTAGTATTTTATAATGCACTTTACATATGCTTGATAACTTATAATTTAGTTGGCTTCACTTGCTTCAGGTGAAAGGCCAAGGCTCAGTTTTGCATAGAAAAGGTCCCAATTTTGAAGATTCCTGTAGGAAACTCTGAGAGCCACTGTGAAGGGGGGTGTCAACAGTACTGGGTAAATGAACCACAGCTGTGACTTCATATAAGTCAATAGTGCCTCTTCCAATCTGGTACTCTCCCAAGTTCTTGCGTACTGTATTGTTTAAGCTCTTCCAATGGAAAAACACAGCTTCTCCCCGGCCCCAGGATGCATGGATTTAGGTATGACCAGCGATGACCTACCCGTGATTAAGAAACCACAGATCAGCTTCTTACAAACAGATCCTTCTTCTCAATGTGCCTCATGATATGACCACACGAGGACTTTACAGCTCAAGCTATTTATTTGCTTAGGATTTAAAAGACAGGTGTCTCTCTGTGGTATTGGCAAGAAAGTAAAACATGCCACTACCATCTAGCTCACTCTCAGGAGGTAAATGCTACCATTAATTTTCAGTGTTAGAACTTCACTGAAATCCTAAAGCAATGTATCAAGAGTCAATTTGAAATTAGATGCTGCTAATACTTGTCTTGTATTTTCCTCCACTATTAGCACTATCAGGAATGGTTAAAATAATAAGGTCTGGATCTTTATTTTAATTCAGACAAAATACCAAGTGCAGGAATGGAATGATTTTTATTCTGAATGCCTTCCCTTCTTTAATGGCTCAACTAGGAACAGCAGCTACAAGGAGCAATGTCCTATTGGTACATTTCCTTTTAGCAGTTGACTTGTCATATATAACATGTGTTTGCTTGGACACTGCAGACTTACTTTTATGGAAACCAGCGACACAAGTTGTAGTGTGGCTATTAACTCAAGAACGAACAGGCATTTCGTTACATTGTGTCCAGCAGCTATCCCTTTTCACTCCAGAATAGGCTTCGATCTGGACTGAGATCCTAACATGGGGAGCAGGGCAGCTTCTAATATCTAGTGTTCAATCCAGCACTGGGGGATCAGCAGCTAGAAGAAGACCACTGGTAGGACAGGACATCTACATCCTCTCATCTGTTGCAGCCTTGCACCACAACTCATCCACTAAATTTTGACTGCACAACTGGAGAATAGCTGGCACAACCAGGACACTGGATCCAATTCCCTGGATCCAAATCCCTGGCTGTGTCAAAATGCACTACATGCAGAAAAAATGAAAGGGAAAAACAATGTAGCTTCCCAATATGAGTTATTTTGACCCTGAAATGGCTCTGCAAGACACATCCATGGCTCTAAGAGATGCATTCCCTCTTGTTATCCAGCACCAGAGGCAAGCATCAGATGGTGGCTTTCGTCATTCAGATCTCTTTGTGGATGGCTCAGGGACACATGGCTGGCAACGGTTTGACTCAGCAGCCTACTGACCTCATCCAATAAGGCGTATCTGCTGCTCATAAGCGCAAGAAAACCTCAGAACTACATTACCTGCTTTCAGGAAGAAAGTACACAGCATCTCTAGCTAAACAGAACTTGGGTGGTGCTGGGTAACATCTCTAAGAACTGAGTGATAATGGCTAGGATGGGCCAACAGTCCGACTCAAGATAAGGCAGCTCCATATGCTCAGGTGTGTTACATATTTTTCAATAAAACAGATAAAACAATATGGAACAGAGACCTTCTCTAAATAATGTTATGGAGTCGAGAACATGTAGGATGTACCCCAGTGCCCAATTCATGGTACCCTGGTTCTTCACTTTTGAAAGCACTTTTTTGTGTTTTGTAAAGTACTAAAGGTTATCCAACTGGATTTTACAGTCCCATGAAACAACCATCCCAACAGCTGTTGTAATTGTAAAAATACTGCAGAATGCACCACTGCTTTGTTGATCTGTAGCTTTCGTATTTTACTTCAGTGGTGACCAGCAGACACAGCATTCCTGCAAAGCTAAAGGTACACAGAAAGTCAGGGCTATCCGAGGGCCATCACAAGCATTAACTGGATCGCCTTCGTGAGTCTGAGAAGCCTTTCTCCTCAGTCATCTCCAGAGCAGTGGTGGAGCCAAGGCTAGCATTTATACAGTACAAGGCCACCTTGGCCTCTCCTATTAGCTGTGAGGTAGTTGTGAATCAGGCATAGGTACTTCCTTATAGTTCTGGAAGTTACCTACACCTCTTTACTTAAGCAACTGCAACAGTTTTAGATGACTAAACATTGTACAGCAAATTCATTTTATGTGCCTATGGGTGCATCCTATGCATGATTAAACAGGGGGAAAGTCCTATAACTCCCAGCATGCCTCAGCCACGTTGCAGGACTTTCTCCTGTTTTATCATGCATAGGATTGCACCCTGCATTTATCTTGGCAACAACAAAAGCAAAGCAAAGTTTGGGCCAGACTGCTTACTTTTTCTTGTCTTTCTCTTTCTTCAGGGGCTGTTGTGAAGTGGCTTGCAGAGACTGGCACTGCAGGGTTTCAACTGCCATCTTCCGCCTGTTGAAGGCGTTCATCTCTTCTTCTAGATCTCTTTTCTTCTCCTCTACCTTCCTCTTCTCTTCCTGGTGTATCCTCTTGAGATGTTCAAACTTCTCATGTAGCTGGCAGAAGGAAGGAAAGAAAATGGTTCCACTGATGCTGCTTTCATTTCTACTTGTCAGGAGGATCTAATCCTGACCCACTGCAGGGGCTTAGCCCCCAGCTGAGAGTGCCCCGTACGAACTCAGAAGGAGGTGATTTAAGCATGATTGGAAACACGGGTGCCAGCTCTCTGTGGCTGGAGCAGCGGCAGCAGCAACACCCCTCCACTGCGACCCCAGCTTCTCTGCTGGAGCTCTCACTAGAGTGAGGAGAACCCAGCTGCTGCGGCTGGCAGGTGTCTGGATGCCATCTCCTGCACGGGGCACTTTTTGGGGTAGCTGTTTGCTGTCTGTCTTTTGGTAAGTGTTGCAAAGACTTGGTGTATTTGGCTCAGGGTTACACTTTTACTTTTATACTGGGGACAGCCTATGTGTTGAAAAACTGATGAGCTGTTGGGGATATGTGAATGCCCTGCTTGCAGTGAACCTGTCTTCTCCACTTTACAGTACAGCCCATGATGGCTCCTTCACAGGTTCCTGACACGCAACCCCAGACCCATGGGTTGTTTAGTCCTTGAACAACCAGTGGTTTGGGTTCAGCAGTCATGCTCAGCAGGAGCCAGTCATGGTTTACTGAGCAAAAGTAGAAATGATGGACTGGCGGCATGCTGAGTGGGAGAAAAGGAGGCATTCCAACGGGCCAGGTTTAGAGTTGTCGTAAAGCCTTTCCAGCCTTCTTCCTCCCCTGCTCCCAAAATGCTCTGGGTTAGTTGGGCAAAAAAGACTGACGAGCAAAATATGCAGGACAAGAAGATGGGGAGGGAAAGTTTCCTCCACTGCTTCTGCCAGTCTGCATAGAATGCCTATAAGCTGCCAAGTTTGGGAACTTCTGAACATCAGAATAGCCCTGTGCCGTTAATTTTTTCTGGCAAAGCTTCCGAGGGATTTGGCTGTTTACCAAAATGCTGGACCAGACAAGCCTGCATTTGCTCCAGCAAGGTAGTTCTCCCTTTCGAGCTGTTTCACACTGGGATTCATTCTGTACAGTGTATTATTATGGTCGTTCCCAAAAGCGACAGTTTCCAGGACATGCATTTGCAGTACAGGTTCATTCTCTGCTACACTCACATCTCTCTCCTTTTCTTTCAGTTCTGACTCTGTCTCCTTGACCTTGTTGACAAACATTTGCCTCATTTCTTCCTCTTTCTTCTGCAATTCACAGAGGAACTCTTTTCTTTTGGTCTCATATGTTTCTTGAAGGCTGGATGAAAACACAAAGCACACAAGCCACAAATCATTGTGGCATTAAAAGGGATTTTTTAAAAATACTGAATAATTCAAAACACTGTAAGGAGAGGCCTGCATATACTTGCTGGCAACAGGTGCACAAGTCAAAGAAGGAACATACTTTGGATGGGTAGTGACACAAAAGATGAGCCTCAACATGTCATGTTACTCTCACTCTACCTGCAAATATTCCAGCTATTGCAAAATATTGTCGAGCCTCCACACTTTTGTGCCGGTACCCCAGTGGAAAGAAGTAATGGAGGAGATGCTCTCTCACCTGAATGGCTGGCTGTCTGGATCAGTATCTTTGAACCCCATTTCTTCTAGCTTACACCGTCTGTAGAGCTCATAATGGCGAGCATGAGTTTGCTCCCGAAGATCCTCCATGTTGACACGGATCAGCATTTCTCGCAGTTTCACAAAGTCACAGTGGCTTTCATTTTCAACTGATTAAAAAGAGACAGGTATAGCCAACATGCAAAATGAGTACTGCTTAACTAGCCTCGAAAATATTTTTGCATCACTCTGGCATTTTGTTTTTCAAGTTATAATGGTATGGATATATCCATAGACTGACTGAAATGTTACTTTTTAAATACTTTGCATTATTGGGAGTCACTCTGAGCTTAAGGATTTGTTTTGTGCATTTCCAAAATGGCTTACAGACATATTCCTTCTGAATGACTGTTTAAGTGACATGCAACCATGACATTCTCTGGAATTCTAGGCAAGCTGACAGTGGCCAGAAAATAGTCTATGTGTTACAATTCCATTCCATTTGTGTTAAATAAATAAAATATAAATAAATAATAGTAAAATATAAAATAAAGGAATAAAATGCATGTGTTAAATAGTCTCTGTGTTAACCCATTGCCTGTAATGGCTGCATGTCCAAGCAACTTTCCCAAACAGCCATTACAGGAAAGGATACATGTCCCGGTGAAGAGCCCAGAGGCCGACTTACCTTGCACCACGCCCCATGGATACTGCCGAGCTCGCACCATCTTATTTCCAACCTTTACCTCTTCTGTACTTCCCACCACAGCAAAGGGCAGATGAGCCTAAAACAACACACCACCATGGAATTACACACAGACAATAACACTGCAGTTGCGGATCTCTCAGACCTTGGCTGCTTTCGCTCTGGAGTCTCCTTTGGCTCTTAAACACGAGTTTCTCCGGGATAAACTGCATGCTGCATTGCCTTTCATACTTGAAAGGGGATGTGACTCTAATTCAAGAGGGTACGATTAAGCCTCCCTCCCCACCTTTTGTTTTGTTTTTTAATAAAAGCTTCCCCCGTTTTTCCCCTCCCACTTGCGGAGAGGGAAATTTTTGGAAGCAAAAAACTGTAGGGTGGGGCAGGATTCAGTCAAATCTGGACCACATTCACTTAGGTCAGCTGCTCGCTACATAATTAGGAGCAGTAACTATTTTGATCCTGAGAGTGCAAAACCTTCTTTTCCAGCTCTTTGAAATCTGTATGTTGTAAAATATACCATCTTGCAGCCCTCCTCCATCAACTCCTATCAGCCCCTGGAAAATAACCCAGATATCAGGAAGGTAGTCTGAAAAATCTGCGAGGCACCAGGTGGAGGAAGACTGCAACACTGCAGGTTTAAGCGAGAGGTTTAGCATCTCCCATTCGGGAAATCGGTTTGTTTAGGACTGTGTGTGTAATCCCACAAATAATCAGCTAATAATGAGTAATAAGGCTCATATGTCTTTACATACATGAAATTAATCAGAGTCCTCCAGTTTGCATAAACTTCGGTTCTGAAATGTAACCGGTACAAAAGCTAGTAGAGGCAAGGTTCATTACTCACATTCATTACAGAGTTAATCTCAGCTACAGCATCATCGTCTGTGGGGAACTGATAGATCTGGACTCCATTGCTGACCAGTTCGCTCATTATCTTAATCTTAAACTTGTGCAATTCACTTTTGGAGATGGTGTCCGCTTTGGCAATTATAGGGATAATGTTCACCTGTACACAAAAGAAAAAAACATTGGACATAATTAGAAACTCAATTTTTGAGGCTTGTCACTGGCTTAATTGCAACTAATCAAGAACTGGCTATAAAACTGTTTTAATATTTGTTAGGAGTACAGTTAAAATTGAGGCAACTAGTAAATGGAAAGAGGCTGACGGGTCAGATTCAGTAGACTGGCTAAAAAGGACTTGGATACATTATATGTGTTGCATTTGGCAAGAATCTCTGAGGCGAAGGAAGGGAAATGTCAAAGTTTTATGAAATTTGGAACTGGTCCCTAATTTACTGGAAGAGACAGCTTCATATGAACACTCCCTTGGCAGCGCTAACATTTTGATTGGAATGACTTAAGCTATTAAGTATTTTTTCACACTGAATTGACCGAAGTAATTTGGCTAATTCAATGCTTATTTGATGGTAGAACTAATAATTGATGGCATACATTTTGTACATCACAGGCATACGATGACCACTGCAAGATCTTATACCCTTCATTTTAAGGATTCTGATCCCTCCCACCCCACCCCCCCGCTCCAAGTTTCACATACAACAATCAATTCTGTCCCTTAAATCCTTCAAAGACGAGAGCTTCCTGGATGCTTGCCAGAACATTTAACTTTTTCTTCCCCTTGGAATGAGCAGCACCCAAACCAGGTTGCCTATGAGGTCTGATCAATGAAAAGGTAAAGCACGACAGAATGGAACGAACTGGCCAGCCTCCATCTTGTAAGCTGCAACTTAGAATGCATTTTTCCACATACCACAATAGGGGGGAATGTATTTTCCCCCACTCTAGTGACCTACATCAGATGCAATTCATCATTTCCAGGATTTTCCCACAATTAAAGTTGTTCAGTCAAATTAAGCAGGCCAGCTTCATGGCTGCAAGCTGTACCTGTTGATAAGCAGCGGAATTACTAATTTCTTTCTGCTTTTCTTTTGATGGCTTGCTTGATGGATATGAAGGCTGGCCAAAATATGACCATTTGATGACTATGGCACATTAAGGTTTGCCACTCAGGAAAAGAATGAACCAAATGATTCTCACATGGGCCCTGGAAGAGATAAACTTGTGTGCAGTTCAGTCCTAGCTAGCCAAATCTTAAATAAACTACTAGTTAACTCATTCTTGGAACTTTATGTTGCCTCATGACGCTATGCAGACATATCACTGGGTCTTGGGGAAGCCCAAGAATTGCTAAGGTGCAAGGAATGTTTAGGGGAAAAACTCCAGGGGGAGACTCAAAAGAGCCCACTGAGGTCTGAGCTTCCTTGGCAGTCACGGAACGCTGCCAGGCAGGTGGGGACATAAACAAAAAGCCAGATAAAAAAAGGATCGGAGCTTTCTGCAAATGGTTGTGGTTGGATGGCTTGACCGCTGAAGAGAAGCACTCTGCCCTACCAGGCTGTGTTGAGGCTCTGCTTGCAACCCATCTGTTCCCGTTTCTTCAGGTTGAACTCTAGAGAACAGGCAATAACGTCGCCTGATTTGCCTTTTATTTCAAAGGTTACTTAGGACTCCACCTGGCAAGACATTAGGCTCTCGGATGACTGTTTAGTTAGCAATCTGGTGTTCACTCTTCAAGTCTCTCATATATCATCAGGAGGCAAAATGCAAGGTGATATCTCTGAGCCATCTAGTGTTCAAAGACATATCAAAGAATTGCTTTGGCAGGCTACTTCATACCAGGACATGGCTGCATACAAAGAGGATTCTGAAAGCTCCAGTTCTTCTTTGTGGTCTATGTGCATCTGGGCTTTTAATTATGTGGCATTTATATCCCACCCAAGGCAGCCTGCAGGGTTGTAAGATATGCCTCATAAGCCCCTTTTCAGGCTTTCCTGAGGGTGCAAGTAGAGAAACGTCACTGGAGCTGAGCTTCCCTCATTCTCTTATCATGAGATAACAGAGCACTGCAAATGGTACTTTGAATCTCAGCTTTTGCACCTTTAATGCCCTGGAACTTTGTGAACCAACAGAATTTATAAACAGCTGGCAACCAATAAAAATGTTAGCATTTTCTTTTTGCTAGGCTATTTGTTCACCAAGTTGGCCAATTAGCTTGAAGATATGCAGAGGTGCAGGGTTTTGTTTTTGTTTTCAAATGTGAATGAAGCGAGAAAAGAAAAATACCCTGGTAGGCCACTAAGAAACAGTAGTATGGCAAGAATAATGAAACTTCATTGAAATTGAGCCAGAAACTGAATAACTGTGGCTACCAATGCAAAGGTACATTAACAGTGGCTTTCCTACAGAGGCAACGGAACAAATACCCACAGAAAATTCTATTTACATTTATTTGGTTGGGGGAAATAGTTTACTGCATCCCCCTATACCCAATTGGCCATTCTGGCTGGGAATTATGGGGATTCTAGTCCATCACCCCAGGTTATGGAAGGCTGCTTAATTTTAGAAAAAATAATTTTATGAAAGCCGAAGTGTGTGCTGTTTTTGGTGTTCCGCAACACTGTCAGAGGGACTAGTTGTCAGCCCTAGCCAGAATTCAAAATAGTGCAGAACTACTGCACTCAGCCCAGGGAAGCTGCAGACTTGCTTTCTGAAACAGCGGTTTCCCTGTTTCATGGCACATGGCAGTCTTCTTCTGAAACCACACAGATCTTCAAAGGGAGCGTGTGTCATGCCTCAAGGAGCAGCTGCCAGAACAGAGTAAAACATTCCGTGTGGCCAGCACAAAGCTGGCATGTGAGCCCAGGCACCGACACAGTTCACACATGATCAAACAAGTCGCTGTGGTATGTTGCAAGCCCCAGTATGTAATGGCATATGGTATAATAACCGCCTGAGCGCAGTTTGTCACATTGCTTGAACCCAGGTATTCAGTCTTGTTAGAGGGTTCAAGAATCCTCAAATAGTCCTACAAGCAGCCTATGGGTTATTTGAGGGTTGCTTAAACCTCCAAGTCATGTAGCCCAGGTTTGGATGGCACAAGAAGGTGCAGCCAGGTGGTAACTATAAAAATTGTGCCCAGCATAGGTTAGTGGCTCACAACACACCACCAAATTAGCTTGGAACTGGCCCTGTATGTTGGACTAAGATTTGCAGAAGCTGGATGGTATGTTTTTCACTAGTGTGTATGTGTGTGTGTTCTTGTATGATTGCTCTCTAGATTTCCTGATGGATAATTTGTCAATATTATTAAGATTGTATCTACTTGAAGTCCTGTAGCATCTACAGCATGGGTCCTCAAACTATGGCCTGTGGGCTGAATCTGGCCCACCATGCTGAATTATCCGGCCCGCCTCAGACCTTTTGGACTTGCTCGGAGAAAACAATCTCTGAGTCCAAAAGCTCCGAGCCAGAGCAGGCGTACTCAGTGGGGACACGGGCGCAATCATGGTCACGCTCGTGCAGCGAAGATGGGCACGATCGTGGTCGTGCTGGGGGAGGGGGAGATGGCCACGGTCGTGCCTGGCGGGGAGGATGGCCGCCATCGCGCCCATCTTCCCTGCACAAGCGCAATCGTGCCCATCTTCCCTCTGCCCAGCACGATCGCAGACATTGTAGCTATGCCCCTTGAATATGGACATGCTCTTCCCCACCTCAGCTTGGGCTTCTGCTGCAGCCCAAGTGAACAGAGCAAATATTTTAAGATTGTTAATCGTTTTTAAAAATTTAATTAATTGTAATAGATTTTAATTGTAATGGATTTTTAATGTGCAGTGTGCATAGGAATTTGTTCATATTTTTTTCAAACTATAGTCCGGCCCCCCAGCAGTCTGAGGGACAGTGAAATGGCCCCCTGTTTAAACAGCTTGAGGACCCCTGATCTACAGGGCCCTCTATCTTCACCTCCCAACCTTATTTCCAGAGCTGGGAAAGAAGCCAAAATCTCTCAGCTGAGACCATCAAAAAGGAAAAATGTGTATGGAAGGAGATTAAAGATGTGCAACACATATCTATTGTATCACATATTCAAACTAACATAAGAAAGCATGTGCAGGTTACAAAAGGTCTTGCAGAGGCAGGTGGCTTTCCAAAACAGAGCCATACTTTACTCTAACGACATACACATTAAGGTAAAATGGTGTATCATGCTAGACTGGGTTCTTTCGACTTTTTGCTGCGCTATATGAACAGCACGATGTGGTTCAGTTCCGCTCTGCCTCGCTTGTTCTAATTGCAATCCAGCAGTTATTTAGCTTGAGCATTCTGCTTTGAAGATGACTTTTTGTCTGTCTGGACGTAATCAGACACAGTAGGCAACAGCTGGTTAGGTTATGAGTTCAGCCACACACAAATGCATGATGGAAAAGCAAACTGTGCCAAAAGCTCCTCCACCCTGGAAAAGCCTGGTGAAGTCACTCCGATCAACAAGATAGAGTAATATTACCGGAAGTCTATGATGTCTCCCCCTTCTCGGACATTATCCTGCTGACACTGCAAAACTGTTGAGCAGCTGCCCTCATCAATGCATAACCAGTTCAGATGCCTACCAAAAGACATTTTCTCTGAGCAGATGTGAGGCTTCAAGCCAATGCGGTATCTGAGCCATTCTGGAAGGAGCTCTCAGAAAGAGGCAGAAGAAGGAACTGGAAAATGAGAGCATCATTTCCTGCCTAACTCACACACCCTGAATAACTTCACCAGAGGTCCATCGCCCAGATCTACGCATAATCAACCTTACTTCCTTATATCCCTTATCATAACACACCTCTTCTGTGAAATGAGGATAATATATCCTGGTCTTCCAAAGAGTGCTGTTAAGAATCCATGCCAGTGTCTACAAAAATCAGCTGGAAACTCATAAGGGAGGGCAAAATACCAATCAATTCTGCAGTGGAAAGATACAACCCTAATTTGTTGTTGGTCTTATAAACTGATCCCTGTATTGGTCTCACACAGTTAAGAACTTCACACACCAAGTGAAGGTGGCCAGTCACCTGTGCACGCTCCCTTTGGGCTGATTCTCTCTGTGAATTTCTGTTCTGTACACATTCACTGGTGCAAAATATACATGCTTCCTCTCAGGACCACCCAAGATGTTTTGCTGCCTGAGGCAAAGACGGCACACATACAGTTCTGTACATGAACATGGCTCAGAAGTTCAGTTAAATCTTGCTTCAACACTGGCAAGGGATCAACATCTCCTGCTGAACCTGAGGACAGCCGGCGAGCGTCTTGGGTACAGAACAAGCGAGCTTTGAGGAACTACAGGGAGCGCGCTAAACAAGGGCAGGTTGCCACTGACCTGCTCCCGGCATCTGTCACCTGCGGCAGCTCCACCCCCTGCCTAATGATAGGGCTGGCCTGTGGGCCATCAAGCAGAAAGGATACAGACATACAATCAGACTGTGACTGTCTGGTTTGTGACAGTCCCAGAAGCAACTGCTGGTGGGGCAGGGGCTTTCTGTGGGGACTAGTGTATAGACAGTCACAGCCCCACAGAAAAGTAACTCGAACAGCTTTATATGTTTAGTCCAGGATACAAAACCCTTGGAGTGAAAGCAATGATTCATAAATGTGCAACAGAAAAACATAGCAGGGTTTGTCATTTCTGTTCTCCAGCAGACTAGATGCTTCTATTAATGTGCAGAAAGGGTACTGCTTGGTTATTCTGTGCACAGTGTCATTTGTCTGAAAGGGTCACCCATTAGAAAGAGGACAAGAACATAGCTGTGTTTTTTTCGTTTGAACACAAATCTTTTGATGTTAATGACCTTTGCAATTTGCCCCAGGTTCTCCCAACAGCATGCACTTTAAAAGACGTGCCTGTTCTCTTTCAATGCCAAGTAATAAATCAATTAACCAGTTATCAGCTGGGCTCGTTGAAAATACATCGTAGAGAAGCAACTATTTGTTCTGCTAAGCCAACTTAGCCTTGACTACCACCATCACAAATGGCTGTTGTATTAGAAGTGCCCTAACAGAACAATGGATCCCATGACTGCTGCATGAGAGCAGCCACAAGCCATGTGAACTAACTGACCATCTTTATCATCTTCTCACAACTTGTGCACTAAGCTGCTTTCTGCATAACTTTCAGGATGATCTCGCTGTAAGCGGAACAGTAATGGACCAAGCAATGGACTAAGGTCCATGCACAGACTGGACTTTCTTTCCCTAGCCTTTTTGTTCTTCATGCCCATCTCAGAAGGGCCAGTGATAGCACTGAAGGGGCACACACACAATGCCAGATCACCAGAAGAGCAGCATTTAGACAAATGACACATGGCATGAGCCTGAACTGGCTCTGCTCAAAATGATCATAATGCAACAGGCAGGAAGAGGCTACTGAGGGCAGGATATACAGTGCCTTGCAAAAGCAAGTAGCTCCCTTTGACTTTTCTGTATTTGCGGTGTTATGGCCTGGAACTGAAATGGATCTGATGTTACTGTGACCACTTGTTGAACACAAGACACTCAACACGTAAAGGTGCAAAATATTTTTCCTGAGCCACAAAAGTCAAGTAAGCAAAAACAAGCTGGCACTTGCTAGTTGCATAAGGATTCCCTGCCTCCCCACAGAGTCAGTACTTTTTTTTTAATAACCCAATCCTGATTGCTGCTTCTGCACAACATTATCTCAAATTACCTGTTTGGGCTTCATAAGATGAATATATATTAGATATATTGTCCAAGAGACTTTCAGGCCTTCCTGAAACAGGTGCATTTAATCTGCTGGAACTGCACACAGATAAACTCCATTCAAAACTGGCAGCATGTGACTTCTGGAGCAGTGGGTTGCACCGGAGCTTCTCCAGGCATGTCACAGCAAAGCTGGTGAATACTTATGCCACCAACAAGTCCCATTCCAGTTCTGTTTACTTAAGGTTTGTGCCACAATAAAAATAGTCTTCATGTTCACACTGTTGAGTAGCTTGTGTATGTCAAAATGTAACTATTAAATTCCAGGTTGTAACACAACAAAGTCTAGAAAAGTGTGTGTGTGCGCGCGCATGCGTCTGTGTGTGCGGGCATATATGTAGATACTTCTAAAAGGCATCACCTTTACAATGTATCTTTACAATATATTGTATTGCATCACCTTTACAATGTGTATTTCCATCTATATACAGAGAGAGGAGGCAGAGAAGAAGTATTTTATGTAAAAGTATAGCAGTTGGAGAGTCTTGTAACCTACAAGGCAAATGTTAGACACAAACATAAGAGAAAGTCAATGCTTCAAGGATTTTTGTGTCCTCAAGCACATACCTTACTATCCAGCTTCTTCATGGTTACCAGATCCAAGGACTTCAGTGAGTGGCCAGTTGGTGTGATAAAGTAAAGGCAGACATGGATTCTTGTATCGTGATAATTAAAAAGAGAGCGCCGGATTTTCAGCTCTTCTTGCAAGTAGTTTTCAAACTGCGTGTCAATGTATTCTACTATCGGCCTGTAACTAAAAACGAATTCCATTAGCAACCTGAATGGATGGCACACTTACTAAGAAAGGACTAGGCCATGTTCAGGTATGTCATTTTAAAATATCTGCAAGAGGAATAGGCCAGTCTTTCCCATATATCACAGAGTTTGGTACACAAGAAGATAAAATGCCTTTAGCTGTCACAGATAGCAAGCTACATCACAAGAGAAAAGCTAAATAGGCAGAAGATTGTTCAAAAAAGGAGTACGGGCAGTCTCCAGGTTATGAATGTCCAAGTGACGAACAACCCATACTTACGAACAAACAGCCATAAAGCCTATATATTTAAAAATTCAAATTAAGGAATCACCACAGAGAGGAGGGAAGCAAAAGGGGAGAGAGGGAGAGCATTTCCTTGGTGCAAAGAGGAGGTGCTGCTGAGTTTGGGTGGGGGGGGAGGGGTAAAGATATTCACAGTTTTTCCACTTTCATGCCCCTAACCCCTGTGAATGTGGAGGGCCAACTAGATGTGATCCACTTAAAGGCAAATTTCCATTTTCTTAGGACATGAAACTTGTTCATAGCCAAGGGACTGCCTTTAGTGAACTGGAAAGCAACTGCTGAAAGAGCTTTTTGGCATGTGTTACCTTTTGATGTACTGAGCTGTATGATATGATTATAAGTGCAACTCACTACAGAGTAACTCATTTGCATGGAGCAGCAGCAAAACATGGCTTGATTAACCCATGTCTGGCATAGTGCATGCCACTATCCTCACTGTCCACTGTGGGGATAATGGAAAGGGTATTTTTTTAATGAGTTCCTTTCTTGACTTATTTTTGTCTTTTGTCCTGTTCACACCCAACAGTCAGATTTTCAAAGGCAACATGAATTCTTTTGTTTCATACCAACCCCAACTCATGTGGAAAAGCTTATTAAATGTGTAGATTTTGTGGACAGTGTCACTAAAGTCACTAAGTGTGACACTGGACTTAAGAGTATCCAGGGAGAGAGTTTCCTCTTACTTCCCTGTTATGAAGGACAATTATATGGTTCTGGCCTGGTGTTCCCACTAAACTTTCCACGAGAGATCTTGTAAGACGTTGGTGATGGACACTGTGATCCAGCCATCTTCCAAGAAGAATGGAATCCCTTCACATGTCTAACTGAGCGTTTTTGCACCAAATCAGAAAGCGACTTGCCTTTCATCTTTATTTATCTGATCCCCAAACCCCACAGCATCCACAATTGTCAGTTTCAAGTGGACGTTGCTTTCCTGAAGGTCGTAAGTCCGTGGCCTTAAGCGGACAGCATGCTCATAGTGACTGGCTTCTTCTGTTTCAAACGTTGTATTAAAGAGAGTGTTCATCAGTGTGGATTTGCCAATGCCAGTTTCACCTAAGAAATTTAAGAATGAAAGAAAAATCTTCAATCATGTTTTTCTCCTGTTGGAGATTGTTCAATATTTCAAAGCAAACTGGCTCCAGAAAATTACAATATCACCCTCAGGGATTAGACATAAAGATGCCCCTTTTGACTACTCCATAACTGATTTCCTGAAAGCATCTAATGAACCAACCAACTCCCCTGTATATACAACTTCTCAACCTCGGTTGAAATGCAAATGGTATATCCTGTTCCTTCCTGCTTCCTTTGTTTTAATGGCACAGGGCAGTATCCTTTCACAAAGATAAACACTGCAGCCTCTAAAGTTCAACATTCAGGCAAGGTCTGTCCTCTGCTTTCTTAAGCAGCTGTGAACTTGCAGGGCTTCTCCAGCTACAAAGCAGGCAAAACCATGTGAAGACTAGTTCCAGGCAAGCATTTGTACAGCCTCTCCACAAGACATGCCAATGCACTCCAATGCCAGAAGAGTATCCGGCTTCTTTATGGGATCAGAAAAAAGAAAAAAATAAACTTCATTTATCTGAAGTATTTTTATGCTGCTCCTCAGCCAAAAAGGGCAATTCCCAGGACAGTTCCAGATCATCAGTTAAACAAGACAGCCTCAGCCCGCAGGCTCCAATCTAAAAGAACAAGTCTCATGAGGAAGGAAGAATGGGGAGAGAAAGAGGAAACAAAATTGTTTCAGTGGGGCGAATAGAACAGCTCTGCTCGCCTTCCTCAGCTCAGCCTGCTGGAACGGCTGCTGGTGGCGACGGCTGAGGGAGGAGAAGCCTTCAGGAGGCTGTCCTTTTCAGCATGGCTGGAAGGAGGTCCTGCTCTCCTCCCCTTCGAGAGAAAAGAATACAGAGGGAGAGAATGAAAATGAATTTTAACAGAAAGGAAATTTATTGACAGACACTCCCTTTGAAAGACCAGGAATTAATACGTAATAGCATATTATATATAATAATCCTGCACACAGACCTGTCTGACAGATGGCAGAGCCCCAGAAACTCCCAGGCTGGTGCTTTATGATGCAAGGCTGTGTTGCTGGCAGAGCCAGAGGAGCAAAGGGGAGCTGATTCAGGGAATATTCACCTCAGGCTACGGCTGGCAGAGCCCCAAGCATGTGAAGCAGTGGAGTGGTTTTGTCAAAGAGGCAATGAAGTGTGGGTATACTTCAAAACACAAATTAACTCCAAATTTTCAGAGCTGGCACAGGCCCACTAATAATTAAGATTCCTTCAAGATGTTCCAAGCTGTGAAAGGATTGCTCATGGTTTTTCTTTGATGAATGGCCTTTAGCCTGAATCCCTTATCCCTACCCACAAAGCCGCCTCAACAGTCCATGCTTAGCCATCCTGTCAGAATTTACATCTGCCCTGATCATATTTGTTTATTATAGCAACCTGTGTTCAATGCAGCACTCAGGCAGAGATTCAGTTTTGTTTGGTTCCTTAAAAACAAGTGTCAAACTCTTTCTAAAGAATGCATAAAGCTTTCATCATCTTTAGAACTACAAATCATCATTGTGTGTGTGTGTATTCAGTGATTTAAATAAAAAACCTTTGGGTCTAAGATCAAAGCTGAGCTCAGGCTCCATAAAGCCAGCAAATTGGAAAATAAGGCAGATACCTTCACTGATACACCCCATGATCATGTTATGCATTGCCACAAATCACTCTTGCTCACAGCTTCTCCCACATCCACACTTTCCCTAGGTCTTACAGGTTCTAATCCAGATGGGGAGAATGGAGTGCCTGGCAATCAGGTACCAGCAAAAATGTCCCACATCATCCTGATTGCCTGTTAAAGCATCTGAGCTTTGCTGTTTTGCTAGATGAATTGCCCTGAGAGTTACCAGTACGCTGCTGGCATCTGTGGCTGGGTAAGACTATGAAGAGGAACCCTCTTCCAGCAGTAAGGCTAGATGCTTCAGGAAGCCATACAGGCCCAGGGCAATGTGGGGTACCATTGCTAGCCAAGCAAAAGTGCTTGCCCAATTAAATAAATTGGCTAAGCAGAAAAGGATGATGAGAAAACAAGCAAAAGGGATTTATCCAACTGCAAAGCTCAACAGGAACATCATAAAACTCCATAGACTTTTTGTATACATCTATAGCTACCAAAAGACACCTGGAATACATTAATTTTTTTCCTGAGATATTTTCCAAACAAAGAGCATAAGCACAAAGAAAATCATATTGCTGAAAAGCTTTGAAGTAAAGGCTTTCCTGATACTCTTCGGGCTGGACAGTTAATTTATAATGAGCACAGAAGGCATCTGTGGAATTTTGTTTTAGCTAAATCTGGACCCCCCACCCACCCCACACACACATAAACCAATGTGAATTTGACCTTGAAGATCAGTTTGCTCTCTGGAGAATCAAGCCAGAACTTGTTTTCCCTGCTGATAAAACAAAGATTGTATGCACTGATGCATCTCAAATAAATCAAAGGCATTAATTTTCATTGCCACCAGCAAATTGTTTCAACCTGATAGCAAGTATACTAGCCAATGTTTTCTGTGAAAGTCACAAAAAATAGAAGTTTCGACTAGCAAAATACAGATAAGGAAATAAGACAAAAAGCTGCTGATGAGGAACGCCACATAGGGTCCACTTGCTCAAATCAAGGCTGCATGAGACATGCTAAAAAACCCTGTATTTGCACATGCTACTAAGCCATGATTTAGCACTATGGGAACAAGACCTCGGGCTTGCATGCCATGCCTGCCCTTTCTCCTAAGACGAGGAGGAGGACTTAATCAGGATTCAGGTTCTACCATTCCTGGCTTCTTGTTCATTTGAAAAGGGAAACACAGATTAACATACACTCTGGTCAATTGCTAAACAAAGCAACTCTAAACCCTGAGGGTCATTATCAAATATGAAACCAGGGACATGATGCAGTTAGCAGTGACGAAGAATGGAAAAGCCTCAGTGAGCCACAAGGGCATCACACAGTCTTGACAAAAAATAAATGAAAATCTAAAAAGCACCCCCACGTGACTGCATGCATGCATGCATGCTTGCTCTCTCTCACACACGCGCGTGCGCACACACATGTGCATGCTCACATGTTTAGATGCAGCTCATGCATTTTCTGACTTTAATTTCCCTCAACCTTCTATCCAGTTCAGGCCAAGATAGAGCTGGCATCTGGGGCATACACAGACACTGTGCTCAGTATCACTGGGGAGGGGCCACTGTTCGGTCGTCAAGCACCTATTTTGCATATAGAAGGATCCGGTCAAGAGAGACTGGACTGGACCTCATGGCTGCAGTTAAAAGGTTCAGCCAGCCGATGACAGGGAAATCTCTGCCCAAGATGCTGGAGAGCAGCAACCAGTGGGAATAGATAATACAGTGCCAAATAGACCCCACTTACCCCTGCTGTGATATCAGTCCAGCTTCCAGAAATCTTGGCACCAGTGTCAGCCACTGATGTGGGACAAGGAAGAACCAGACACAGCAATATCACAGGATAGGCATTGAGGGAAATGTGCATTGATGGCTGCATTTGAGCTCATTGAGAAACTATAGTTTGTAGCTGCCTTGGGTGAGTAAAGCAACAATAAACTATAAACCTGCCATTCCCTCTCCTGTAGGCAGAAAACAATTGTTTCTGTTTTTAACCAACTACAATTTGCCTTAGTGTTCCAACCTGGACAGTTTGTGGCTGCTAAGAACTATGGCCTCCTGGAACAAGGCAACTTCACGCCCTTTTAAAAATATTCTGGAAGAACACTTTTACTTTGGTTTATCAACGTATGGGACATGGCCCCCCAACAACTTAACATGCTTTTGTTGGGTTAACTAAAAAAAGAAAAAGAAAAATAGCATCACTAGACTTTGAATGCATGTTGATATTTGTTGATGGGTACAAATATATATAGAGAGAGTTAAATACTGGAAAACAAAACATTCCACAAGTATTTAGCTTGAGAAAATCTGAGGGATGTCCTTAAATGACTTATTTCACAAGAAACTATAACAGTACATAAACATACAGATTTAAAGTCAGACCAACAATCATTAACTTTTGCTATAAAAAAATTCAGAGTACAACCATAAACTTTCTTCTGTGTTATGAAGTATTGCATTGTTACATTTTAATTTTACATTGCCAACTAAATGTTAAAAGTGCCTGTACCTTATTCCCCTGTATTTCCCCTATCATACCTTTTTTCTTCTTCCTGCCCTCTGTATTTTTGTCATGCATAGTTTTCTCCCTAATTGTGTATATTTGTGTGGAATATATAATGTTCTACATTCCATAATCTATATATGTTACATATAAAACTTGTATGATATACAAAAACCAAACTAGCATCCTGTCACCTGGAATAGGATCACAAGACTGAGAGCAGGTTTTAGCTCCATTGCAGAGAGAGCATGCCCCTTCCCAAATTTGGGAGACTGATCTTCCTGTGACTCTGCCTATGGTTGAAGGCAATGATTTAAAGCCAGTGGCTAAGAAATGCAGCACACCCAAGGAGACTGTTTGCCCATTGCCTGCTTTGATTGACAGCAGCAACACAGATCTCAGTCTCGCCCATCACCTGCTCCCTCGGCTTTCACCTGGAGAAGCACCTTCTGCATGCACGTGCTGTTCCTATGAGCGAGGGCCCGTCCCTTGGTTCTAGCCAATATTTTACGTGGGCTGCTATCCTGTCCCCAGGCACTTCTCCTTCTACTCACCCACGCAGAGGATGTTGAAGCTGAAGCCTTGTGCCACAGATTTGCTGACAAGTTGATCAGGAAGACTGTCAAATCCAACATGGCCCCCCAGAGAGAGATTCCGCTTCTCCTCATTCTGCTAAAGACAATGACACCAGTTAGCAGGCCTCTGCTGAGGGCAAGTTAATGAGAGTTGGCGGAAACGTGCGTGCATTTAGAAATGGCAAGAAACACTACCATTTTACTCAAAGTAGTGCAGGCTCCCTTAGTCACAGAAACAATCCTACAGCTGCCCACACGGAGATTTATTATGTTTTTATATGCCACATTCCAGACATACTGGTAATTATAGTCAAGCATCAGCAAGGGGAAAAAAACCTTCCTGATCTTAACAGAGAATTATCTTAAAGAGACAGGAGGCTAATCTGTGAAGTAATTTTGAAAAGAAACTCAAAATGCGGTAGGCTCTAAGGGCTTGTAATTATGCAAAGGGGGGTGGGGGGAAGAAAGACCAATTCACATGATTTACCACTTACAGCCCTTTCCATTTCTAAAGTTTCCCACATTTGACTCATGTTAGCCGGCAGGTTTCTAAGGAGCCCTTGATCAGGTTCCTTTGACTTAGCCGTAAGCAGCTTTGTTCAGGCAGGGTCCCAAGGGGAATGAAGGCGGGGGCTGCTCTGCGGGGCTACTGAACTCCCCCTCATGCCCGCCATCTGTGACTATGCCAGTTCTTCTTGTTAAAGCGATATCTTGTTCTAAACTCATTTCTTTCCCATCTCCAGGAACTTCCATCTGTTCCTTTCCTCTGTGCGCTAACTGCTGGGCTAACAACCTTTTCTGGAAGCTTTGGTTGTATCAGATGAGTCAAATATTTTAGAGTTAATGCCATGCACAAATCAGGGAATTAGAAGGGATCACACATCTACTAGTACTAAAGTAGGTTGCTGCCACAAGCTGTCACAACCAGAAAGGCTCTTGCCAAGGAATAAATCCTGTTGCCTGAAAAGAACTGAGGCATGTTCAGCGAAGAAATGTGATACACTCTGTGCATTTCTTCGCACATCACCAGCAGCCCTCCCTAAGAATACTGCATGGTGGGCTGGTTGTTGAGTGCAGTCATTCTGTTCACACCCTATGAGTTACTGGCCTCCCTCCCCTGCTCTCTTTTCCCCTCAAGTTTGAAGGGTTATCTCACCACCAGCTGTTCTGGCCTTGCTGCACATTTTTTTTGCCACTTCCCCACTCCGAGAAAATACAAAAGCCAGCTGTTCTTTTTTTGACAGCTATCAGAGAGCCCCTTCAAAATGTCCCAACAGCATCTTGGAAAGACTACCTAGGGTTGTCAAACTTTAAAAAATCACTCTCCCTCCAATTTTTATTTTTACCCCTCAACTGAGATATGCACAGGTGAAGGAACAAGAGCCCCAGGTGGACAATCCAGGAATGGAGAGCCTTGAGTGGACAGTGTACAGAGGGAGTGCCTGCTGGCAAAGCCTGGAGCCTGTATAATTTCCTGGCAAAAAAACCCTAACCCTTTCTGCATCCCATATTTTTGACAGCTATCAGAAGTAACTACTCTTATAAATAGGTTGTCTTGTATTTTTTCAAGTTACAAAGGTGGTAGAATCTTGGGAAGAACTGAGAGTATCCTTGGGACAAAAGGTCAAACAGGAAAAAAATGAAAATCTTGCCATGAGCAGGTTGAAAAAGGTACCACTCCACTTTTGTGAACTATGATCACTTGTGCCTTTGGTTACATTGACATCTCACCTTTTGACAGCTGTCAGACAAAACCAAAGGGGAAATAAACTTACCTACATCCTCTTTGGGGCACACAGTCCATCAAAGACTCCCCATTCCTTTACTCATGCAATGTTAAACATCCACAGGCAAATGCAAGTAAAACGAATGCATGACTTTTTAAACTGTTTTTGCGAATATTTGTGAAAATTAGGGAATCATTGCCAAATTGTTTGGCAAACACAGACATCCCCTCCAAGGTGTTTCTGAGGTATTTTGAAGGGTCTGTTCATAGCTGTTAAACAAGACTCACGAAAGCTGGTTTGGCAAATGATTTTTGCAACCTCTGTGGGTGGGGAGAGTGAGAAAACGATTTGTTGTTTTTAGTCCTGAAGTTGTGTCCAACCCATCGAGGCCCAATGGACAACATTCCTCCAGGCCTTCCTGTCCTCCACCATCCCCCAGAGTCCACTCAAGTTCACACCAACTACTTCAGTGACTCCATCTAGCCACCTCATTCTCTGCCGTTCCCTTATTCTTTTGCCATCTATTGTTCCCAGCATTAGGCTCTTCTCCAGGGAGTCCTTCCTTCTCATTAGGTGGCCAAAGTATTTGAGTTTCATCTTCAGTATCTGGCCTTCTAAAGAGCGCTCAGGGTTGATCTCCTCTAGGACCGACCAGTTTGATTGCCTTGCAGTCCAAGGGACTCGCAGGAGTCTCCTCCAGCACAATTCAAAGGCCTCAATTCTTCTGTGCTCAGCCTTCCTTATGGTCCAGCTTTCACAGCCATGCATTGCAACTGGGAAAACCATAGCCTTGACTATAGACACTTTTGTTGGCAGAGTGATGTCTCTGCTTTTTAGTATGCTGTCTAGATTTGCCATAGCTTTCCTCCCCAGGAGCAGACGTCTTTTAGTATCTTGGCTGCAGTCCCTGTCTGTGGTGATCTTGGAGCCCAGGAAAATAAAATCTGTCACTACCTCCATTTCTTCCCCATCTATTTGCCAGGAAATGAGAGGACTGGATGCCATGATCTTAGTTTTCTTAATGTTGAGTTTCAAGCCAACTTTTGCGCTCTCCTTCTTCACCCGCATCAAGAGGCTCTTTAGTTCCTCTTCACTTTCTGCCATGAGAGTGGTATCATCTGCATATCTGAGGTTGTTGATATTTCTCCCAGCAATCTTAATTTCAAAATGATGGCAAGCCCAAAAGAGCTTGGGATCAGGGGGTGGGAATAGCCAGTTCAAGCCAAATGCGACCCAGGCCTTTCTGGAGTGGCTGGCAGTGGTGGGTGCCAGAGCATGCTCGGAGAGAATGACAAACTTGATTCTTGCTTTTGCCAAGAAATGTTTAAACTGTGATGGAACTGGTTTCCCAGCTGAGTACAACAACCCCTACAGCAAGCTACAGATGATCACAGTCACTTGTGCTAAAAGAAGCCATCTCGCAGAAAATGTACCAGGTTTGCACAACAAAATCACATGGGTAGCCATCCACAAGGGGCTGTTGTGTTATATTAACCCATCAATGCACTCACTGGACCTGTTTGAATATAATGCAACCCATGATCGCATAACCCATGGTTGCCACGTACATGGGAGCAAGCATCTTGCCTCCTAACTGCTTGTTGCTTTATTTCCATGTTACAAAACAGCCCAAAAATAACCCATTCCTGAACTGGGCGCTAACGCATCCAAACCCTCAACTCTGGCAAAGACTGTTCAATACACCATACTGGGGTTGGGGAGAGGGTCCTCCCAACTCTATGTGTGGCAATTAGATGCTGGATCTAATCCCATGCCACCAAACAAACATCCCCTGTGTAGTCAAGGGTGGTATGTTCAGGTCACACTCAAGAATCCAAAGAATTCATGTGAGAATTTTCCTGTACCCAAACAGGTTACAAATGAGATACTAAAACTGCATGATTAAATTACACTGCCAACAAAATGCTTTCCACCAACAACATTTTACCACATCACATCAACCCATGACTCAATTAGCTCATGGTTTCCTGCCCTATCTTGGGTTTGTCTGGTGGTTTCTTTCCTCAGTCCTTCAATTATTTATTTCTCATGGTCTTTGTACTCACCCTCCTCATATCCCAAATCCCTTTGCAGCACCATGAAATGCAGAACTTCTGGTTTGTTTGTCCACTTGATTTTATTTTTACTTCTTTTACAAACAATGGTTTAAACAATCCAGAGTTCATAATCCAACAAACCATGGTATCTCTTTCCTAACAATCCACTTTTGTTAGTGTGTAGCATGGCTACATTTATACAGCATGACAAACAACCCATACTGTAGGTTAATGTTTTATGTGAAGCAGCCTAAAGAAACAGCTTTAGGACACAGTCTTATGGTCTCTACAGAGCTTTCTAGGTACCACAGGATTTTTCAGATTCCCACTCCTGAAGCTGCAGACACTGCTATGATTTCAGGAGACCTCCAAACATTATTTTGTCCTCTTCCACTGTCCTTTGAAGCCACCATGGAAGAACTTGGATATTTGCTTTCCAAGACTGCAAAAGCAACCTTGGAGGACCTAGGAAAAATAAAAAAGATGAGCTGGGGAGGGGAGGGGAGGGGAGAGGCCCGGATTTTTTTTTTTAATCCTTTGGTCTCCCCAGTCTCATCTCCTGCCTTCTCTAGGCAGGCTCAGGGGGAAAACAGAAAAAAGGAGGAAAGGCAGAAAATTGTTCCTGTAGCTTTGCCCATCCTGCTGGCTGTAGCTTCTGGACATCTAATGGGAGCGCACCATAAAGGGTTGCGTCCTTAGGAACTTATGGGCAGAGCCACAGAAACAGCCTCTCTCAGCCTCCTCCTGGCTTATGTTTTTGTTCAACTTTTTAAAAAAGCGAAATCCTGCTCATGTGGCATGCATTAAATTCAAGGGCTTTTACACAATGGGATCTGGACTGTTCTGATGCCGGGTCGAACTACAGACTCTTCATTTGCTTCACATACTTGAACAGCCTGCTCCAGTCCATAGATCAACCACTGCTGTCTATTGCAATTCCCTCTATTTTTTTTAAAGTCACCCTTCTAGCTTGATGCAGTCAAGCCTTTGTTATCACTTGAGAAAGGCCAGCTTTTTTCTGACAGGTCTTCTGTGCCATGAAGAACCATGTGCAAGTTACAATGGGGGAAAATTTTCCCCTGCCTACTAAACCTCCATGCCAAGAAAGGTGTCACATATTAAATATTTCCCTCGTGCAGGTGGCTAAGCACAGGTGCCCTGACAAAGAAAAAGCTGGCCATTCTGGTCCCCACTCTTTGCAGAGTCTCTGCCAAACAACTGCAGGCTTAAATGACAGTAGGAAACACACATCCATGCTTCTGGATCAAGTCTCCCAGTTCACACCCACATACATTCTGTTATGATGCTCCAGC